CTCCTCCCATCCCATCAGTCATCACCAGATCTTCAATAAAGGTAAGTGTCATGTAACTGTACATGTCTTCTTCTGTTTGTGTGTATTAAAATTAATATTTCATGTGGTAAATTTTTTTTTTTTCATACTTTGGGGTGTCTTGCACGGATTAATTTGATTTCCATTATTTCTTATGGGGAAAATTAACTCGACTAACGATAATTTCGAGTAACGATGAGCTCTCAGGAATGGATTAATATCGTTGGTCGAGGGTCCACTGTATCCCAAACCCCTCCTTTATAGTGCAGGCATTGTACTTCCCTCATCCAGGACTCAAGTCCTGCTAACCAGTTTCCCTGAATCCCTTCACAAAATATTACCCTGCTTCCACTCCAACAGCTCATCAAGTCCTAAAAAAAACATTTTTCTCCACATGCCTGCTGTACGTCCAAGCCCCTTGCACACAAAACCTCTTTTACCCCTCTTTCATTTCCTAGGAAACAGTTTTATTTGGATATATTTTTTAAATATGCTAGCTGTCTTTAATCAGGGTAATACCTGGAAGGGGTTTTGGGGGTCAACAGCCCCATGACCAGTCCATGACAAGGCCTGGCAAGGTGAGAAGAACAAAAAGGCACAATACTATGACTGGAACAATACACAAATGACCCGCACATAGCAGATAGGAGTGTACTACGACATTTTGATCTGGCTTGGACTATTTACGAAGTCACACTGGCTTTGTAAATGGTTCAGGTTGGACCAGAACATCATTATGAGTTCTTCTCTCCTATGTGTGGGTTATTTGTGTATTGTTCCAGTCACAGTATTGTGCCTTTTTTGTTGTTTTTCTTTGATGGGAAGGGGGGGGGGGTCACACTACCTTAGTGGAAGACAGCCGGTGTGTTAAACACAAATGATACCTTTATTCCATGTGAATCTTTCCTTCCTTGAGGAAGATATTCTTTTTGTAAAATCATCATTTGCAATTTCTAGCACTTTAAATTATATAATTTCCAGCTAACTCTACCACCACTACTCCACTTCTCTCTTTCCTGTTCCTGTCCTCCTCATCTCTCTATACTGACTCTCTCACCTCCATGTGTTAATGTGACTATTCAGTGGTCCAAGTTCAACCAAAATGTCCTCATAAGCTTCTTCCGATGTGCAGGTTATTTGTGTACTGAAAACTTCTTGTGTGATGGTTCCTGGGATTATGTTTCCTTTAATAAGTTTAATAGATTAGTAGGAACCAGCTCGACTTCAACTGAAACCTCTTCTTGTTGCTTGTATGGTAGGTCCTGTACTTAATACATTGTATGCTTATACTCGGTGTTCATTGCCTCCTGCTGTCATTTACAACTAACTATTGTTTTGGCCAGGAATGTATCACATCTTGGAAGTAAATACAAGAGGGCCCTGTATATACAGGAGGGTCCTGCATATACGGGAGGGTCCTGCATATACAGGAGGGCCCAGCATATATAGGAGGGCCCTGCATATACAGGAGGGCCCTGCATATACAGGAGGACCCCCTCATATTCAGGAGGACCCCCTCATATTCAGGAGGACCCCCTCATATTCAGGAGGACCCCCTCATATACAGCATTTTCTTTTCAGTGTTCCATGTTTTCGTTAGCTTTAAATTGAGTCATTGTTCATTATGTTCCACCCACTGGCGATGCTCACCAGTAGGTGGAACACAATCAACAGTGGCTCAATGGAAAGCCAACAAAAACGTGGAACACCAAAATGATGCGCTGTAAATCCAGATCCCTCCAGTACCTGGTTGTTGAGAGTATGTTCTTGTCAAATTTTCTGGTTACATTATATTTAACCCTTAAACCGTTCAAGTGTAGATCTACATTCACATGCGTAGTGCTCTGAATGTAGATCTACGTTCGGAGTGCTACACACGTGAACGTAGATCTACGTTTGGACGGTTTAAGGGTTAAATAATTATCTTTTCTTTGCAGTTTGGAATGTCACCTAGTAAAATGCGGCTGTTTTACCACGACAAAGGTTTGGATTCTGGAGTTCCTTATGCACCTGAAGAGCTGAAGATTAATAGCAAGCAGCTATACACTATCAATATTCATTCTGGAGATGAGTTTATTGTTGAACCTAAGGTTAAGCCCTGAGATGTAACTAACTATCCAGTCAGTTGTATTTTGAACTGATTAAAACTCAAGAATAATACTTTCATTTGTAAATGAAGTGTCTTAAGTAGATGCTTGTGTTTTACTGTGTTTTTTAACAGGTAAAGTTACTTCATATTAAGATTTCTTTTGCTTTTTACTTTCTAGTTGTGTTTTTGTGCACGTGCATACACGGCCAGGAGCTGTGACTCAACACCCTGCATACACAACTAGGAGACTGCACATGTACATTGCACACAAATACACACATGTACACACTAGGTACTGTACCACACAGAATGGTATTGTATCCTCACCTGCTGCAAACATATGAGAACATCGATAAAGTGAAGTAACTGGTAGCCTCTCAATCACCAGAATATTATGAAAGCACAGCTAAAACATTTATACTTGACCGTGTGAAGCCTAAAGAAGAAAGTAGTTTACGGTCCAAGTTAGACCAAAAGTTTGTAAGTTTCTGTGTGAGAGTTATTTATGTGTTATAAAATGATAAATCAAAATAGAAGTAAAAAATAAGGGGAGAGGAAAGAAAAGATAGGTGACAATACTTGGATATAATAATACAGAGCAGCTGGACTGAAGAGGAAATTGGATGAGGAGCTGGAAAGAAAGTCGCCTCAGGAGGAAACTATAAAAATGTGTGACAGAAAAAGGGAAGACAACTTGATACAGCAATGTGCTATATGACATGTGGATTCAGAGCATAATTTTAATATACATTAATAACAGGAGAAAAGGGCAATTTTGACTTGACTCTTTGGAAGACTCAAAGTGAAAATGAAAAACTGAAGGAGATTCTATGAGAAAGTGAAGAGTAAAAGGGGCAGTAATAACGAGAAAAATTGCAGGAGTATAGGAATCAGCAAGGTACAAAAAAGAGGACTCATTAGCAACTACGAGGCACAAGAGACTTGGTGACCACAATGGCAGGAAGAGAAAGAGATCATTGATGCTTAGATTAACATGAATGAAGACACTATATGCAGTTTATGGAATTTTATTGTAAAAAATATTTCCCTCCAGGAACTTTTATCAGTTCTCACAAGTGAGAGAGCATATATATATACTGGTGAAGGCATAAGACAAGATGTAGAGCTGGGCGAGTGCTGTCACCTGTTGTAAGGTGATGCGGCCAAGTGGAATCATCGAATGTTTTAGAATTAGCATGAGCCAGCAGGCTGACTACTGTGCTTCTCCATATAGATTTATGTAGTAGCAGTGTCATATCTAGTGAGAATAAGTTTGGCCAGTGTGTCTGAAATTAAGAACGAACCTGATTTTATTAATGTGGTGCATTTGTAGCGGCAGCAGATTCCAGGCACAGCCCACTGGCCTGTCTGCTGTCTTGATAGTTTGTCATTGAAAAAGTTAGATGTTTTTCTGTGCTGCAGTGAATGGCACAGATGTTGTTTATGTTTCCTCCTTGGCAGTGGGTTCTGTATTTGTTGATCCTTGTGTTTGTGCTCCTGGAAGTTTCACCCATGTAAAACTTATCACAACCTGTCCATGGTATCGTGTAGATACAGGCAGAGGCTGATTATAGATCAGGAAAAAATGGGAGGAAAATGTGATTGTCATTTATGGAGTGTATAAGAAACCAGGAGGGATTAGGCCAGCTGAAATTTTTTCAAACGATTTGGCAGTACTCTGTATATATCTGGATTGGGACAGAGAGAACACTAACCAGAACATGTAAAAAGAAAAAAAGTCATCAGTTACAGAAAAGAGACAGAGGGGGGGAGGGGTAACAGGAGGGTGGAAAACCCCATTCTCCAAAAATCTATCAAGCCTCACCCTCTGCCCATCTATCAGAAGTAGCAACTTGAGCTTGCCCCTACTTCACAAAAATAAAACCCCACCTTCCTCACTACAACTATAACCCTGTCCTCTTCCCTTTTAACAATGCCCACATCAACCCCAGCCTTACCTCTCTCCCTGTCTTCACAGATGCAGCAGCAAACGGAAAGCCTGGCCACCACAAACCACAGCATAGTAAAAGATAGGGCCCTCAGAATATGGTACACAAATACAGATGGATAACCAAACATGAGTAATAAATTGAAAGAATGTATAGCAGATGTAATGCCAGGGATTACAATCACAGAATTGAAGTGATAACGTGCAATATTCCCAATAGGATATCAAGTAAGGAGGAAATAAAAATAAGGGATGGGGAGAAATTACACTGCTAATCACAACCCAGTGGAACTTTGAAGAGATGAGAGAGAGAAACAGAGAAGAATCATATGACTACATAGTAGGCACAGTCAAGACTGGGATCTATAGTGCATATTAGTAGCAGTGATTAATCTACCACCAGGTAGTCAGAGATCAAGGCAAGAAAGCAGTGGTTAACACCATAGCACAACCAGCAGGAACTTATGTGGCCAAAGCAAAGCTACTAATCATGGAAAGATTTCAGTCACAAAGAAATAGTCTGGGCAAATTAGGACCCCCAAAAATTTCAGAATTTGGACCCCAAGAAATTTCAGTCAAAGAAATAGTCTTGGAGAATCAGGACCCACATGGGGACCAGAAATATTGAGGACTATGATAATGCAGTGGCTTAGCACTTCTTTTTGATTATAATAATAATAATATGATAAATGGAGGTAGTGGTGAAAACGTTGTCAGATTATCAAGGACACAATGACAGGAGAGAATAAATCGGTGAAACTGTTTAACGTAATTACGTCTTATATTTATGAAATAGAATAATATCCTCCAAGTGCTGGTGATTATATAATACCAAATTTTGAATACCTTGTGGAAGTAAACATTGAGAGAAGAATTAGCAGATTGGGTATGGGAGAAACCTAATTTCAGAAGAGGAAAGGTCAGTGAAGGAGATTATGTATCTTGTGAGAAAGTACCAGGAGGCAGAGAAGAAGAACATGCCCAGAAGATGACGACAATAATGGTAGTGGCAAAGAGAGCTTGTGGTCCAGCCAACAATACAGAGGAAAAACAAGAAGGGCAAAATCACGGGAAAACTGTAGAAAGCGGAGGACAGAAGCAAACGTATTTTTAAAAAATCATATGAAGTGTACAATAATTCTAAGAGCTTTAGTATTCTGACTAAAATAATGGATTTTGAGTCAGAATATTTAATTTTAGTGGTAAGCAGAAAATAATCCCAAAACAAATATACAACTCGCAAGGCATCCCAGCCACCTCTGTGGCATACCAGCCATCCTTCTCGGCCCTTTCCTTGGCCGTCAGTTTAGGGCTGAGGCTACACTCTTGGTCTCCCAGGCAATTTCTGCCTTACCAACCAATCCTCAGTCATGCCCTGCATGCCTACCATGGACATGCTATACAATATAAATAATAAATCCACAATTCCTTACCACTTTCTCCATGACAAATGTTACAAAGCAGAAAGTGAAAAGTCAAGACCAGATGAGCCGGTCATTAATAACGAAGCAAGAGGAAACAGTCCCCAAAAAATCCATCCTTGAAGAGAGCTCCACAGATAATCAAATAAAACTGTAATCAAGGAACGAGAATGATACATAACAGAAAGGACTACCTTCTTGCCATAAAGATATGCATAATAAGGCACTTGCAAACTACCCAAAGCTGTTGAAAGAAACTGTCAGAAGGTAATAAGTGATACCCAGTACCAGTCATTGGAGACAAAACTACAAGGATATTTCCTTGTAGTTTTGTCTTCAAATGGAAAAATAAAATACATTAACCAAATGAAAAAAGAAAATACATTAACCAAATATGAGGACCAGACTGAAGGAAGTTATGCTGGAGAACTTGTGTACTCACACATTAGGGACATTACAAGAGAAAGCTGTTGTAGAGAGAGATTATGAACCCTCCCTGGGTGCAAACTATCACAGTCTTAAGCTTCGACTACCTGGTACCAAACAGGAGACTCGACAACCATGTACAGTACACTAAGATAAAAGAAAAATGAATAGCCGAGGATGACTTAACACCATCAGCAGGATGAGAATGAGAGGCCACGGTTGGAAACTGAAAGAAAAGTGCCAAAAGGATACTATGAAGTATTTCTTTACAAATACCGGTGAAAATGGTAAACTGTTGAATGGGTAGTATGTGCTGCAACCCCTGGAAACATCAAAAATATATCTAAAACTAAACATTAAAGACAGGACACCACAAATATAGCTCTTGTAGCTACAAATATTTCTGATACTCACACACACACATCTGTTCATAATTAAATGAGTATCCCTTCAAGGGATAAGATGCCTTGATGCTGGCAAAGCCTTGGTTCTTGGTCATACCTCCCATTCTCCAAGTGTTGTATGGCATCTCTGGGTCTAACACTTTACCATGATTGTAATAATGATTGTGGTGTCCGTTCTTGTGATTAGGTTATAAAATAATTGTTTCCAGTGCTTATAGCACATACTATTTCTATCTTCTCTTGGTTCACATTTCTTCACAAATAGAGCTTAAGTAGGACCAGCAGGAAATCAGAGCGTTACAAATAGTGTAAATTTTTTAAACATATCTTGTAATGCTGTATTGTAAATTTAAGAGAGGATGAGGACACTATGAACTTAAGCTGTAATGAACTCAAATTAAGTTGTAATAATGTCAGTGATTAAACGGGATGTCAGTTTGTGGACCACGGTTTGAGTTCCATGTCCACTCTTCTGTTTATTCATAAGCTCTGAACTTTATCTGCATAAAAGTTGTAACACAGATACGCACATTATAAAGCACCACACATTATTCAGTTTACAAATATTTTGTTATCTTCACAGACTCCAAGGTTTTGAAAGACTTTTGCCTGGGTGAGATTACAAAGAGGGGAAAGCGGGTAAATTAAAAATCAAAGTGAGCTAAAGATACACATGAAAGAATTTGAATGTGAAGGTGTTAGACTAGTGTAATAGCACATGATAGGAAATATTGGAGGCTAGCTCCTTGTTTGACTTCATGTGTATACATAATGCTGAAGGTCGCCCAATTTACAGATGCGTTGCAGTGCTGTTATTTCCAGTTTACAAACATGTTGCATTGATGTTATCCCCAGTTTACAAATTAGTTATTTGCATAGAAAAATCATAGTACAAAAGATGGTTATATTTCACACGTTTGTACTGTGGATTGGCTCCTAAGTCCCCTTTGTAAGTGACTGTTTGTAACTTGGAGCACTTGTAAGTTGGAGTTCTGATGTAATGCCCAATGAAGCTTGGGAAGACTTAGCACTGGTTAAATGGTAGCTAAGGGTTGAAACCCAGGAGCTATAGTTCAGCCTTGCACTGTGGGCACCAGTGGTAGAACAATGCAATGGATTACAAGAAATTGCTATAACCTCTGGAAATACACAATGAATGGTAGCTTAAACACTGAAGGCACCATGAACATAAAATGATGGCCAGATACACCATGAACATACAATGATGGCCAGACACACCATGAACATACACTGATGGCCAGGCACCATGAACATACAATGATGACCAGGCACCATGAACATAGTGATGGCCAGGCACCATGAACATAGTGATGGCCAGGCACCATGAACATAGTGATGGTCAGGCACCATGAACATAGTGATGGCCAGGCACCATGAACATAGTGATGGTCAGGCACCATGAACATAGTGATGGCCAGGCACCATGAACATAGTGATGGCCAGGCACCATGAACATAGTGATGGTCAGGCACCATGAACATAGTGATGGCCAGGCACCATGAACATAGTGATGGCCAGGCACCATGAACATAGTGATGGCCAGGCACCATGAACATAGTGATGGCCAGGCACCATGAACATAGCTCTGCTCCCTCTTGTTACAAATGTTTAATCACAATAACAAGTTAATTTGAAGAGTTGCTGCACTGTGTAGGAATAAAAACAGTTTTAATAATTCCATTACACAAAACTTAATGACTTCCAAGAAAAATAAAAGTATATATTTCGGATGTGGAAAAGAATTCTTCCACCATAAGTCATGCGGGTCATAAGAGGCAACTAAATTGCCGGGAGCAAGGTGCTAGTAACCCCTTCTGCATAAATTACTAAACGCGAAAAGAAAAACTTTTGTTTTTCTTTTTTAAGTCGCCCTGCCTCGGTGGGATACAGCTGGTGCATTGAAAAAAAAATTTGTCACCCTGCCTCGGTGGGAGATGGCCAGCACATTAAAGAAATGTGTTATTTCGTGTCTGCATTGCCCATATTACTATCACTGTATGTTCAGTGAGAAACATGTGGAAATATTTTTGATTTTTGGTACAGGTCGGCCATCACTAATCCGGCAGTCAGTTATCCGGCACTGATTTCAGCTAGCATAATTTCAAATTTCATCATTATACTGACTCAGAAATAGTGCAGATGGTTGTAAATTCACAGCAGCAAGCCAGTGGAGGAGACAGCAGTGATGAAAATGAGGGAGACGTAGCAGAAAGAGTTTCTGTTGATAGGTTAATTAAGTGTATTCAAACCTAACCACTCTGTAATCCAGCAGACTCACTAATCCGGCTCGCTACAGGTCCCAGTTATGCCGGATTACTGATGGTCAACCTGTATTGACAAATTGGTTTTTAAAGCTAATAATGAAATAAAATCAATTGTGATGAAATGATTGTTTTATCGTGTGCAAATTTTAACCAAACTGCCGTAGAATTGACCGTAAATTGTGGTAAATGATCCATAATGAATGTAAATGTGTCTTATGGTACTCATTGTGAGATACTAATAATAATTAGTAATAATAATTATAATAGTGTATAAATTTTACAAAATTGTATTGGCTTTGTATTTTTTTCATCTTGCTATGCAAATATTTTGGTCCCTAGCTCTTCCATTCCACCTGGTCCCATGACCAGGTGGAATGGAAGAGCTAGGGACCAGGTGGAATGTTAGTAGAGACCAGGTTGAATGTGAGCACTAAGAACCCAGTGGAATGTGAGAACTAGGGACCAGGAAGAATGTGAGGGATAGAGATCTGGTGGATTGTGAGAACTAGGGACCAGGAAGAATGTGAGGGATAGAGATCTGGTGGATTGTGAGAACTAGGGACCAGATAGAATGTGAGGGATAGAGACCCAGTGGAATGTGAGAACTAGGGACTAGGAAGAATGTGAGGGATAGAGATCCGGTGGAATGTGAGAACTTCTTCTTCTTCTTCTTCTTATGACCAGAGCTTTGGTAAGATGGGTAAGGAAGAAGGATGGGTAAGGAAGAAGGATGGGTAAGGATAGAAATATTGGAAAAGGGTGGGAAGGGGGAGAGAGGTAGGATATAAAAGGTAAGTGGCCCAACCACTTTGGTGTAATTTAAAAAGTGTATGTGAAATGATAAGATATTCTTTAAGGGGTATAATACTAACCCATCAGAGTCACATAGATATAACAGATATATAAGTACATGACTCTGAATTGGTAGTAATTATACAAGTTGCAATTGCTTTTTTTTGCGATTGCACAACGGATATTTATGCGACAATGAAGGCAATAATTTTCTGGTCAGTTTATGGAACTACGTGACAATGGCTTCTTACAGGTGGTGTCCAGCCATAGTAAATAGCATAATTTTTACATTAGATTGTTATATAAGATGTCTCCCTAATTGGGGGCGATGATTTTCTCAGTATACATAGAAGGGTTCTGGTGTTACCCAATCTTCATCAGGGAGGTTGCTCAATATCATGGGTCGATGGTAATCATCTTTATGGATAAAACGACGGACCCTCTGTGGGAGAGTCATTCTTTGAGTCCTGTGAGGAGGAGTATTGATGATGTAATCTGTGGTATTTACCACTTGTATAGGATGTTCTCTATCTGGCATGTATAGTTCTTGCATTGTATAGAGTTGTTTCTTTTTTAGGGTGTCAAGACATACATTTATGGCAGTAATATCTTGTTGTATGTGTAAATCTGCCATTTTAACTCTGTCTCTCCTCCTGGTATCAGTAATGAAGCGAAGAGCTCTATTCTGGACCCTTTGTAACCGTAGCATATTGGCCTTTGTTAATGACATTGGGACACAAGGGTATTAGAGTATAGGTCTTATTATCATTTTATACAGATGTTTTTTGACATGTTGAGGGGCTTGATTGAATCGAAAGAGACTGCTAAGACCGGCTTTGGCTATGTTGATCTTTTTAGTTACATGAGATGTTGAGTGGAGCAGCCTGTCTATTTCATATCCCAAAATCTTGTTAGGGTTTCTAATGGCTACAGGTGTACCTCTGATGGAGATACCCCCTTTATCTTCAATTGTTGATGCAAAACATCCTATTGTGCTAACAAGGACCTTGTCAGGATTAGTCGTAATTCTCCATTTCTTTTCCCAATTAGATGTTCGACGAAGTTCAATATTCATTTTTTCTATGACTCTTTCATACTTGTATTTTCCTGTTACCGGAGTTGATGAGACGACATGAATAACATCATCTGCAAACTGTGTCACAATTGTATCAGTAAACTCTGGTTGAGGAAGGTCATTCACATAAATGTTGAACAGAACTGGACTGAGACAAGAACCTTGTGGGACACCAGCTGTCGGTATAAAAGGCTCTGTCGACCTGCCATGAAAGGTGGGAATGATTTTTCTTTGAGTTAAGAAATTATATATTACTCTGAGAAAAGTCCAGCTATGGTCTGGTAGGCCAATGAGTTTGTATATAAGGCCATCATGCCATAAGCTATCAAAAGCTTTATGAACATCTCTGGTGGCAATTAAGGCAAGATTGCCCTGATGTTTTAGACTTGCTACAGTATCGAAAATAACATTTATTGCATGATTGGTACCTCTGTGTTCTAAAGCCAAATTGTTTTTCAGTAAAAAAGTGATTAAACTCCATATAGTAGTTCAATCTGTTGGAAATGACCTTCTCAGGAACTTTTTGTGAGAACTAGGGACCAGGTAGAATGTGAAGGATAGAGACCCAGTAGAATGTGAGAACTAGGGACCAGGTAGAATGTGAGGGATAGAGACCCAGTGGAATGTGAGAACAAGGGACCAGGCAGAATGTGAGGGATTGAGATCCGGTGGAATGTAAGTACTAGGGACCAGGAAGAATGTGAGGGAAAGAGACCCAGTGGAATGTACTAGGAACCAGGTGCGGTGTGAGGGCTAGGAACCAGGTGCGGTGTGAGGGCTAGGAAGCAGGTGCGGTGAGAGGGCTAAATAAAAGGTGAAACGAGGACTCAACACTTAGTGAAACATAAGAATAAGTCTGATGTCTTTCATAACTACTTATTCTCAGTATAATTTCAATATTGATATAAAAAATCCATGATTAATCTCTCACTGTTTTGTGAGTCAGGTTAGTGAAATTTGTGTTTGTGGCAGCTAGCCCAGTTCCCCTATGGTGGAATACTTCCTTATGGACCATAATCCTTTTTATTTCCAATATTATCAGTGAGTTTGTCATTACGTGGAAGAATACGTGTTTGTGTGCCTGTCTCTTACTCATGAAAAAAGCCCGTCTTTGAGGGATTCTATCATGAGAAAAGCCTGTCTGAGGGATTCTATCATGAAAAAAGCCTGTCTTTGGGATTCTATCATGAGAAAAGCCTGTCTGAGGGATTCTATTATGAGAAAAGCCTGTCTGAGGGATTCTATCATGAAAAAAGCCTGTCTTTGAGAGATTCTATCATGAGAAAATCCTGTCTGAGGGATTCTATCATGAGAAAAGTCTATCTTTGAGTGATACTATCATACTAGGCACTTGTGTAACTAGTGTCAGCAGTGTGTATAAAATTTTAAAACATAATATATATATATTGTGATTTTTAATCCATTTAATTTTGCTCTAAAAAAAATTATCTTGAAATATTGTATATAAATTTTTGTATTTGTTTTTAATGATTATTGAAGTTGCAGAATAAAGTGTGTCCATTAGCTTTGAAAGTAATGATATTGGTATGACTTACAAAATCGTAATAATATGATTGTAAACAGACCACGGAATGAGCAGGGTTGGAACCCATGGCAACGAGTCGTAAAACTCCAGACAACTGGCCTGGAGTTTTACGACTCGTTTGCCATGGGTTCTAATCCCACCCGTTCCATGGTTTGGTCTTGGTATAGCGCATTACAGTGGAACCTCAGCTTTGGTATGCCCGGTTGTTTGTAAAACTATAGTTATTCTCTATAAAATGTATTTTTTTTAATATTGTTGGATGTCTGGAATGGAGTAATTGGATTTACATTATTACTTATGGGAAATATTAACAAAAAATACATTTTATAGAAAATAACTACACCTACCATCCGACTTACAACTGAGCTTCGTTTCGACCAACCGGCCGTAAGTCAAAATGGATGCAAGTCGAACCATTACTACTGAATATCAACATCACAGTTATTGTAATGATTTTATTTTGTTTTATTTTGGTATTTCATGTTTTACTTTACTTTTTATGCTGTTAGTACTGTATTTTATAATGTAAGACTTTAGGAGATACACTGTGTACAACACAGACGGTTGTTTATTTCCCAGAACATTTGCATACAAAACATGGTCGTAAGTCGAGTGGTCATATGTCGAACAGGTCGTAAGTTGAATGGTAGGTGTATAGTCATACATACAACCTAGGGCATACGAAAACCGAGGTTCCGCTGTATATATTATTTTTATTGCTGACATTTCTTAGTCAGGTGTTGTATTTAACATACATTATTGTACATCTTGAATGAGCAATATAACATCGTTTCTCGAGCTATATAACCCACGTTTTCAACTATTTATTGCTATGTGGTTTCATGGCCTTAGTCTTCACTCTCCTGTTGCTAAATTTGTAACAAGGATGGATATCTACTAGCAGATTCTATTGTTACTTTTAGTTAGAAACTTTTAGTAAATTATTACAAGGTGAAAAGTTTGTTATAAAGTTAAATAAAAATTAGAAGATATTAAATAATTTTTTATTATAGAATATGGTGGTACCTCGGGACGCGAACTTAATTTGTTCCAGAAGGCTGCTCAAGCGCCGATACCGAACGAATTTGTTCCCATAAGGAGTAATGTAAATTAGATTAATCCGTTTCAGACCCCCAAAAATACACTTACAAAAGCACTTACATAATTGTTCGAGTTTTGAGCTGTTCGTATCCTGAGGTACCACTGTATTTTGTATATTGCAACTAACAGTGGTTCAAATTCTGACATGGGGTTGAGAAACATATGTATAGTTTGTGTAAACATTGTGTCTCATGTGTCAAGTCTGTCAGACAAGTCAGACTCGAAGTCCGTCTTTCTGAATATTTTCTTGTGCATTGATATATTTCTTGCGAATAATAGTATATAAATTTTTTGTTTTATGCCAAAACTTCACCAACCAGATCTAGCCTTGTTAAAATTTATGATATATAAAAATTGGTGAAAAACAATATACAGTGGAACCTCGGCTTACGAATCTAATCCGTTCCATGGACTTGTCCGTGTCCTGATTTGTTCGTATACTGGGTCAATTTTCCTAATTTAAATTAACTGAAATCCAATTAATTCGTTCCAGCTGAATTCCTGCTCTCAGGAGGCATGACAGAATAACCTTAATATCAACTTTACGGCTTATTTATCTGTCACAATTCATCTAATATGACATAATAAACAACATAAATAACATAGAAACCTGATATACACTTTAAAATGAATAAAATATGTCATTACATGGACGGCGGAGAGAGGAGGATTGTGGTTGCACATTCTTGCTATGGAAACGTCAGAGGTGTTATTATAAGAGAAAATGGAGTTTGTGAGATTGACTGAATTAGATCTGGTGTACATACGACATTTACATACCTTGGAGAAGAAATGCAGAGCGCGTATCCTGTCAGGAGTTCACACTTTTCTTAAGAACTGCAATGTACAATTTTTACGTTTATCTCGCTACACTACGTATCTCCTGTGAGCTGTTTCTCCGTCATGTCAACACCGGCTTTTCCATCTTTTAAATAACAAAAAGGCACAATACCGTGACTGGAACGATACACAAATAACCCGTCAATGGTCCAAGTCGGACTGAAACGTCGTCGTAAGCTTCTCTCTTTTTCCATCTTTTCATTGACAGAGGTCCGCTGCTTAGAAATTACTGTAATGCCCTTTGCTGGTGCTATAGCCTTTATGGACTACTACTGCTTTATTATTGTACGTATAGTAGAGGGGCTACGCTTGTACTCAATCACCAAGTCCTTAACCCTCATATCTAGTCTGTGCTTAACCCTTTGACTGTCGCGGCCGTATATATACGTCTTACGAGGTACCGTGTTTGACGTATATATATTCATAAATTCTAGCGGCTTCAAATCAAGCAGGAGAAAGCTGGTAGGCCCACATGTGAGAGAATGGGTCTGTGTGGTCAGTGTGCACCATATAAAAAAAAATCCTGGAGCACGCAGTGCATAATGATAAAAAAAAAACTCCGACCGTTTTTTTTTTAATTAAAATGCCGACTTTGTGGTCTATTTTCGTATAGTATTTATGGTTGTATTCTCGTTTTCTTGGTCTCATTTGATAGAATGGAAAACATATTATAGAAATAGAGGCGATTTTGATTGATTTTGCTATAAAAAGAACCTAGAAATGCTCAAAGTAGGGGAAATGTTTGATTTTTGCCAATGTTCAAAAGTAAACAAATTATGCCATTGTCCAATAAATGTCCAACTAGCCATTCTAATATGCAGTCATGAATGGGTTGATTGTTATTTATACAATTATTACAGCATTGCAGTAGTCTGCATAATAGTAAGTCTTCTATTTTTTTTTTTTTTTTTTGAATAAAAATTCAAAATAGAAAGCAAGAGTAATATCAGAGGGGCCTGGAAACACGACTGATGAGCAAAGAAAATGGTATTTTAGAGCCAGGAATGTCTGCATTGTTCATTTTGGACCTTATTTTGAAATTGTCATATTTTTTAGTTTTCGTGAAATTGGCCAAATTGCAAATTTCTGACCACATTATTAGGTAGTTGAAATCGGTAAATGGGCAGTTTCTTGTACTCAATCGATAGAAAAAATGGAGTTCTAAAGAAATAGCTATGAGTTTGGGCGACTGGAACAAGGAATTAGCCGAAAATAGGGCTCAAAGTGGGCGAAATCGCCGATTTGTAAACAGCGCCAAGGTCGCTAACTTCGCGAGAGCATAATTCCGTCAGTTTTCCATCAAATTTCGTTTTTTTGGTGTCATTACAATCGGGAAAAGATTCTCTATCATTTCATAAGAAAAAATAATTTTTTTTTTTAAATTTTGCGACACCAGGAGACACCTCAGGATTGGGGGTTGCGACAGTCAAAATGTTAACGATTTCTTGCTTTAATTCCATGCAAATCATCCTCTTTTTCTTCTCGGCGCCGTCCTCGGCACTTGCTTTCTTAGGACCCACGGTTAGAAGGAAGAAATCTGGCAAATTAACTGCACGAAACATAAGGAAATCACTAGAATTTCTTGCACCGCAAGGGTAACTCCGTGAGCACATGTGCACTGGAGGCCATTGTTTTGATACACTGCCATCTGGTGGTGGTGGTGGTGGCAAACTAAATTATATGCAGTACGTACATATTATTATTATTGTACTATTACATATTATTATATATTTTATTATACTATTACTATTATATAGTATTGTTATTATTATATGTAATTATTATGTATGATCATCATTATTATTAGTACTTGCGTATTATTATATTATTATTAATTTAGGGACCTGGAGCACAGATCCAATTCCCGAGATCAAGATCCCCTCCCCACATACGTACTACTACTACTACTAATAATTATTATTATTATTATAATAATACAATATAATAATAACAGTAAGGAGAAACTTCAAAAGGCTGCCAATAGTTGGCACCACCATCAGCAAAACATTGGTAACCACTACTAGTACACTTTTCACCTGTCTAGACTTAAGTAGTCTATTAATATTAGGTTAAGTCTGCCCGAAATGCCTCGGCATGATAGTGGCTTTCTTTGCTCCAATCATATTATATGTAAACACACATTGTAACCTTTGCAAAGAAATAAATATTTTATTTATTTATTTATTTAAGGAACCTCCCTTGAGGGGGAAGTTTGCATCCTGAAATTTCGTTCGTATCCAGAAGCAAAAAATCGACCAAATGACGGTTCGTATCCTGAAAAATTCGTATGGTGGGTTGTTCATAAACCGAGGTTCCACTGTATAGTAGGACCCCCGTATCCGCAGGGGTATGCTCCAAGGACCTGGCGCAGATACCGAACCTGCAGACAGTAGCGAGCCCTATATATGTCGTTTTATGTTTGCATACCTATTTTTTTTTTTTTTTCAACATCCGGCCGTCTCCCACCGAGGCAGGGTGACCCAAAAAAGGAAGAAAATCCCCAAAAAGAAAATAATTTCATCATCATTCAACACTTTCACCACACTCACACATTATCACTGTTTTTGCAGAGGTGCTCAGAACACAACAGTTTAGAAGCATACACATATAAAGATACACAACATATCCCTCCAAACTGCCAATACCTATTATAAAGTTTAATTCATAAATTATGCACAATTTTAGTGCAGAATTAACACTTCTTCACTGATGGGAAGCACTTTACAGCTTCTCTTGGGCTTTGAAGAACTTCCACCATCACTTTTGCACTATGAGGCCACTGTTAAGCAAAATTAAGGGTTATTTTTGGGCCACGGTAAACTGTGGATGTGCGAGTCCTACTGTATACTTGCTTGGCAAATTGATTGTTTTATAAAGGAAGTTTGCGAAACTCCAGCTGAACAGCACGACACAGATATACTACATGTTTTGTATATAATGTCAGTCCCATTTGAATGTACGATTAACTATCTAAACATATTTATGGCTCGGCTAGATGCCCATACTTATCTGGGATCTGGCTGAGTGGCTCAGGTACTGCGTACTTTGATGCCGAGTGCAGGTTGAATCCTACTGTGGACTGAGAGATAATGTTTATATTATGGCTATATAAACATGTGAAGGTACAAATTTAGAGAAGGGAAGGACACAGCCAGTGAAAGCAACGGTAATGTAGAAATTGTTTTAATTAATGAACTGTAATCCCTTAGGATTATTTTAATTGACATATTAATATATCTTCATGCCAATGATATATTTATGAATATAGTTTTAGGAAAGGAGGTATGACCATCCACTTAATTTGGGGCCAGGAGCTATTACTCGACCCCTGCAACCATAGCTAGGAGAGTTAATAGTACCAGGGTGGCATTCTGGAAAGAGGACCTAAGGATGCCAGTGGAAATAAGCCACATTGCTTGGCTTTCTTGGACTGTCCTAGGCTAGTAACCTTCCAGGGGTCACTAATATGAAGAAAAACTTTGAATTACCTGTACTGTACTAACTAAAAGATACACAAATAACCCATACATAGGAGAGAGAAACTTACAATGTTTTGGTCCGTCTAGAGTCATTAACAAGTCACAACAGACGAGCAAACACAAGGGAGCCAGTCTTTATACGAGAGGGGAGCCAGTTACAGTTTCTTTCTCTTATGTGTACCTTGTTCAGCAATCAAAACTTTGGGGCCCAGTCACTGGATCTATTATATACCTCTGTAATCTTTTGACTACCACCCACAGGATGGGTATGGGGTGACTACCACCCACAGGATGGGTATGGGGTGACTACCACCCACAGGATGGGTATGGGGTGACTACCACCCACAGGATGGGTATGGGGTGACTACCACCCACCAGATGGGTATGGGGTGACTACCACCCACAGGATGGGTATGGGGTGACTACCACCCACAGGATGGGTATGGGGTGACTACCACCCACAGGATGGGTATGGGGTGACTACCACCCACAGGATGGGTATGTGGTGACTACCACCCACAGGATGGGTATGGGGTGACTACCACCCACAGGATGGGTATGGGGTGACTACCACCCACAGGATGGGTATGGGGTGACTACCGCCCACAGGATGGGTATGGGGTGACTACCGCCCACAGGATGGGTATGGGGTGACTACCACCCACAGGATGGGTATGGGGTGACTACCACCCACAGGATGGGTATGTGGTGACTACCGCCCACAGGATGGGTATGTGGTGACTACCGCCCACAGGATGGGTATGTGGTGACTACCGCCCACAGGATGGGTATGGGGTGACTACCACCCACAGGATGGGTATGGGGTGACTACCACCCACAGGAATGGGTTATGGGGTGACTACCACCCACAGGATGGGTATGGGGTGACTACCACCCACAGGATGAGTATGGGGTGACTACCACCCACAGGATGGGTATGTGGTGACTACCACCCACAGGATGAGTATGGGGTGACTACCACCCACAGGATGGGTATGTGGTGACTACCGCCCACAGGATGGGTATGGGGTGACTACCACCCACAGGATGGGTATGGGGTGACTACCACCCACAGGATGAGTATGGGGTGACTACCACCCACAGGATGGGTATGTGGTGACTACCACCCACAGGATGGGTATGGGCTGCATAATTAAGATAAACTAACTAATGTGCAGGTTATTTGTGTATTGTTGCTATCATGGTAGTGTGCCTTTCTATTCTCTAACAAAAAATGTTTTTGATTTATTTAATAAAGACTCGTTTACCATAAACAATAGTACATTAATAATTTAAAACCATTGGTGATTTAAAATATAATAGTTTCACTAATATGTACATATACAGTGGACCCCCGCATAACGATTACCTCCGAATGCGACCAGTTATGTAAGTGTATTTATGTAAGTGCGTTTGTACGTGTATGTTTGGGGGTCTGAAATGGACTAATCTACTTCACAGTATTCCTTATGGGAATAAATTCGGTCAGTACTGGCACCTGAACATACTTATGGAGTGAAAAAATATCGTTAACCGGGGGTCCACTGTATATGATGGGGTATCATTGAAGTTTGGTTATACCTGGAGATGTTGAGAGACGTCAGACACTACTGACTTAGCGTGATCTCAGTTATACATTTTCTTGGATGCTTGTAAGGTTAACATATTAAATGGAATCAGCCTTTGCACTGTTGGTTATAATAGCAATTCAGTAATACTGCAGAAAATGGATACTTGTACAGGAAGAATTTTAGCTGATTGAGCAAACAATAGGCACTTTGGTTATTGTGATTTATACATTGTGTTCTTGTGTATCAAGAATATTTGTAGTGTTGTGCTAATCACAAATCTGTATTATGGGGCACTTAAAATTTCAAAAGTTTAGTGATTACGTTCTTTTAAACTAATATTAAAAATTTTGCATTTTGGCTTGTTAAATATGCTTTCCAGTTTTTCAAAGAGTACATTTTTACCTCTGAGTGCCAATGGTAGTTTGTGATTTTATGCTTATTTCAAGTTTGTTATTTTTGCTCATAGATTTTATTTTGCATACTTTACAGTTGCAATGTTTTATAAGACCTTTGAACCAGTTAGGGTCTTCCTTCTATCTCCCCCCCCCCCACTCTTTTCCGTCTCATCTTCCCCACTTCTATGATACTTAACCTCATGAGTTTAGCACTTTCCGTAATTAGTAACATCTCTCGTAAAGATAATTTTATTAAGACCATTTTTGAACCATACAGTATAGTACTATTAAGAGCTCAGGTAGGTACACACCGCGGAAGTAAGCTAAAATTCAACACTCGCAACCAGTATATATCAAAGAAAATATCGAAAACAGGGTGGCATTCTTTCAAACAATGTTACTATGTACCTCACACAACATTACTGAATCAATACTATTATCTAATCTATCCTTACATCACTTGCAGTGTGTGCATGTGGGGGTTTATATCAGATCAATGAAAACTCATCACAACCCAACAAAAATCTATTAAAAGTGTTCACTCAGGTTCCTGACAACGCACTGCCTCACTATTCAGAAGTTTAAATTGACTCATACAAAACATTCACACTTACTCTGCATACTTGGCAGACGATGCACCATCCCCCCAATGAAAAGCAGGGGTGTCACTAGCACGTTAAGAGACCATACAATAAGTGTCAGGGGCCCGAGACTGTTCAACTGCCTCCCAGCATACATAAGGGGGATTACCAACAGACCCCTGGCAGTCTTCAAGCTGGCACTGGACAAGCACCTAAAGTCAGTTCCTGATCAGCCGGGCTGTGGCTCGTACGTTGGTTTGCGTGCAGCCAGCAGCAACAGCCTGGTTGATCAGGCTCTGATCCACCAGGAGGCCTGGTCACAGACCGGGCCGCGGGGGCGTTGACCCCCGGAACTCTCTCCAGGTAAACTCCAGGTAAACAGTGTACAGAACACTTAATAATACAAATATTAACTCGGTGCTACAACTCTTCTAGTTTGTTAGGTAAAAGGACACAAGTGCAACTAATGTGACATTTTATTGTGGCAATGTTTCACTCTCCAGGAGCTTTGCCAAAACGTCAATAAGACATCACATTAGTTGCACTTGTCCTTTTACCTAAGATATTGTTGGTAATTCTACCAACATTAACACAACTCTTCCAGCAGACCTGCAGCACAACACAGACAATTATGTCACATGTGCAGCTGTTGCACATGTGTCTTAATCATCAAATTGTCAGTATTATACATCATTTTCACCAATATAAGAAACAAACATCTCTTTGATATCCCATGTGTTCAACTTGAGTAAAAATTCCATGGAAATAAAAGGCCTCAAAAATATTGAACTCTTACAAGTTCCCTATTTGTCGGTTGCTTCAAAAATTTTGTTGAAAATTGTGCGCTTGCATAGGATGCAAGTTTAGGTAAACATTGAATAAAAATGTCAAATACAGCAACATTACATAGTGCAATTGTGTTGTAATGCAATTAAAGTATAAAAAATATTCGTACCAAGCTAAAAAAATATCTTGATATTTTTAGGCCTTACAGTATGCAAATATCAACACAGCATAAAGTTGCATGTAAATTCTGGGTACTACACATTGATTATGTAGCTATGGAATGTTGTAGTCCTGACCAAGAATTTAATAGTCACAAGATACGGTTATGTTGGAGGTATATACCATCAAGTACTGCATTAACAAGCAAGAAAAATTTTCACCTGGTTTCAAGGCACTAACAATTGTTCTGGCTTGCTTCTCTATGCAAATACAAGAAGATATCACCTGTTGTATTTGCTTCCCTGTGGAAATACATCTCTGTCGTATTTATCATGCAGGAAATCCCCTTGCTTTAATTGGCAATCAAACAAAGCAACATAGATGACTGACGCTGTGTGTGTTGATCTGCTGAAGCATTATTTTATTCCTACAGCTAAAATGTACTTGGTCAGAAAGAACTTTGGATTCAAGATTCTCTTGAGTCTCGATAATTCCCATAGTCATCCTACAATCTTGCAGTCTGTTGACCCAAAGTGAAAGTTCTATTTTTAAGCTCCTTAAATACATCCATAATACAACCACTGGATTGAATTATTATTATTATTATTATTATCAAAAAGAAGCGCTAAGCCACAAGGACTACACTGGATTGAAGAGTTAAGACATGTAGAGTAATGGAAAAATTCATCGCAGCAATGAATGACAGCGCTGAGACGTGTGTAAATTTAACATTACAGATGCAGATACATGTGGTGTCTTGGGATGAAATTCCCCAATCAGTCATATATGCCAGCTGAGGTTAATAATGACCTTCTGTAGTAAATAATTTATTTCTTGGGTTCTCCTTCAGTAAGAGGTCAGGTCCAGGAAATGGTGACTGACATGGACTGCAAGACTGTGTACCTGAGACTCGCCTCTCAGACTTGCCCTGTCCATCCTATCAGTCTAATTATTCTGTAAGAACATAAAAATGAAGGAACACTGCAGAAGGCCTACTGGTCCTTCTGTCTCATATTATTATCAGGTTTAGCTCCTATAGCTTCTCATAGCTCTAAAGGCTTTGAAGATATGCATGAAGACAGCATTAACTGTTAGAAAAGGATGACCAAGAACCAACTGTAGAAGAATTGGAAGAGAGAGGCTGATAAGATGAGAAAGAGGAACTTGGTGATGAACAATCTGTTCATCTCCAAGTTCCTCCAGTCCTACAGTCATTATGTAAGTACAGTAACTTAACTCTGCAATTAACAACAAAATTTTCACTGAATAAAAACAACTGATATATTCAGAATCATTATTAAAATCAAAACATTGTGCTAAACCTACTGGAGTCATAACAGAGCTGCGACATATCCAGAAGCACTGCTCTGGAACAGCTAATGATGCTCTATCCTCAGCTGTGTAATTTACAGCAGGGTAAAACAAGACAAGAGATGCATTACAAAATACTTGTGCACCTCACTGCAACCACCAACTATGAACTCAGCATCAACACAAGAACCACAAATATTCATCTCAGCCCAGTAAGGCCACATCAACTTCTTCACATAGTCCACATCAAGCAATAACAAGGTAAAATATAACATAGTAGTCTTTACCCAATAGAACATAAACAAAATTGTTTGGCAAATTTACATGTGTCTGGAACATAACCACGTTTTTCCATATGTTCTCGTTTCACCTTAAACTATTTTTTCATAAGACACAAATTGTCGTAAGTGTAACTTGCACGTTACATTAACGAAAATATTTAGTGCAGCGTTCTTACCCAGACTCCAGGTCATCATTCTTACTCATGCCCTCATTGTCACGGCAATATTTGTACCTCCCAGTGATTATTATAGATAAACTTATCAAGACAATTTTGCATTATTCTCTCCATATTAATATTATGTACCAATTATGTACATTTTGAGAGTATAATTAATTAATCTGATGAATTGTCAATAGGCAAATTAAGATAATAAACTAGTCAACAATGAAGTAGTGCGTAATTTTAATAAACCCAATTTAGGACATTTAAGGTAATACTCGAGTACAATTTATTAATCATCTTTCGATTACGTGCAGTGCCTTGTGGCACTGCATGAAATTTTTACATTGGAAAGACCAGTACTATTACTAAACCTTCTCATTGGATTATTGTTTGCAAAAACGCCATGGAATTTTTATTTCGTTTGCTATTATAATTGTGCAGTCGTATTCCTCTTCAACAGTAACCAATTGTGAGATTTCAGTGAATTTCACACAATTGCAAGTTATATATGAAAAATCTTGTTTGTGATCCATAGGTCACTGAGGCGCTACAGTAATACCTTAGCAGTTGTTGAGTTGTGCTGGCCCTGTTTCAGTTACTATAAAAACAAATTGGACTACATACATGGACATGCACACTTGTGCCAGCTTGTGCGTACTCATTTGCACTCATCTCTGATACAGGGGTAATAATTTGATGCTAAATTATATACAAATGTATAAATCCACGGGTATTAAGCCATTGTCATGTTTTTGAGTATTTGATGTATGACCTACATTTGTCTGGCTCATATTCATAAATATACCAATAATAGAAGTTCTCTCTTATTTAGTTTTGCTCATTACCACATATACAACAATGGCCATATCACATTCCTAGCTGGTATGTTAAACTTTTTGCTAGGTTTCTCTTGTCACACTGACATTCAGGGCAATCAGCTCAATCAACTATTCATGATCAGGCAATCTCTCTCAGGGAGACTTTTGCTTTCCAGACCATTTTCCATCGCTCTCTCAACTTTAAAACCACTAGCAACAACGTTGGTCCAAGTTTGGGTAAAACAAAATTGCTTTCCATTAAACTGCAATTAGCTTTCTGGCCATCATCTATCCATGGCTGTCAAGTATAGCAGACCATTTTTACAATTGTGAATTTTACTCTGATACTGCGTGAAGAGATATTCGGAATACCTCTGTAAGGACTATCGGGTCGAGCTATTGGTTCACCGCATCTGAATAGATGGCAGAATTTACTTTCATCTTCACTACTTTTATTTAACACTGGCAGTCTCACACCAAGGCAGGGTAATCCGAAAAAAGAAACGCTTTCACCATCATTCACGTTTTCACTCTCTTGCCAGAGGCAAGCTTAAATGACATCGCTAAAAACTCCACCTTTAATGTCAACTTGCTCAAATTTTTAACTAATCCATTACACCAACTTTGACAAATTTTTGCACCAGCAACACGAACCCTTGGACTCCACTGTCTCCTTTACTCATCCTTGCACCTTAGTGCTATACTCACCTATATGTGGTTGCAGAGGTTTACTGTCTGATGAATAAGTGTTCTTAATAACTCGCCAGAGGAAGTACATAGTTTGGTTGAAGGATTCATCAGTAAAGTTCTTAAGATCCGTGTCTGACACAGCTTCATGTTTCAATTATTATTATTATTATAATCAAGGGGGAAGCGCTAAACCCGGAGGATTATACAGCGCCTGGGGGGGGGGATGTGGAAGGCATTCAGGCTTAATTTGGGGAACTGGAGCACAGATCCAATTCCCTAAATCAAGAGCCCCTCACCAACATCAAGGAACCTTCCTTGAGGGGTTCATGTTTCAAGATAAACCCTACAACTGCTGTCAGGTAATGAATTCAATACATGTCTTGATAACTTTACAAAGATATTAAAGAGCCAGCTTTAAGACTTTCTTTTTTTTGTTAGCATTATTAACACAATTTTTTTTGTTCTTGAGCAGCTATTAGACACAAACAACATATTCTTTATTTGTTCTTATGCAGTTATTTAATATAGGTATTACCCACCAACTTAACAATGGTACTATAGTAAATATCTTTTATTACTTTCTGATAGCAAATATTTTTACTAGTTCTTCAGTATGAATACAGTCCAGTGGTACCTCAGGATACAAATTTGTTCCCATAAGTGGTACCTCAGGATACGAATTTGTTCCCATAAGGAATACATATTGTTAATTAGATTAATCTCCATGGGGAAGTGGAACAGAATTCTTCCTCCATAAGCCATGCGTGTCGTAAGAGGAGACTCAAATGCCGGAAGCAAGGGGCTAGTAACCCCTTCTCGTGTACAAATTACTAAATTTAAAAAGAGAAACTTTCGTTTTTCTTTTTGGGCCACCCTGCCTCAGTGGGATACGGCCGGTTTGTTGAAAAAAAAAATTACATTAATCCGTTTCAGACCCCAATACATACACTTACAAAAGCACTTACATAATTATTCAAATTTTGAGCTGTTTGTATCCCAAGGTACCACTGTATTTGTTTTACACAGGTTTGTGGATAGATTTCATGACCACGGTCACCATCTTCACTTTCTATTAGTTGGAGTAAACATAATTATTTAATGTCAATACAATAAGCCCTTAGTTTACTTAATCAGTGTAGGGGAAGTTGACGAATAATAGGGATTGTGGTAAACAGAGATAGAGATTGTTTAGCCATGATTGTAACACTAAAAAGAAGGTATTGTAAGCAACAAACTTTGTTTGTAAATCACTCAACTTGGTGGAGTTTGTCCTGTATTTCCTAAGTCGGTAAAATGAAGGTCCATTGTATTGAAGATATACTGATTTTCACACCTGTCTTGGGAGTAATCCAGCCATGTCAAGTATCTGATTCTAACAGTTTTATCATGAGTAATCCATTGTCATGCATTTCATGGTTCTTATTCATTTTACATATGTTAATACTTTTTTCAATAGATTTCACCTAAAATTTAACAAAATAAAAAAAATTGAGAACTTATTTTTCAATATCCTTGGAGCGAAGCCGTTATGTATATTACTCATCCTCGACCTGGAGAAAATGTTTCTATAGTGGAGGAAAAACTCTTCGAGGAGGATGCCTTGATATAAGCGTTGTTGGTCCAAGTAACTTGAGCTACTCTACTCTTCCTCTACCCAAGGGAGGTAGGTACCTTGATGCTGGTGAGGGGTTCTTGATAGAGGGACTTAAATATATCGTCTCCCTAGATTGAGCCCAATAGCCATTCATTCCCATTCACTATACGACCCATACAAGTTCAGAACTACCCCTTCCCCCAATCCTCCCTTCAATTATAATAACTGTCCTGCAACACAAGGAACTACGCTTGCTTTCTGTTATTTAATATTGTTATATAACCCTTTAACTGTCCAAACGTAGATTTACATTTTTTTTTACATGCTTTCAAATGGAGAAAATCAAGGTCGGAGCACTATGTACATAACGTAGATCTACGTTTGGACAGTTTAAGGGTTAATATTGAATAATAGTCTTGACAATTTACAAACTTGAGTTCACTTAATTATACCAAGACATGGTAGTGCTAATGGACTGTCACATAATATCATTCCAATCAATGCAATAGTTTTGCAACACGTAGAAAAGTTATTTAATTTTGCAAAGCTGTCTATTTTCTTAAACAATTTGAATTTTTGCATGAAACAAGCACCATTTATATATTTTAATCTGAATTATGAATACAAGCTAATACCTGGCACTTGCATTGTATCTTTTTTTGATGGGTTTTTGAGTCTTCTTACAGCCACAGTTCAGCCCTGGGTCAGGCTTCTCTGGTGCTCGTCTGATCAACTACGTCGCAGCAACCAAAAAATCTATACATCGCTATAGGTATGACTTTAGTTTCCAAAATTTTTTAAAAGATTCAGAATAAGCCATAAAAATTTTATCCATCAGTGTGGGATGTTACTACAAACACACAAGTGTTATGTAAGTGTACACATTTACCTCTGAAGACTTGTACTAATGTTAAACTAATATTTGTACATAAATATTTAAAAATAAATATCAAACATTCTTGAAGTTCTGGTTAAGATCTGGACTAAAAGAACAAAGTCATAATACCATGACTGGAACAATACACAGATAACTCACACATAGGAGAGAGGAGCTCGTGACGTTTCGGTCTGACTGGGACGAAGTCAAACCAAAATGTCAGCTTCCTATGTGTGGGTTATTTGTGTACTGACACTAGTATGCTGCTGCTATGGCAGCAGAGGCTGCTGCTGCTGCTGTTGCTATGGGTTAAGGAAGGCATATTCAGGCATTGAAGTAGAGTAAGAAAAGCAAGATAAAAAATGATACGCAAAATGCTAAACCCAAGAAACAATGTACCTATTACTAAAAAAAAGCTAAATACAGTGGTACCTCGAGCTTCGTACTTAATCCATTCCAGGAGCTAGTACTAAAGTCAGAGCAATATTTCCCATAAGAAATAATGTAAATCCAATTAATCCGTTCCTTCTGTCAGGAGGGATGACAAAATAGTATACTTCAATATGACGTTATCGACTCTACAGCTTATTTATCACAGTTCATCTAATATGACATAAACAATATAAATAACATAACCTGATATACACTCTAGAATGAATAAAATATGCATGTCAATATGTATGTGGTGGCGGGGGAGGACAGCGCTCGCGGGCATTTTTGCTCTAGCTATGAAAACATCTTCTCAGTCTTTCCTCCTCCAGACGTGTTAGTACAGTGGACCCCCGCATAACGATTACCTCCGAATGTGACCAATTATGTAAATGTATTTATGTAAGTGCGTTTGTACGTGTATGTTTGGGGGTCTGAAATGGACTAATCTACTTCACAATATTTCTTATGGGAACAAATTCGGTCAGTACTGGCACCTGAACATACTTCTGGAGTGAAAAAATATTGTTAACTGGGGGTCCACTGTATAAGAGAAAACAGAGTTTGTGAGGCAAACTGCATTAGATCATAAGAAAACCATAATGTACAAATGAACTAGTGAACGTATAAACCATTTACATACCTTGCAGAAGATAGGCAGAACGGCTTACGCTTAATTGCTATACTCTGAACTTAACTGCTTTAAACTCCACATCTTCTGCTGGTGTGCGGGAACACTAAGAGTGTGTCATTAGTCTTGAAGATGTCATATTAATAATGATAATAACACAATAATAACCCAGTCGGCTTGAAGGAGTGAACATAAACCATCCGTGTCCGGACTGGTAAAAACAACAACTGGTTTGTTTACAAGACTCATCAAACCTACGCTCTCATGTACTCATCTATCTCTACATTAAGACTACAAATATTTTAAGATATTGGCAGTTTGGAGGGATATGTTGTGTATCTTTATACGTATATGCTTCTAAACTGTTGTATTCTGAGCACCTCTGCAAAAGCAGTGATAATGTGTGAGTGTGGTGAAAGTGTTGAATGATGATGAAAGTATTTTCTTTTTGGGGATTTTCTTTCTTTTTTGGGTCACCCTGCCTCGGTGGGAGACGGCCGACTTGTTGGAAAAAAAAAAAAAAAAGTAATGTGTGTACTGTATATGCATTTTATCACTTTACAGCACTTTAAAAGCTTAGTATATAACATGTGAGTGGGGTAGCCAGATGGGGGTTACATACCTACCTTACTATTCGCCTTGCACCCTATATTAAGACCATTAAGATTACAAATATTTTACAGTAAGTAATGAGTGTACTTTATATACATTTTATCACTCTAGGACATGTTAAATGCCTAGTATATAATGTGTGAGTGGGGTAGCCAGATGGGGGTTACATACCTACCATACTATATTTACAAGCATAGTATAGCACTTTGTCTAGATTTTTTGGGGTTATCCTAGGTAATTTACACTACGTATAATTGTATTTATGTGCACCTGTGAGATAGAGCCAGCCGGCCAAACACGTTTTACACATTCCAGAATTGTTTCACTTAGGGCATAGGTTGTAAGACATTCTGAAAGGGTGTTGCACAAATGTTGGACATGGGTTATTATTGAGGTTTTTGACATTTCCTCGACCACTTATGGCCACATCCACCTCAAAGCCACTAAACTGGGGGGGTCAACATCACTTTCTTCTTAAAATGGGAGTGTTAATACTACATGACATCAGTGAATCCCAGGTGTTTGCCGCGCTGTTTGCTCTAGCTGGCACTTAGTTGAACTGGTGGTCCCACAAGGTACTAAGTGGTCCCAGATTTTTTTTAATACTGCACACACCGAGTGTTAAGACCTATTCTGACCAGGCATTAAGACTAAAAATATTTTAAGGTAAGCAATGAGTGTACTGTACATTCATTTTATAGCTCTAGGGCACCTTAGATGCCTAGTATATAACGTAATGTTCACTCGAGAAACAAAGCCAGACAGACTCGCTACGGCTGTGTGGGGAGGTGGGCAGGTCTGGTAAGCGGGACGAAACACGAGGCAGTGCAAAACTTGGGACAAAATTTAGCCAAAAAAAAACGTTCTAAACTCGAAACGTACGAAACTCAGGGTTCCACTGTATAAGGAAAGGAGAAAACACAATGAAATCTCCTGGTAGATTATTAAATTCATAGAATATTTATGTTGGTTTGTAATTTAAGGTAAACAAAATCATATTTTACAGCAATATATTTGTAATATCAATCTCATATACATGAACCTCAAGACATGTATTAAACATTCATTCAACCTTGTAAAATATTGAATGGTGTTGAAATATTCACAAAATATGTCAATATGACTATCACAGAATATCTTGACATTTCCCTAGTACTGTATATAATGGTCACCTACAACAGTGTTATAACAAAGCATAATTCACAACTATATACTGTACTTCATAGGATTGTGGGGAAGGAGACAAATATAGTATAAAGGTGTCCTTACAGGATCAAATTTTAGCATTATACTGTATTTCTCTCTCTCCATCGTTCTGGTATTTTATACCATTACTCTCCATTTTTTTTTTTTTGCCTTGTCGGCAAAACTTTGTAAAGATCAAAATTTTACAAACCAAAAGGAATAAAACACTGTTATATTTTGTTTTGTACACCAGTGATAGAATTACTATAGCATATTTTAAAAACCAATCTTTGTATATTCAATGCTGATAATAGTATCAGTAGATGTAATTACTGTATTACACTATGATTCTCTAATGGACAATTTTTACTTTAAATTTGAAATACGACGTCTTGGACTCAACGACGCATAACATTTAATATCTTGTAAAAAAAAAAAAAAGGCCCTTTCCAGATAATTAATGAAAATGTGTAAATTACAGTGGACCCCCGCATAACGACATTAATCCGTTCCTGAGAGCTCATTGTTATGCGAAATTATCGTTATGCGAATGAATTTTCCCCATAAGAAATAATGGAAATCAAATTAATCCGTGAAAGACACCCAAAAGTATGAAAAAAAAATTTTTACCACATGAAATATACATTTTCCTACACACAAAGAGAAGGATACATGCACAATATATATTGTGCATGTACTACTCTACTAAATGAAGAATAAATGACACTTACCTTTATTGAAGATGCAGCAATGACTGATGAGACACTGTGTCCTGGGAGTGCCTTTTCCTTCTGAGTACTGTAGGTCCTGTTTGGCATTTTCTTCCAGAACAGGCCTTGTCACACTGTGTATGCCACTACGACTCTTAAATCTCTCAAACCAACCTTTGCTGGCTTTAAATTCACCAATATGAGCACTAGTTCCAGACATTTTTTCCCTGTTCACCTGGGTGTTAGTCGACTGGTGTGGGTTGCATCCTGGGAGACAAGATTAAGGACCCCAATGGAAATAAGTTAGACAGTCTTCAATGACACTGACTTTTTTGGGTTATCCTGGGTGGCTAACCCTCTGGGGTTAATTGTTTCTTGGTATTCTCAATAAGCCACACCAACGACAGTGCTAGAGCAGCAGCAGCATCAGCATCAGCAGTTGACCATGGTACCACAGTATTTTGATATTTCTCGCCCTTTTTACCACAGGGTTGGCACTAGAAGCTTTCTTGGGGCCCATGGTCACTTATTTTGCAGATAAAAATCACCAAAAACGCTGTAATAATACGAAATGTTCCGATTGTATGCTTGGATGTTACCGCGGAGGCTGGCTTGTAAACAATGCCACCGGCGGAACATGTGAGGCTGGCTCAGGCCTCACATAGACGCGTCTCGGACGAATAGCGTTGAGCGAGTTTTTTATCGCTATGCGAGGCAAAATTTTAGTGATAAAATGTATCGCTATGCGGATTTAACGTTATGTGATGCCAACGGTATGCGGGGGTCCACTGTAGTTGGAAAACCAATGCAAATTTTTCTCCATTTAGAAGAAAGTGAAATAACTTATTATTTAAGTGAAAGTTTAGGAATTACTTTACTAACCCAGGGAACAATTTAAATTATTTGAATACCTTTTATTTTAGACGATTTGTACAACTTTTTTTTTTTTTTTATCCTAGGATTTAGAAGAATCGTGTGACGAGGACAAAGTATTAGGTATAGAAGCAGCTGGTACCGCTCCTCTGACTGAAGTGGGCGATACTATTCGTGCTAACACCGGCTTCCCTGAAAAACATAGAAGTAAAAGTTAGTTCTCCAATACACTTCGCTGGCAGGTTCTGGATCTCAGCAGGATTCAAAGCCAAGTCAGACCACTTGGCCAGCAATGTTTCTCCCAGTCCAAGCACACCATTGACCCTCAAGCTACTTCATTCTCCTGTATGTTCTGACCTCACAAGCGATATTTATATAAATGCACAAACAGGTATGTACAAAGAAAGACCACAGCATGTATTGTACGAGTACACAGTTTTATAATATACAAGTATCATTAAAGGTTTAGAAGAAAAAGCTTTGTTACCCCATTATTAGGTGGAACATGAGAAAACTTTCAAAGCAACTGCACAGGACATATCCTGTTCGATCAAACTTGACTGTCTCCTATACAACCAGGCAGGAGCTGCTACGGCAGCAGCCGCTGCTGCTGCTGCTACATCCTTCGAAGACCAAAATATGTACAGTACTATAAAAAATAATTAAAAAGTATATATACTGCATATATAACCCAATAAAGTTTATTAACATTACTTATTTCCCTGTTTTGAGAAGTATTATACTGGGAAACAGTTGTAATGTTTTAAGTACAGTGGACCCCCGGTTAACGATATTTTTCACTCCAGAATTATTTTCAGGTGCCAGTACTGACCGAATTTGTTCCCATAAGGAATATTGTGAAGTAGATTAGTCCATTTCAGACCCCCAAACATACACATACAAACGCACTTACATAAATACACTTACATAATTGGTTGCATTCGGAGGTGATCGTTATGCGGGGGTCCACTGTATTTATTGTACATAGCCTTAGAAGAGCAAAATAGTAATAAATAAAAACAAGTCAAACTGTATATTCTAAGTGAAGCCATATTTTAAATGCTAAAACACCTTGAAACATATACAGTGGACCCCCGCTTAACGATCACCTCCCAATGCGACCAATTATGTAAGTGTATTTATGTAAGTGTGTTTGTACATGTATGTTTGGGGGTCTGAAATAGACTAATCTAATTCACAATATTCCTTATGGGAACAAATTCGTTCAGTACTGGCACCTGAACATACTTCTGGAATGAAATAATATCGTAAACCGGGGGTCCACTGTACTAGTTTTTTATAACACTAGATGTGTGTTAAACATAAGAGCAATTAAAAAATAACATATTAGCGATGTTTACATTTTCCAATTTATTGATGCTGTTACTGATTAGTGATCACTTCAACTTCAACACGCCATAAATTCGTAAGTTTTCATCAGATTTCAGTCAATTTTGCTCTTATTAAATTCAGAAAAATAACTTGCATTGTTCTATATAATTTTTTTTTTCAAAATCCTTACCCCCCCCCCCCACACAAGAATTTTTTTTCCAGGAGTTTCCACAGTTAGTGTCACGTGTACGTTCACTGATGTTCATGAACTAACACATCATGCAGATTGTATTAAAAAATATGAGATAAATTACAGATTTCCCTTGTTTTACACAAATTCACGATTATTGATGTCGTAAATTTGTACGTACATCTTACAGTCACTGTAATAAAACGTATCATGCCTATTTTATGCACTAAGTTCTCAAGTTACGAACACATTGGGGACCTGAATAGTGAATATTCCTAATACAGAAAGTGTTCAAGTTATGAACACATTGGGGACCTTCTATATTGTATAATACTGATATACACAATATAGAAGATTCTCAAAATAAGTTGAGGAGTTACTGTATATTGCACATAATTATATATGAAGTAACTGAGTTTAGTACAGATACCAACATTAAACAAGGGCCACCTGTAATTATCCAAACACAAAAGCACAAACCTCTCTGCTGCTGTGTGACTTGGGATGCTGGAATTACTTTCAGAGTATGAAAGGCCTGTAGACCTTTAAGATTGAGCTGAGAGCCCTGGAGAGCAGAGGCTGGCAGGACAATCTGTTGTCCACCTGCTCCACTAGCTACTACTACTGCACCCTGACTTGCTGCAGTCTGAGTTGCTTGGCTACCTTGTAGTCCGCCTTTTAAACTTCCGCTAGTTAACATCAGCTGAAAAGTAATAAAATGTACATTCTATGCGTAATAACTATGTCATGCTAAATGAGCCACCAACAGGGGGGGGGGAGAGGGGGCGACAAAGCGTGATCGCAGGTACAAGGGCGATATTAAAGGTCCATACCTGTGAATTACAGGTTAGTGATTCAAGATTTTAGCAAGGTTATTTGTATATAGGAATTGGGTCAGGTGCTAGTAGAGAGTAGAAGAGGTTGTGTGTGTTTGCAGGTCTGCGTAGTTCGTCATCTAAGTATGAGGTCCAGTAGTCATGTCTGGTCTCTAGTCTGTTTGTCACTAAACAATTTCCAGTACACGTTTAGTGCAGGGATGTTTGCACGGGCGTGGATGGACTCGCTTGTGATGAATTCATCCCAGCAGGTGCTAAACACCCAGCGTAAGGCTTTGTTCTGGATGCGTTGTAATTTACGTTGGTTTGTCACAGCTGCTAGGGAGAGGGCTAGTGGGCAGTAAGTTATTAGTGGACGAATGAGGGTTTTGTACAGGTGTAGTTTCGTTTGTATGGAGGCTTGCCTTAGCTTGAATAGCCCCGATAAGGCCTTGGATGCAACGGCTTGCTTCTGGTTGATGTGTAAGTGTATTCGCATGTTTTGGTCTAGAAGTACTCCTAGGACGTTGGTTGTCCGTGAGACAGGGATGTTGGTTGTCCGTGAGACAGGGATGTTGGTGTGGGTATCAGCTATCCTGAGTGTTACTGGAGGGGGTGGTTCACGTTTCCTGTAGTGGAAGTAGGTGATTTTGGATTTTGCAGGGTTGGTTTTAATTCTCCATTTTTGTTCCCAATGTGTGATCTGGTCTACTTCGGCTTGTGTTCTGCGGGCTAGAGTGGTTATTTGATTGTGTGTGGTGAGTTGGGTGATGTCGTCTGCATATGCAAGTGTGATGGTGGAGTCAAAGGCAGGTGTTGGGATATCGTTGGTGTAAAGGATGTAGAGGGTGGGTTAGAGGACTGAACCCTGAGGAACTCCAGCATGTAGTGGGAAGTACTGTGAGAAGCATCCCTGGAACTTAATCCTCATGGTCCTATCATCTAGGAAGTTACATAGTAGTTTGCTGATAGTCCGAGGGAGGTCGAAGTTGGTACATAGTTTAAACTTTAGACCATTGTGCCACACTGTGTCAAAGGCTTTTTCTACATCTTTAGCTACTAGAGCTGTCTTTTTCCCTTGGTGATGGTTTATGTGGATGTAGTTTAGAATTAAATTGAGTGCGTCTTGGGTGGAGCGGTTTGATCTGAAGCCAAATTGGCCATTATATAAGAGGGAGTTTGTTTCGAGATGTCTACGTAGTCGTGAGTTTATGATTTTTTCATAGATCTTTCCCAGTACTTCGAGCAGGGCTGATGGGGCGGTAGTTTTTTGGGTCAGAGTGGTTTTTATTGGGTTTTGGGATGAGGATAGCAGTGGCTGCTTTGAAGAGAGTGGGGAAGTAGCCGATGCTAGTGATGCATTGAGTAGGTTGGTGAAGGCTGAGATGATGGAGTCAGGGAGGTGTTTTAGGATGATGTGGTTGATGCCGGAGGCTCCTGGGTCTTTTGGAGAGAGGCGCTGAATGAGAGTTTTAATGTCATAGGCTGTGATGGGGGTGTCCAGTTCCTGAGTGGCAGTGAGTGAGTCAAGTTGTATATACCTATCAGGTGTCGTTAGGTGTACGTGGTCAGTGTTCCATTGGTCTATTTGTGTATGTGGCAGAGTGTCTGGTAGTGGAGGGTGTGGGTGGAAAATGTTCTCACATATTTCTTTGAAGATGTTTGTTGCTGTTTGTGGGTCGGTGATGTTTCTGTTGTCGTGGGTGATGTGTTCGAATTTTTTGTTGTTGTTGTTACCTCGGATTCTGTTGATGATGTTCCAGAAAGTTTTGGGGTCTTTTATGCGTTGCTCATTTGCCTGGTGTACGAGTCCAGCCCAGTGGTGGTTGTGGTCCTGCTCTAGGCTATGAGGTATGTTATTCCTGAGGTATGTGAGGTCCTGTCTTACCAGGTTGAATCTGTGTGTGTTGTGGCGGAAGCAGTTGTGGTAGCATATGAGGAGTCTTTTGGTTCTGATTGATGGAGTGAATGAGTATCTAATGGTGTGTGTTTTAGTGGGTATCACAGTGTTGGTTGCACATTTTATTGTCTCAAGGATGGTGTCGAGCTGTGTGTCAATGTCTATGATTTGTTTGTTGTTGTAGTCGTAGTTTAGGTTAGTGTTGTTGATGGAGTTTTGGAAGGACTCCCAGTTTGCCTTCTTGTATGCTGGTGTTGGTGGTGTAGGAATACAAATTGGGTTAGTCGAGATATGTAGGATGATGGGAATGTGGTCAGATCCAGTGATGGGACCAGGAGCTATGTAGTGTTGGAAGAGAGTGCTGGCTCTGTTTGTGAGTATTATGTCAGGTTTTCCTTGTCCTTGGTGCCCATAGAATGTGTTGAAGTGTGGACCTAGGTACCGTAGATGTTTGCGGTTTGAGAAGTTATGTAGTTGTGTGCCTAGTTGGTTGGTGGAGTTGTGGTTGAAAGCTGGGTGTTTTCGCATTCATGTCTGCCAGCAGGTATGAGGGAGTGTTGGTGTGGTTGAAGACGAGAGATAGGTCGTGTGCATTGAGAGCTGTGTTGGGCCTAGCATATGTGGTGAAGAATATGAGGGGTCCTAGTTGAGTGTGTAGCCTGACAGCTAGGGAGTGTTGGTGTGTGAAATGTAGAGGTAGGAATTCGTGTCTAATGGTGGAGTTGACCAGGATGGCAACTCCATCGTGTGGGTCTTGTGGGGATTGTTTGGTGGTATAGCCAAAGTGTCGAATGTGTTGGTTTGCCTGTAGGCTTGTGCTGTTTAGTAGAACTACATCAGGTTTTTCTGCTTCGATGAGCTCATCTATCATGTGTCTAATGTGGTAGTAATGTCTCACATTGAGTTGGATTACCTTGAAGATGTCAGTGAAGGTTGGGAAGCAGGAGAGTTGTTATCTACTTCTAGTGAGGGGCCAGGCTCAGCTATGGTGTGGATATTAAAGGAATCAGGTCGTATGCCCATGAAGGTGATGTTCCCAGAGGTGTGAGTGTATGTTTGGTCGTGGAGGCGCTTCCTGGAGGGGGAGGGGGAAACCCTTCTGCTTTGTGTGTTCTGTGTTCTTTCATGTTCCCTGGATTGTCTATCATAAGTGGGTGCGGGTTGGGGTTTGGTTGATTTCCTCCTGTGGGCTGAGGTGGATCTTGTCGTGTTGTGTGTTTGGTTAGAGCTGGCTGACTTGGGCGTAGGAGTGGAGGAGGGGCAGGGGTGGAGGGAGTGGAGGAGGGCCAGGTGAGGGGCAGGAGGGGAGGGGAGGTTGCGGGTGGTAGTGGGGGGTTGGGGGAGGGGAGTCTCGGGGGGTGGCATGGTGGTTTGGCTCAGGCTGTGGAGGTGGGGGAGAGTCATGGGTAGGTTGGGTGGGAGGGGGTGGCAGGGGGGATGGGGAGCGAGGGGGGAGGGGGAGTGACTGTGGGGGGCTGGGGAGAGGAGGGAAGACGAGTTGGGGTAGGCTGTTTGCTGCGAGTATAGCATTGAGGGCATGTGGGAAGTCTAGCTGGTATATCTGGTTTATTGCTATGGCTGAGTGTACAGCTGTAATGATTTTGCAAGTAAGAGTGAGATCAGGTGTGTATGCTAGTCCTTGTGTGTTGAGGTTGGGTGGGCTGGTTGTGGGTTGAGGTGTGTTCTGGGCAAGCCGTGGGGTTGGTTGGGTCCAGGAGAGTGGGGTTGCCCATGCGTTGGGGGGGGGGTGGGTGGAGGGTGGTTCATTGCCTCTAAGTGACTTTTGGTAATCCCTACGAGTTTGGCAAGAGTTTGATACAACAGCGTGGCGTTGATTACAGTTGATGCATTTTTTAGTGGCTTTGCAGGTTGTCCAGTAGTGGCCTGACCCTGCACACCTGGAACAGGTTTGAGTGGCAGTGCAGGAGTCTTTTTCATGTCCATATTTATAGCATTTCAAACATTGAGTTATGTGGTGATAGTTGATGGAATAAAGAGAGTCAGGTGGTATGCGAATAGTTTTTGCCAGGATTCCTTTCTGGAAGAGTCTAGAAGCTTCGTCAGGCGTGTAGCAGCGTATTTTGAGAATGTTGGAGTTAGGTGGTCTGTATATGTCGTCTATAGCGACCTTATTCCTAGTGCTGATGTCATTTATGAGGTCTGTTTCATTGTTGTCATAGGCAGTAAGGAGGGATGGGTCAACTTGTTTTGCAATTACTGTGCTCTTGGCCCAATGTTCTGGGCTCCATAAAATGGAGAAGCCGGCATCTTTCAGTTTCTGTCGGGGTGCAGTCGCTGTACAGATGTCGTAAGAGTGTTTGTCAAGGATAAGTTTGAAGCCTGTTTCTGTTTTGTATATTCCTGACTGAGGTGCTTGAGTTATGTTGTAGTGTGTGTCACTAGCTGATAAAGAGTGGTGGTCCTCTTTGGAGTACTTGAGGAGGAGAGTGAAGGAGGGTTCCTTGCGTGAGGTAGGGTGGGGAGGGGGGCGGAGGCTAGAGAGAGAGACGTCGGCATGGGAGGTGGAGAGCCTTGCGGTTGATTCATCGTGACAACTTATCACGGGGCAGGGCAGCCAGTCGTGTTGGCTCAGGTAGTGATCGTGGGGCGTCAAGAGTATGTTCTGGTGTGTGTACCTGCCAAGATTTGGCATCCTGTGCGGTAATCACCTGGATTCGGCCACAGGCACCATTTGAACGAATACTCCCACCGACGCAGGAGTAGGTTCGCCCGGTCCAGAAGAAAAGAAACGTGGTTAGGGAGGAGGGAAAGGCGTTGGTGTTACCCAAGTGATGTAGTCTAGCCGATCCACTGTGTGGGTATCTTTAACCACCTCAGTGAAGTGGGTTCGACTGGCTTCTTAGGAAATTATGACGCAAAAGTATTCTGACACCGTGTCACGCAAAAAAAAAGATATTGGTCATCAGAGATGCTGTCTAGATATTCTCAGAAGTTTGATATATAATGAACATGCCATAGAGATTCACTGTATGCTAAGGTTGTGTTTGCTTGAAGCAGAGAGACTGGGATTCTATGGATTGAAGGTTGGCAGACGTTACCCAGGATTGTGGTGACGGGAATCACGCAGCTTCAGGAGTGCAGAGGTCAGTGTACTGCCCTTGGGTAGGAGGACGATGATGCACTGTTCCTGTGCTGGAGGTTGTTTGCCAATGGTTGTGCTTGCTACTGGTGGGAAGTTCAGCAGGTGTTTCTCTGGGTTGTGGTGAGAATCACGCAGCTGCAGGAGTGCAGAGGTCGGCGAGCTGCCCTTGGGTAGGAGGCCAACGACGCACTGCTCCTGCACTGAAGGCTGAGGTAAGGATTCTGCAAGACAATGGTAGAATGCCTCTCCCACACGGGGATCGTAAGGCACTGGAGGAGAACAGCTGCTGCTACATTTGTCCTGTTTCCTGATGAACCTTACCGAACCTAACCTGTGTCCTGCCGTAACGCGTACACCAGTAAGATCTAGACTGTGCGAAAGCGAGTAAAACCTGCTAAACAGCAGGTTAAGATCTAGACTGCTGCTGTAAAGCGAGTCAAAACCTTGCTAATACAGCAGGTTAGGATCTAGACTGCTGCTGTAAAGTGAGTCAAAACCTTGCTAATACAGCAGGTTAGGATCTAGACTGCTGCTGTAAAGTGAGTCAAAACCTTGCTAATACAGCAGGTTAGGATCTAGACTGCTGTTGTAAAGTGAGTCAAAACCTTGCTAATACAGCAGGTTAGGATCTAGACTTGCTGTAAAGTGTCAAAACCTGCTAATACACAGTAGATCTAGACTGCGGTTGTAAAGTGAGTCAAAAACTTTTTTCACTTGCCAATGCATATAAAAAAAAGCCTAAAAACATGTTTACACTATTAAGTAAATGAACATTTCAGATCAATTAATTATTAAAGGAAGGCTGAAGGGGACAGTGGAGCTTCATCTGAGTCTTCAACTTGCTCCATTCAGCTCGGAGTCGGCTGAATCACTGAAAATCACAAATACGAATATACAAGAAGTCTTCAACTTACGAACATGTTGGGGACCTTCTGTATTGTGTATAATAATGATTTAATAACGATGTTATACAAAGTAATGATATACACAACACTCTAATAATCTAATACTGATACCTTCAAAATTAGCCAGTACCCACCTATACCAATACTTTTAGGCTGATGCCATCAAAATCAGCTGATAACAATACTTTGCAACAGCCCTAGACTCTTTACCACATTTTGTAACTGCCAGTAGTCACCTCTAACAAACATGGGTGCAAAATGTACCTGCTGCAGTTGTCCTTGTTGTGTGAAAGGTTTAGATGTAAGTAGCACTTGCTTGCCACCAATTGTAATGAGGTTACCAGTTGCTGTTGATCCACCTGCAACAACAGTGCCACCTCCACCTCCGCCGGCAGTTGGTTGTACTAGACGAATACCCCCACTGGAGAGCATCGAAGGTTTGCCGCTCATATTTATACCCTAAAAACATTTATAAAACTGTAATATAACCAAAAAATACGTTTCATCATCATAAAGGAAGGGGATTTAATGCTAAGCACTTGTCAATAAGACCCCATATTATAGTACGTCCTCTCCTCACTTAACGACAGAGTTCCATTCCTAAGACCACATCGTTAAACGAATTCTTCGTTAAGTGAGGAGCATAATGTCACCTCTGCACCATTAATAACATTTCTGGTGTATTTTTAAATGATTATACAGTAGTGTACTGTATATTGCAATAAACAGAAGAGGAAATCTGGTCTAATATACATTATTTAGGTATAAATACTGGTCAGAGAGCCTGTCGTAAGTCCAAGGTGTCAGTAAACGAGTACGTCGCTAAGTGAGGAGAGGCTGTACTTATTATTTTGACACTCAAAACTAAGCACTAAACCCACAAGGTTCACACAGCACTGCAGGGCAGGATGTACTAATGATATATTATGTGAAGATCAGAGACCAGCGAGGGCAAGAAGTATGCAGGAAGTAAAGCGAGTCAGATTAGTGGGATATTATGGTTTTGTACAGTCCCCCCCCCCCTTTGACATTATTCATTCAATAAATACTATTATAAATATAAAAGTTTGTAATCTGCAAGAAATAAAAGTTGACTCACAAGACTCAGTCTGATATTTCCGCACTGCTCTGAATTTTAAGTCAATCTGCTGTTTCTTGTATTATTTTTGTATTCTTGATTTACAAACAAACCATACCACGGGTGGGGTTTGAACCCGGGATCAGAGAGTCTCAAAACTCCAGAGACACTCTGATCCCGGGTTCAAACCCCATCCGTCGAGGTATGGTTTTTTTTTTGTATTCTCTGGGAAGCGCTAAACTTGTAGAAAGTCATGCAGCACCTTGGAAAGGGAGTACTATTTATTAGCTTTAACTCCTCGGACCAATAGTTCTTGAAGAGTCTCCAATAATTAACTATTAGTAAATTATGATAATATATGAGGAAAGAACATAAATAACTCTTGTTAAATTAACTCAAGATATATCGTACAGCTACAATGAATGTAGTAAACTTGTACGTTTGTGAAGTAACAGTCTTCATGAACAAAAAATATGGAATCGGGAATCTCTCTTGATCTAAAGACAAAAATTTATCTGATTTCAAAACCGTTGACTGTGTAAAGGAAGACATTTTTGTAAACAAGCATTCAACCTTTGCCTTCGATATACCTTCAGTGAGTTTTGAGAGTCTCATTAATCTCAGAGCCTTGCCATGGGCCTGGCTTGTCTGGTGTTTGCCTGGTCAACCAGGCTGTTGCTGCTGGATGCCCACTGCCTAACTTATATCATTAACACTATAAAAACAATGTCTAACTTTTCAAAATGTAGTTACAATAAAGTACAGTATTTGCAAAATGCTGTACGTCATTATACAGGTCTCTTAGATTTTGACACAAAATGTGCAGCATTTCTCATTTTTTTTACTGCTATATACAAAATTAATAAATAATAATTTAATATTAAATTTAGGTGAACACAAACCTCAGTCTATCACCTATGTAACTATACTTATAATTCTCACTAATACAATACTGCTAACTACAGTCACTTGTATTTCTATTACCCTATGCCATGTGCAACTACAGGTGTCCCACAGCTGGGTTGGTAGCACACTCATCTCACACATTCAGGTCCATGGTTCAATCCCCAGTATGGGGTTGCAAAAATAAACTTAATTGTCCAGCCTTTTTCTATAATAAAGTCTGCCCTGGAAGTCCCTGCCAATCCAGGAACCAAAAATCCCTCTAAATAATATATGCATCATTGTAAATTCTCTTAACATTCAGCATTTCTGGCAAGACTTGATCTAATTTTTTTTTTTTTTAATGAACCAGCCATATACTGCTGAGGCAGGGTGACCTAAAAACAAAAACGAAAGTTTTTATTTTTAAATTTGGTAATTTATACAGGAGAAGGGGTCATTAGCCCCTTGCTCCCGGCATTTTAGTTGCCTCTTATGGCATGCACGACTTACGGAGGAAGAATCCTTCTCCATTTCCCCATATATGCAATAAGATCACAGTAAACAGGTGGTATCACAATATGTCAGAACAACCTGTGAAAAATAGTGAAATCCCAAGTGCTTTTGTGATTTCTCACATTATCAAGGAACTGTACAGTTCCTTGATAATGTGAGAAATCATGAAAGCGCTTGGAATTCTACTATTTTTCACTGGTTATCCATATATATATAGTAATAACATGTAGGTAAACAACAGCAATAATAATGCTTAAGAACATTATACTGAAGGAGTTAAAATTTGATTACTTAACTCCTATATCTCCCATGAAGATCCACAGTGTGTAGTCTTCACGTAAGTGTTACTAACCTAGCATTACTGACTATTCTAATAATGGTTTTTTGGTTTTGATGTGCTGTTGGAGTGTAAGCAAGGTAACATTTATGAAGGAATTCAGGGAAACTGGCAGGCCGGACTTGAGTCCTGGAGATGGGAAGTACAGTGTCTGCACTCTGAAGGAGGGGTGTTAATGTTGCAGTTTTATAACTAGTGTAAGCACTTCTCTGGTAAGACAGTGATGGAGTAAATGATGGTGAAAGTTTTTCTCTTTCAGGCCACCCTGCCTAGGTGGGAGACCGCCAATGTGTTAATAATAAAAAAATTTGACACCTCACTAGTAGTTAACACTTTATTCATAATTAACATGCCATGAAATGCAGTATTTCCTCACTTTCTTTGTTTTCTACCTAAAACTGATTTGTCTATGCAAAATGATTTTTTCATGGGAAATTTTGAGGTAATTATTTAAATTCTCTTAACCCGTAACGTTCGAAACGGAGTATCTTTTTTCAACATGGAAAGTTGTGCAGACAGGTATACAATACCGACAGGAGAAAGTTAAGACACTTGTGCAACATTGTTATCTTATTGTAAACGTTCGCATCCATGGCTTATCAATACATTTTCTTGGCATCATGAGGTGGTGTCTTCAAACCGTGGTTGTAGAGATTACTCTCAACCTCTATCAACCACGTGTTGTAACACCACCTCAAGCTGAGGGACTGATTACTCATCTTTTGTATATATTTCTTCTGTTTTCAAATTTTTGTTTTTTCAACAAGTCGGCCGTCTCCCACCGAGGCAGGGTGACCAAAAAAAAAAAAAGAAAATCCCCAAAAAGAAAATACTTTCATCATCATTCAACACTTTCACCACACTCACACATTATCACTGCTTTTGCAGAGGTGCTCAGAATACAACAGCTTAGAAGCATATACGTATAAAGATACATAACATATCCCTCCAAACCGCCAATATCCCAAACCCCTCCTTTAAAGTGCAGGCATTGTACTTCCCATTTCCAGGACTCGAGTCCGACTATATGAACATAACCGGTTTCCCTGAATATTACCCTGCTCACACTCCAACAGATCGTCAGGTCCCAAGTATCATTCGCCTCCATTCACTCCTATCTAACACGCTCATGCATGCTTGCTGGAAATCCAAGCCCCTAGCCCACAAAACCTCCTTTACCCCCTCTTTCCAACCCTTTCGAGGACGACCCCTACCCCTCCTTCCTTCCCCTCTAGATTTATATGCTTTCCATGTCATTCTACTTTGATCCATTCTCTCTAAATGACCAAACCACCTCAACAACCCCTCTTCTGCCCTCTGACTAATGCTTTTATTAACTCCACACCTTCTCCTAATTTCCAGGACATCTCCACTGCCTCCAACCGTCTCCTCGCTGCTGCATTTACCACCCAAGCTTCACATCCATATAAGAGTGTTGGTATACTATACTTTCATACATTCCCTTCTTTGCCTCCATAGATAACGTTTTTTGACTCCACATATACCTCAACGCACCACTCACCTTTTTTTCCCTCATCAATTCTATGATTAACCTCATCCTTCATAAATCCATCCGACGACACGTCAACTCCCAAGTATCTGAAAACATTCACTTCTTCCATACTCCTCCTCCCCAATTTGATATCCAATTTTTCTTTATCTAAATCATTTGATACCCTCATCACCTTACTCTTTTCTATGTTCACTTTCAACTTTCTACCTTTACACACATTCTCAAACTCATCCACTAAACCTTTGCAATTTTTCTTTAGAATCTCCCATAAGCACAGTATCATCAGCAAAAAGTAACTGTGTCAATTCCCATTTTGAATTTGATTCCCCATAATTTAATCCCACCCCTCTCCCAAACACCCTACCATTTACTTCTTTTACAACCCCATCTATAAATATATTAAACAACCATGGTGACATTACACATCCCTGTCTAAGACCTACTTTTACCGGGAAGTATTCTCCCTCTCTTCTACACACCCTAACCAGAGCCTCACTATCCTCATAAAAGCTCTTTACAGCATTTAGTAACTTACCACCTATTCCATATACTTGCAACATCTGCCACATTGCTCCTCTATCCACTCTATCATATGCCTTTTCTAAATCCATAAATGCAATAAAAACTTCCCTACCTTTATCTAAATACTGTTCACACATATGCTTCAATGTAAACACTTGATCTACACATCCCCTACCCAAGCTGAAGCCTCCCTGCTCATCCACAATCCTACATTCTGTCTTACCTCTAATTCTTTCAATTATAACCCTACCGTATACTTTTCCTGGTATACTCTGTAAAAATTATAGAGGAATAAGTTTACTATCTCTTTTGTCCCCTTTCCCTTTATATAAAGGGACTATACATGCTCTCTGCCAATCCCTAGGTACCTTCCCCTCTTTCATACATTTATTAAACAAAAGTACCAACCACTCCAACACTATATCCCCCCCTGCTTTTAACATTTCTGTCATGATCTCATCAGTTCCAGCTGCTTTACCCCCTTTCATTCTACGTAATGCCTCTCATACCTCCACTACACTTACATTCTGCTCTTCTTCACTCCTAAAAGATGATATACCTCCCTGACCAGTGCATGAAATTACTGCCTCCCTTTCTTCCTCAACATTTAAAAGTTCCTCAAAATATTCTCTCCATCTACCTAATACCTCCCTCTCCCCATCTACTAACTCCCCTACTCTGTTTTTAACTGACAAATCCATACTTTCCCTAGGCTTTCTTAACTTGTTTAACTCACTCCAAAATTTTTTCTTATTTTCATTAAAATTTCTTGACAGTGCCTCTCCCACTCTTTCATCTGCTCTCCTTTTGCACTCTCTCACCACTCTCTTCACCTTTCTTTTACTCTCCATATACTCTGCTCTTCTTATAACACTTCTGCTTTGTAAAAACCTCTCGTAAGCTACCTTTTTCTCTTTTATCACAACCTTTACTTCATTCCACCAATCACTCCTCTTTCCTCCTGCCCCCACCCTCCTATAACCACAAACTTCTGCCCCACATTCTAATACTGCATTTTTAAAACTATTCCAACCCTCTTCAACCCCCCCCACTACTCATCTTTGCACTAGCCCACCTTTCTGCCAATAGTCGCTTATATCTAATTATATATTCTATATTATATATTCTAATTATGGAGATTCATTTAGGCCAATTATCAGCCCTTTAAAACCATGGACACCATTCTTATACTGATGAACACTCTAGACCAAAGACACCAATGTTAAACCTAGAGACGACACTTTCAGACTATAGATACAAGTTTCAGACCCATGAATGATACTTTTAGACCTATGGGGATCACATATATCAACTTTCTGTTTACAAGTACCGAGAGAGCAAACTCAAGAAAGCACATTTGCTATTTCTACATACACTATGCTGCAGTTATGCCATCATGGTTGATTAAGTTTTATTCTACACCTGAATGAGTGATGAAAGCATATTCAGATAAGCACAGTATTGTAAGTTATAAAGATGGTAGGATGAGTTATACTTAGCAACAATATTATCTGTGTACTGTCTTGTTTGAATCTTAACATATTGGCTAATGCTCAATAATAACACACGTGGAGACAGAAACTCAGAAGATAAATTAATCTGTATATTTTGATACCATATTCTAGGATCCTCTTCAGATGCTGAGTTTTTGTTTCCCCGTGAGTTACTATTAAGCATTACCAAGTGTTTATTATACTTTAGTTATTCATATTGAGTAATATGAAGTTTCTGGTTCCGACGATGCTGGAGTAATGAGGTGAATGAGGAAACCCAAATTGTGCGACAATTATGGGCATTCAAATTTAAGATTACAGCAAGACATACCGCAAACCCTAAATCCCCAGCTGGTCTGAAGAAAGGCTAAGACAATCAGAACTTTAGATTAAATGAATCACTAGTTGCTAAGGCATTGCATTTGGTTGTTAAAGGGTTCTGTAACTCCAAATTGATTGTAATATACAATCTTGTTTTAAATTATGTCTTCGATTATTTACAAAAGTGGCTATTCTTTGCCTTCACCTGCAGAGGGAGCATCTCTCTTTCTAGTCTGCATCTTCTCTTCTTTTTTCTTAGGAAATGTACCTTGAGCATACCTCAAGTGCCACAAAGCTAATTCTTTCAAGGAAAAGGTTAATATTCAAACAATTCTCATTAAATACTAAAACGAAAGTTAATCAGAAAATATTATCATTTAAATTTCACATAAGTGCCTTCAAGAACTGACTGAAATTAAATCTTCCCCAGCAGTAAGTGTCATGTATAAGTTGTAGTTCTTGTATAGACTTATTTATTTCCTTCACCATAAGTTAACCCAATAATACGAATGGAATTCATTTTTTGTTTTTTTCAACTTGAGTCTGTAAATTGCATTGGCATTTTGGAAAAGTCTGAGTTAGTTACTACACATGACCATGTGTACTCTCCCAATTCCTAGAGTACATGTGACCATGTGTACTCTCCCAATTCCTAGAGTACACATGACAATGTGTAATAAAGAGGCATAACTTAGGGAGACAAGAATCAAGTAAGTGGAAAGAGAACATTTCATGACAGTAATATTATAAATGCAATGCAGATAACTAACTGGGACTGCAGTTTTAAATAAAGTCAATGGGGCTGTAGTTTTAATAAAGTCAATGGGACTGCAGTTTTAAATAAAATCAATCACTGTTACAAAAAACACGATTCTAAAAGCTTAGAGATCTCCAGTGAATACTAGAAAGGACTGCCTTTCTAGCATCCAGCCTGTTACTGGGTTTTCGTAACAAGTAGTCAGTATCCTTGTCCAATTATCCATTAGAATTCAGTATGATTCAATAGTGCTTCAGGATTACAACTGGTAGGCTACTAACTAGAGAAAATAAAATTTAATAAATTTATTAAGTATCGTCTAGAGGTATATTATCCAATTAAATTAATCAATTCAAACAAATTAATAATAATCACTTCTCTCGTGTGCAATATTATTGTGCTGAAAGCACATATCACATTTATAAGTCTTAAGTACCGTCTGGTACATTAACATTTAATAAGATATTACAAATATGTACAAATAAGTTTGTGTGTATGTGTGCAAGTGCTCTAAGTAGTTCGCTATGTCTCACGACTCGACTAGACTTAAACAAGTGACTGACAGTCAGTCAGTCACTTGTTTAAGTCAGAACAGTCTGCTTGAACAATAAAAAGAATGCTAAGCCCAACAGCAATATAACAAGCAACTGCGACACAATCAGGATCAAGGAGATAATATAACGACACTAAGTAGGGACCATCAGCAGATCCTCCACAAAAGTCATCAAACTCCCATAATACTGAATCTAAGTTCAGCATAAGAAAATCCCCAACTGTGATAATACACAGATACCAGTACAAATTAGGTCAGAAGCTACAGCTCAGGACCTGAGTGGCTCAGAGTGTCTTAACGACACACAACCTCAGTACAACGTCGAAAATCACTAAGTCTATACAATGTTCTGTGAACAGAGTCTCCAGAACTAACAAGAATAATGAGACAGACGATCTGTCCAACCACCAAGAGAGTCTAGATCAGACTGAATACTTCAGGCGAGGTGAGGACACCCCCCCCCCTCGATCACGTGATAGCTCCGTGGGTCGCTGCCCAGCAAGAAGCCGGCAGGGAAACGAGCAAAGAGCGATAATTACAGTAGTTAGACAATCAAGACTAACTGAGCACATAATATGTTACATCCTATCTAACAAAATTTAACTAAGTCAAATAATAATAATATAAAGCAATATATTTACGATTTAGCTATTATCGCAAATATAAGCAATATAAAATTATATGAAAAGATAATAATTATATACATAATAATCATTGCAACCCATTCAGGGGTTGCAACAATCACAAGAACAGTCATGACACTATTTCCATGGGTAACTAAGTACTGCATTCTACTGTCACAAAGTACTGAAAAAATAACCAAGTACTACATTCTACTGTCACAAAGTTACTGAAAAAGGTCATACCTGAACGATAGTTTTTTGCTGTTGACCTACAGAGAAAAATCTTGCTTGTGAGGTGGTTAGAGCAGTAGGTGTAGAGGCTACAGGAGTAGTGACGACCTGCGTGGTGGTACTGGTAAGAGAGGGTGTTGTGGTGGTGCTACTGCCAGTGCTGGTGGTGGTAACTGTTCCGTGGCTTGTCTGCATGACATGACTCCCTGGTTGCAAGGTCTGGATGGTCTGAACAACTTGAGCCTTGCTCCCAGTACCGTCTAACTTTCCAGCCTGAGGGGCATCACAGGTAAATCCATGTCAAGGCTTTCACAATTCAACTGCTAAATTTTACACTAGAGCACAAAATTTAATACCTAGCATTTTTTATGATTTAATAACCTGTAACACTAAGTTGATTGAATACCCAATGATACAAAGCCTTTAGTGCAGTAAAAGATTTCAACATTTATCACTGGTACTACTACTACTAATACCTCTACCTTTATTCTATTTCCTCCTTCGTTCTCCCGTCCCTGAATCAAGAGTACCTCATTTGCATCAAGGTACCTTCCTAAGTGAGAAAACTTTTACTAGCATTTTTTTTTTGGACCATGTGGTAAACAAAATTTCTAGAATTTATGGGAAACCGCTTTTAAGCAAGTTTCCAATCACTGCTGGAAGTTTTTGAAAAATATTCAGTTTTAACAGGTGTATACAGTTATACACTGGCTTCCTTCCCTTCATACTTCTGTGTAGCTAGTTAATGGTTTAAGTTGGAGCAAAACGTTGTCGTAAGTTTTTTCTCCAACGTGTGGGTTATTCGTGTATTGTTCCAGTCGTGGTATTGTGTCTTTTTGTTCTTTATCACAGTTTGGTAGCACAAACCTTATGTTACATCGACCAAAAACAACCACTTGCAATAAAACCTCTCTCGCACTAAAGTTTGTTTTTGTGATTTAACAAAAATTTGGTAGTATTCTTGACATGACACCTGCTTATGTGACTCCCCTTCAGCTGCAATAGCTATACCAACATGGTGTCTATCAATTACATATGAAGGAACTAACATATAGTAGCAGCTAAGAGGACAGTCTGGTCAGGTCTGCATGAAGTGTCAGTCATATCAAACCACAACAGATCTCGTTTGGTATACAAGTGCTTCTGAACTTATGATGGAGTCATGCTCCGACAAACCCATCATAAGTTGAAAATATCGTAAGTCGAATATGAGTACGATAAATAAATAAGTAAATAAATAACTAATGTCACTGAATAAGTAAATAAATGAATATAAGTTATGGGCTTGCTGCCTTTATGCTGGGTAATTATTTTAAGTTTCATCTCAAAAAAAGTAAAAATATTGTAAGTTGAACCACTGTTAGTCGAAGAGCTCCTGTACAATAATGGGGAGTAGTTTTGTGAAATATGATAAAAACTACTAATGAAAGTTTATTTTGGTTTTTAGAGGACATCTACTGCCAGACGCCACCTTGGTTCAGACACTGCAGCAGTCAAATATAAAGTTCAGTGATTATAAACACAAGACTTGCATATCTACAAAGTTGCTACAGTAACCATCTCAATAATAACACAAATGTCTCAACCTGAACCATTACTAGGCTGGTATTACCAAGCTAAATATGTGATAACATATAAAGTTAATTATTTCCAAAACTACAAATCTTACAATAACCTGCATTTTATACACGAAAGGTGTAACATAATCCATGCCAAAACATACAGCTTTATAACAAAATTACAGTAGTCCCCCATATCTGCAGGAAATATGTTCCAAGACATAACATGGATACCTGAAACTGTAGATAGTAGCAAACCCTCTAAGTCTTTTTATTTACATACATATCTATGATAAAGTTTAATTATACACAAGAAGTTAAGAATTAGAAGTACTTCTATCATCACTACTTTTGTGCTTTGCTGCCATTATTAAGCAAAATGAAGGGTTATTTTTGGGCCACGGTAAATCATGGATAACTGAAAACGCGGTAACCAAATCTGCGGATTTGGGGGTTCTACTGTGTATCATTTTCTTTCAGTTCACAAGTACTCTCAAGATACAAATATTGAAATAACTCACAAGCTGTACTTGGGACCCAGTGGCTAGGACAAGGCGCTGACTTGCTGCACCCAGGGGAACGTGAGACCCTTGTGGAGATACCAGTGTCAGTCTCTGTACACCACCAGTGCTCCCCGAGAGTTGGATAACATTCCCGCCTGCCAGTTTGTTACCTGCCATTGTAGTTATAACTCCACCTGTAGAGAAAACATTGTTAAAAGAACAGAACGTAAACTGTACAGACAATTTTAATGGCACATGTCAACAGAGAGAAAAAAGGAAAATAAATCTTAAAAACTTTTGACTGATAAAAGAATATACATGTCTTTAGCTGCCATATATGTTGTTAGGTAAGACACATATGCAACAGTTAGACATCTTTATTCCGAAACGTTTCGCCTACACAGTAGGCTTCTTCAGTCGAATACAGAAAGTAGGCAGGAGCAGTAGAGATGTGAAGACGATGTAATCAGTCCATCACCCTTAAAGTCGTAGAATTTGAGGTTGTCAGTCCCTCGGTCTGGAGAAGTTCAGTTCCATAGTCAGGAACTATCTGAAGATCAAGCGACAGTGTGGAGGCTTAAGTACTGTCGGAAGGAGAGGTGCAGGTAGTAGTAGTAGTAGTAGTAGTATAGTAGTGAGAGGCAACTGAGAGGTCATGTCCCTCTCAGATCCAACCCTTCTCACTTGAAAAGCTTGTCCAAGGTGTTTTCTGTACCAAGATGCCACGTGTTTGCAGTGTCTGACAAGATGAACATCAAAATGGTATACAATACCGACAGGTTGTTAGGTAAGACACATATGCAACAGTTAGACATCTTTATTCCGAAACGTTTCGCCTACACAGTAGGCTTCTTCAGTCGAATACAGAAAGTAGGCAGGAGCGTAGAGATGTGAAGACGATGTTAATCAGTCCATCACCCTTAAAGTCGTAGAATTTGAGGTTGTCAGTCCCTCGGCCTGGAGAAGTTCAGTTCCATAGTCAGGAACTATCTGAAGATCAAGCGACAGTGTGGAGGCTTAAGTACTGTCGGAAGGAGAGGTGCAGGGTAGTAGTAGTAGTAGTAGTAAGTAGTAGTGAGAGGCAACTGAGAGGTCATGTCCCTCTCAGATCCAACCCTTCTCACTTGAAAAGCTTGTCCAAGGTGTTTTCTGTACCAAGATGCCACGTGTTGCAGTGTCTGACAAGATGAACATCAAAATGGTATACAATACCGACAGGTTGTTAGGTAAGACACATATGCAACAGTTAGACATCTTTATTCCGAAACGTTTCGCCTACACAGTAGGCTTCTTCAGTCGAATACAGAAAGTAGGCAGGAGCAGTAGAGATGTGAAGACGATGTAATCAGTCCATCACCCTTAAAGTCGTAGAATTTGAGGTTGTCAGTCCCTCGGCCTGGAGAAGTTCAGTTCCATAGTCAGGAACTATCTGAAGATCAAGCGACAGTGTGGAGGCTTAAGTACTGTCGGAAGGAGAGGTGCAGGGTAGTAGTAGTAGTAGTAGTGAGAGGCAACTGAGAGGTCATGTCCCTCTCAGATCCAACCCTTCTCACTTGTGTAGGCGAAACGTTTCGGAATAAAGATGTCTAACTGTTGCATATGTGTCTTACCTAACAACCTGTCGGTATTGTATACCATTTTGATGTTCATCTTGTCAGACACTGCAACACGTGGCATCTTGGTACAGAAAACACCTTGGACAAGCTTTTTCAAGTGAGAAGGGTTGGATCTGAGAGGGACATGACCTCTCAGTTGCCTCTCACTACTACTACTACTACTACTACTACTACCCTGCACCTCTCCTTCCGACAGTACTTAAGCCTCCACACGTCGCTTGATCTTCAGATAGTTCCTGACTATGGAACTGAACTTCTCCAGGCCGAGGGACTGACAACCTCAAATTCTACGACTTTAAGGGTGATGGACTGATTACATCGTCTTCACATCTCTACTGCTCCTGCCTACTTTCTGTATTCGACTGAAGAAGCCTACTGTGTAGGCGAAACGTTTCGGAATAAAGATGTCTAACTGTTGCATATGTGTCTTACCTAACAACCTGTCGGTATTGTATACCATTTTGATGTTCATCTTGTCAGACACTGCAACACGTGGCATCTTGGTACAGAAAACACCTTGGACAAGCTTTTCAAGTGAGAAGGGTTGGATCTGAGAGGGACATGACCTCTCAGTTGCCTCTCACTACTACTACTACTACTACTACTACTACCCTGCACCTCTCCTCCGACAGTACTTAAGCCTCCACACTGTCGCTTGATCTTCAGATAGTTCCTGACTATGGAACTGAACTTCTCCAGGGCCGAGGGACTGACAACCTCAAATTCTACACTTTAAGGGTGATGGACTGATTACATCGTCTTCACATCTCTCACTGCTCCTGCCTACTTTCTGTATCGACTGAAGAAGCCTACTGTGTAGGCGAAACGTTTCGGAATAAAGATGTCTAGACTGTTGCATATGTGTCTTACCTAACAACCTGTCGGTATTGTATACCATTTTGATGTTCATCTTGTCAGACACTGCAACACGTGGCATCTTGGTACAGAAACACCTTGGACAAGCTTTTCAAGTGAGAAGGGTTGGATCTGAGAGGGACATGACCTCTCAGTTGCCTCTCACTACTACTACTACTACTACTACTACTACCCTGCACCCTCCTTCCGACAGTACTTAAGCCTCCACACTGTCGCTTGATCTTCAGATAGTTCCTGACTATGGAACTGAACTTCTCCAGGCCGAGGGACTGACAACCTCAAATTCTACGACTTTAAGGGTGATGGACTGATTACATCGTCTTCACATCTCTACTGCTCCTGCCTACTTTCTGTATTCGACTGAAGAAGCCTACTGTGTAGGCGAAACGTTTCGGAATAAAGATGTCTAACTGTTGCATATGTGTCTTACCTAACAACCTGTCGGTATTGTATACCATTTGATGTTCATCTTGTCAGACACTGCAACACGTGGCATCTTGGTACAGAAAACACCTTGGACAAGCTTTTCAAGTGAGAAGGGTTGGATCTGAGAGGGACATGACCTCTCAGTTGCCTCTCACTACTACTACTACTACTACTACTACTACCCTGCACCTCTCCTTCCGACAGTACTTAAGCCTCCACACTGTCGCTTGATCTTCAGATAGTTCCTGACTATGGAACTGAACTTCTCCAGGCCGAGGGACTGACAACCTCAAATTCTACGACTTTAAGGGTGATGGACTGATTACATCGTCTTCACATCTCTACTGCTCCTGCCTACTTTCTGTATTCGACTGAAGAAGCCTACTGTGTAGGCGAAACGTTTCGGAATAAAGATGTCTAACTGTTGCATATGTGTCTTACCTAACAACCTGTCGGTATTGTATACCATTTTGATGTTCAGCTGCCATATATATTATATACAAAACTTGAAAAAGATGCTCACCTTGTAGTTGTGTGGTTTTGTCCGCCTGACTCAGAAGACTCTCCACAGTGGCAATCTGTTGACCGGGAAGAAACCTGTAATGACTTGCTGTCTTGCCCTATTACCAGTTATGATCACACTATCCTACCTGAACATATGTTTAGGTAGGGCAAACTATCACATATGTGATGGTTTGCTCTACCTAAACATATGTGATAGTTTACCCTACATAACACATGAACCAAATACAGATGCTCCTTGACTTAGGATGGGGTTACGTTCTGACGAACCCATCGTAAGTTGAATATGAAGATGTGCTAAATAAATAACTACTGTTACTGAGTAAGTAAATAAACAAATAATTACTGTAACTAAATACAGTGGACCCCCGGTTAACGATATTTTTTCACTCCAGAAGTATGTTCAGGTGCCAGTACTGACCGAATTTATTCCCATAAGGAATATTGTGAAGTAGATTAGTCCATTTCAGACCCACAAACATACACGTACAAACGCACTTACATAAATACACTTACATAATTGGTCGCATTCGGAGGTAATCGTTATGCGGGGGTCCACTGTACCAGTATTGAAAGGTAAATAAATGAATACAATCCTCACAACCATTAAAATATAGAATGTGTTCACATAATGTTAATATACTAGAATCCTCATTGCCTATAATCATAATCAAACTTGTAACTCTTAAAAAAATTAAACTTGATAAAAGCCATATAGCATATACTAATAGGATATTCAATCCTCTCGTGTTCATTGTAACTCCTAAATTTCTTTGTACAACCACATAAAAGACTATATATAAAAACACTCAATTAGTCATTGCCTTATTAATCTTAAGACAATCTTAAGTTTGCCTGAAATGCTCTGCATATTAAAGCAATTTCTGCATGTACACCTAAATGTCATTCACCTCTGTACAAACACAGTATCACACTGAAATTAAGAATCTTAATCTTAAAGATGTGCTGTCTTCATGCTGGGTAAGCATCCTAAGTTTCATCTCCAGAGTACAGTGGACCCCCGCTTTATGATCAGCTCCCAATGCGACCAATTATGTAAGTGTATTTATGTAAGTGCGTTTGTACGTGTATGTTTGGGGGGTCTGAAATGGACTAATCTAATTCACAATATTCCTTATGGGAACAAATTCGTTCAGTAATGGCACCTGAACATACTTCTGGAATGAAATAATATTGTAAACCGGGGTCCACTGTAATTGCTTTTGTGCCATCGTAAAGCTGAACTACCCTAAGCCAAGGAGAACTTGTATATGTGCTAGCTGGTCCTACCTCCAGACATAAACCACAACTGCTTGCCCTGCCTTAAAACACTACCTATAACAAGGAACATTCAATAAAGGGCCATTAAAACAATGAAATCATCTGTTGTGGTTCATCATACAGCACACCCTCCACCCCAAGGGTGCCAAATAATCCACGATCAATCATATAAGTTCATTCGAATAAGCCTAGCTTTAAGGTTGCAACTTTTATTTTAAACAATGTTTTATGTTCGTCATTTTCACATGTTTCATGGTTGTCATTTTTACATGTTTCATATTATTATTTTATTTATTATTTTTTATTATCACACTGGCCAATTCCCACCAAGGCAGGGTGGCCCGAAAAAAGAAAAACTTTCACCATCATTCACTCCATCACTGTCTTGCCAGAAGGGTGCTTTACACTACAGTTTTTAAACTGCAACATTAACACCCCTCCTTCAGAGTGCAGGCACTGTACTTCCCATCTCCAGGACTCAAGTCCGGCCTGCCGGTTTCCCTGAACCCCTTCATAAATGTTACTTTGCTCACACTCCAACAGCACGTCAAGTATTAAAAACCATTCGTCTCCATTCACTCCTATCAAACACGCTCACGCACGCCTGCTGGAAGTCCAAGCCTCTCGCACACAAAACCTCCTTTACCCCCTCCCTCCAACCTTTCCTAGGCCGACCCCTACCCCGCCTTCCTTCCACTACAGACTGATACACTCTTGAAGTCATTCTGTTTCGCTCCATTCTCTCTACATGTCCGAACCACCTCAACAACCCTTCCTCAGCCCTCTGGACAACAGTTTTGGTAATCCCGCACCTCCTCCTAACTTCCAAACTACGAATTCTCTGCATTATATTCACACCACACATTGCCCTCAGACATGACATCTCCACTGCCTCCAGCCTTCTCCTTGCTGCAACATTCATCACCCATGTTTCACACCCATATAAGTGTTGGTAAAACTATACTCTCATACATTCCCCTCTTTGCCTCCAAGGACAAAGTTCTTTGTCTCCACAGACTCCTAAGTGCACCACTCACTCTTTTCCCCTTATCAATTCTATGATTCACCTCATCCTTCATAGACCCATCCGCTGTCACCTCCACTCCCAAATATCTGAATACATTCACCTCCTCCATACTCTCTCCCTCCAATCTGATATCCAATCTTTCATCACCTAATATTTTTGTTATCCTCATAACCTTACTCTTTCCTGTATTCACTTTTAATTTTCTTCTTTTGCACACCCTACCAAATTCATCCACCAATCTCTGCAACTTCTCTTCAGAATCTCCCAAGAGCACAGTTTCATCAGCAAAGAGCAACTGTGAGAACTCCCACTTTGTGTGATTCTTTATCTTTTAACTCCACGCCTCTTGTCAAGACCCTCGCATTTACTTCTCTTACAACCCCATCTATAAATATATTAAACAACCACGGTGACATCACACATCCTTGTCTAAGGCCTACTTTTACTGGGAAATAATTTCCCTCTTTCCTATGTACTCTAACTTGAGCCTCACTATCCTCGTAAAAACTCTTCACTGCTTTCAGTAACCTACCTCCTACACCATACACCTGCAACATCTGCCACATTGCCCCCCTATCCACCCTGTCATACGCCTTTTCCAAATCCATAAATGCCACAAAGACCTCTTTAGCCTTATCTAAATACTGAAGGAGGGGTGTTAATGTTGCAGTTTAAAAACTGTAGTGTAAAGCACCCTTCTGGCAAGACAGTGATGGAGTGAATGATGGTGAAAGTTTTTCTTTTTCGGGCCACCCTGCCTTGGTGGGAATCGGCCAGTGTGATAATAAAAAAATAAAAAAATTATATGTTTCACTGTAAACACCTGGTCCACACGCCCCCTACCTTTCCTAAAGCCTCCTTGTTCATCTGCTATCCTATTCTCAGTCTTACTTTTAATTCTTTCAATAATAACTCTACCATACACTTTACCAGGTATACTCAACAGACTTATCCCCCTATAATTTTTGCACTCTCTTTTGTCCCCTTTGCCTTTATACAAAGGAACTATGCATGCTCTCTGCCAATCCCTAGGTACCTTACCCTCTTCCATACATTTATTAAATAATTGCACCAACCACTCCAAAACTATATCCCCACCTGCTTTTAACATTTCTATCATTATCCCATCAATCCCGGCTGCCTTAGCCCCTTTCATTTTGCCTACTGCCTCACAAACTTCCCCCACACTCACACCTGGCTCTTCCTCACTCCTACAAGATGTTATTCCTCCTTGCCCTATACACGAAATCACAGCTTCCCTATCTTCATCAACATTTAACAATTCCTCAAAATATTCCCTCCATTTTCCCCAGTACCTCTAACTCTTCATTTAATAACTCTCCTCTCCTATTTTTAACTGAAAAATCCATTTGTTCTCTAGGCTTCCTTAACTTGTTAATCTCACTCCAAAAACTTTTTCTTATTTTCAACAAAATTTGTTGATAACATCTCACCCACTCTCTCATTTGCTCTCTTTTTACATTGCTTCACCACTCTCTTAACCTCTTTCTTTTTCTCCATATACTCTTCCCTCTTTGCATCACTTCTACTTGTAAAAACTTCTCATATGCTAACTTTTTCTCCCTTACTCCTCTCTTTACATCATCATTCCACCAACCGCTCCTCTTCCCTCCTGCACCCACTTTCCTGTAACCACAAACTTCTGCTGAACACTCTAACACTACATTTTTAAACCTACCCCATACCCTTCGACCCCATTGCCTATGCTCTCATTAGCCATCTATCCTCCAATAGCTGTTTATATCTTTCCCTAACTGCCTCCTCTTTTAGTTTATAAACCTTCACCTCTCTCTTCCCTGATGCTTCTATTCTCCTTGTATCCCATCTACCTTTTACTCTCAGTGTAGCTACAACTAGAAAGTGATCTGATATATCTGTGGCCCCTCTATAAACATGTACATCCTGAAGTCTACTCAACAGTCTTTTATCTACCAATACATAATCCAACACACTACTGTCATTTCGCCCTACATCATATCTTGTATACTTATTTATCCTCTTTTTCTTAAAATATGTATTACCTATAACTAAACCCCTTTCTATACAAAGTTCAATCAAAGGGCTTCCATTATCATTTACACCTGGCACCCCAAACTTACCTACCACACCCTCTAAAAGTTTCTCCTACTTTAGCATTCAGGTCCCCTACCACAATTACTCTCTCACTTGGTTCAAAGGCTCCTATACATTCACTTAACATCTCCAAAAATCTCTCTCTCCTCTGCATTCCTCTCTTCTCCAGGTGCATTAACACTTATTATAACCCACTTCTCGCATCCAACCTTTACTTTAATCCACATAATTCTTGCATTTACACATTCATATTCTCTTTTCTCCTTCCATAACTGATCATTCAACATTACTGCTACCCCTTCCTTTGCTCTAACTCTCTCAGATACTCCAGATTTAATCCCATTTATTTCCCCCCACCGAAACTCCCCTACCCCCCTTCAGCTTTGTTTCGCTTAGGGCCAGGACATCCAAATTCTTTTCATTCATAACATCAGCAATCATCTGTTTCTTGTCATCTGCACTACATCACGCACATTTAAGCATCCCAGTTTTATAAAGTTTTCGTCTTCTCTGTTTTTAGTAAGTGTCTACAGGAGAAGGGGTTACTAGCCCATTGCTCCCGGCATTTTAGTCGCCTCATACGACACGCATGGCTTACGGAGGAAAGATTTTTTTTCCCCACTTCCCCATGGACAATAGAAGAAATAAAGAAGAACAAGAGCTATGTAGAAAAAGGAGAAAAACCTAGATGTATGTATATATATATGCATGTGCGTGTCTGTGAAGTGTGACCAAAGTGTAAGTTGGAGTAGCAAGATATCCCTGTTATCTAGCGTGTTTATGAGACAGAAAAAGACACCAGCAATCCTACCATCATGCAAAACAGTTACAGGTTTCTGTTTCACAGTCATCTGGCTGGACGGTAGTACTTCCCTGGGTGGTTGCTGTCTACCAACCTACTACCTGTATGTCATTTTCTAATTTACATATTTCTATTTATAGTATTTCAGAGTAAATCCTACATACTTCACATCTTACCACTACTAATAAAATAATGATTTGTGATTTTATTATTCTTGGGCACCTACTCTGTCATGAAATTCACAAGCACTTGCACACTAACCAGAATACAATGAGTGGGTGCGTGGTTGGTTGATGTGTCCTCAACTCACACACGAGTGGGGGTTTCGGGGTTCAACCCCCAGAAGGGGCATATGGTGGGCATGTTTCCTTTTAACCCCGCTGCCCTATTCACCTGCACAAGTAAGTCCCGGATGTTATTATCTTAAAACCGCTCCCCCTATTCTTTACAGTAAGTAGGTCCCTGGTTTTAGAAGAAAAAAAAAAAAGAACAGGTTTGGGGGGGGGAAGAAGAGGAAGAGAGGAGAGGAAAGGAGAGAGGAAGAAGAGAGGAAGAGGAAAGGAGAGGAAGAGGAAGAGAGGGAAAGGGAAGAGAAAAGGGAAGAAGAGGAAGAGAGAGAGGAAGAGAAGAGGAAGAGAAAAGGGGAAGGGGAAAAAGAGAGGAGAGAGGAAGGGGAAAGAGGAAGAGAGAGAGAGAGAGAAGAGAGAAGAGAGAGAAAAAGAGAGAGAAGGAAGAGAGAGAGAGAGGAAAAGAGAAGGAAGAGAGAGAGGGGAAAGAAGAGAGGAAGAGAGAAGAAAAGAGGAAGAGAGAGAGAGAGAGAGAGAGGAGAGAGAGAGAAGAGAAGAGAGAGAGAGAGAAGAAAGGAAGAGAGAGAGGAAGAGAGAGAGGAAAAGAGAGAGAGAGAGAAGAGAGAGAGGAAGAGAGAGAGGAAGAGAAAAGAGGAAGAGAGAGAGAAGAGAGAGAGGAAGAGGAAGAGAGAGAGGAAGAATCACATGCATATGCAGACGACTGTACACTGACTTTCACTTATCCAAGAGAAGAAATGCCAGCTGCTCTAAGCTACATCAATCACCAGCTGAGAGCTATATTCAGCTTGGGGAAATAGATGGCAAGTAACATTTGCACCTGAGAAAACGCAAATGATGATCGTCTCTAGCACCATGATGGTAATGCTGGTGCAGTAGTAAGGATGAATGGGACGATGTTGGCACCTGGAGAATTTGGGATACCCTTTGGGGGTGAAATTTGACTCCAAACTAACCATGAAGAACCATGTTGTAAATCTTGCAAACAAGCAGCCAGGAAGCTTACAGCACTTCGCCGTATCTCGCATCTGTTTGACAGTGGGGGTTGCAAGATCCTGTACGAGGCACAAGTACGCTCACACCTTGAGTATGCTCCACTTTCTTGGTTTGCCTGCCCCCCTCTCATCTGCGACTGCTTGACAAGTAGAGAACAGAGCAAGACGTCTCCATCTCTCGCCTGGACCCATCCTGGATAGATCTGTCATTTCAGCAGAGCCTTCAACATAGGGGGGATGTGGGTGGCCTTTACTGTTATGTACAAGGCCAATATTGTCAAATACCACACTTGGATCCACTTCGAGGACAACGTGAAACAAGCTTTTATGCCACAAGACGGGCAGAAAGCAGCAACTTCACTCTGGCTGTACCCTTCTCCAGATCACTCCATCTGAGATCATAACATACCCAGGATGACTCGAGTATGGAAAAATTCGTACAGCATAATGATATCAACGAGATAAAGTCAGTTGATCAAATGAAAATGCTGGCCCACAGATGGCTCCAATTTCACCCCTGTCCCGTACTTGTATGTCTCATAACAATAAAAATGCTTTCAAATGAGTGATGTAGGTAACAGCTCTTAGCTTGCCAATAAAGTTTAGGAATCCTTAACCTTTTAATATAGCTGTCAATAAAGCTAGGGATCCTTAACCTTGTCAAACCCTGTTAAAAAAAAAAAAAAAAAAAAAAAAAAAAAAAAAAAAAAAAAAAAAAAAAAGGAAGAGAGAGGAAGAGAAGAGAAAAAAGAGAGAGAGAGAGAGAAAAAGAGAGAGAGAGAGAGAGAGAGAAAAAGAGAGAGAGAGAAGAGGAGAAAAAGAAGAGAGAGAGGAGAAAAAGAGAGAGAGAGAGAAAAAGAGAGAGAGAGAGAAAAAGAGAGAGAGGAGAAAAAGAGAGAGAGAGAGAGAGAGAAAAAGAGAGAGAGAAAAAGAGAGAGAGAGAGAGAGAGAGAGAGAGAGAAAAAGAGAGAGAGAGAGAGAGAGAGAGAGAAAAGAGAGAGAGAGAGAGAGAGATAGGTTCTTACCTTTCCTCCTTGCATCAACACTTTCCCATCGACCATTAATGTCTGCAATTTAGTTATGGAGTTGACTACTGATGAATTTGATCCACCCTTACCTGCAAGAATGTGTACACCAGTAAAAAAATAAATAGCAAAAACTTAAAGATTCCAGAAGTCCCTTGTGTGATTGGTAGGAATAAAAGTGAGACCAAAACCAATTTTCTTTTTAATTAATCTGACCAAGATGTCTGCCACATCAGCAGGACTTGGCCACTCTCACATCAGTAAGTATCAGTCACAAGGCTGACCATTATAAAGGTTATGTAATCACTCATCAATTTAAGAGACTTCAGAAATACAGGCTAAAATCCGCTGCTTAGATATAGAAATAACCGACAAAGTCTGCTGGTTAACAAATTGTCCATTAACCTTACAATCACAACAAAAACAATCTTGTCTCTATCTACCACAATCATCACTATGGGTCACCCACTGACCCTCTATCTGGCCATGGCTGGACTCTAGTTGAAAAACTCTTGAAACTCATCAAAGGTATGATGGAGAGAATCTCCCTCTTAACTATAAAAGAGCATATAGGCGAGTACAAACAGGAAGCCTGTCTGTCCTTCACTAAGCAGATGGAGGATCAAGCCTCCACCACTTCTTGTGCTGAATGACCCACATGGGTTTAGTGCTAACATGAATTATTATTAACATAAAAAAAAATTATACAGATGTTCCTTGACTTGCAATGGAGTTACATTTTGATGAACTCATCGTAAGTCAAAAATATCATAATTCGAATATGGATATGAAATACTAAATAAGTAAATATATAGCTACTGCCAATGAATAGGTAAATAAGCAAAAATTACTGTAACTATTGAGAATAAAATAAATGAATGCAAGTTATGGACTTGCCACCTTCATGCTGGGTAATTATCTTAAGTTTCATCTCCAAATTAATTGCTTTTGCACCACTGTAAAGTTGAAATATCGTAAGTCGAGAAGCGCCTGTACAGTGGACCCCCGCCTAACGATCAGCTCCCAACTCGACCAATTATGTAAGTGTATTTTTGTAAGTGCTTTTGTAGGTGTATTTTTGGGGGTCTGAAACGGACTAATCTAATTCACAATATTCCTTATGGGAACAAATTCGGTCTATAACGGCACCCAAACAGACTTCTGGATTGAAATAATATCGTTAGGTGGGGGTCCACTGTATATAACATACCTCCAAGTTGCTGTGGGGCTGCTTGTAGCAACTTAATACCACCCAGGGAAAACAGATTTGACTTCTGTGCAGCAGTGCTCATGTTGACTACTGTTGCAGCATTTGAAAGTTTGGCAGCTGCAACACCAGCTGTTGTGACCTAAAAAATTATAAATTATAAACCCCCATTCAACCAAAGAAATATAGAATGAGATAACAGTTTTCATATACAGTAATTTATCATGATAAAGATGTACTACAATGAAAATGCGCATTAGACTACAATTCAAAGGATAATTCCATACTGACATTAAGTACTGTAATGATAATGATAAAGACCATTATCATTACAGTTTTTTTTTTCTCAACAAGTCGGCCGTCTCCCACCGAGGCAGGGTGACCCAAAAAGAAAGAAAATCCCCCAAAAGTAAATACTTTCATCATTATTCAACACTTTCACCACACTCACACATAATCACTGTTTTTGCAGAGGCGCTCAGAACACAACAGTTTAGAAGCATATACATATAAAGATACACAACATATTTTTAACATGCCAGCTGTCTCCCACCATGGCAAGGGTGACCCCCAAAAGACAAGGAAACACTTACACAATCATACATTCAATAGCTGTCTTGACAGAAATGAGTAGATATAACAATTTAATGACCATCCAAATTGCAACATCTCCACCCTTCCTGTCATCTTTTTTTTTAACACGCTGGCTGTTTCCCACCAAGGCAGAGCGACCCGAAAAAGGAACACTTTCACCGTCATTCACACCACCGTCTTACCAGAGGTGCAGAGATACGACTGTTTATGTGTCACTCCAAACGGCAAATATTCCAAACCCATCCTTCAGAGCACAGGCATTGTACTTCCCACCTCCAGGACTCAAGTCCAGCTAAATGGTTCCCTGAATCCCTTCAGAAAATGTGACCATGCTCACACAAAATAAAACTAGGAGGGAATATAAATATGAAGGATCTTCAGGACTCATAAAAACATGTAACACTATTGCAAACAAACCATGGAACAGGTAGGGTTTCAACCTATGGCGAGTGAATTTTAAAATCCACTGGCCTGGAGTTTTACAACTCAATCACCATGGGTTCAACCCCCACCCGTTCTGTAGTTCTTAAAGAATCTTCAGAATGACGTACTTGTGAAGCAAGAACAGTCTGTGTAGCATGCTGCTGGTTGGCTGGAGAGGCAGTGGCTGAGGCAGCACCTGGTCTTGTTTGTGACACTGATGGTGCTGGAAGTCTGGCTGCTTCTCTAGTGGTTAATGTTACCACTGGAGCACGGTTCTTCCCCTGACCTAAAGTACCTATGTTACAGCCAAAAAACAAACTAAAATATACCGTGCTTACAAAAAATATTCTTTATTTAATATCACTGCACATTCCATAAATATGTTAGCTATACCATGCATCCTCATATATATAATATATAATTTTTTTTTTTTCCAACAAGTCGGCCGTCTCCCACCGAGGCAGGGTGACCCAAAAAAGAAAGAAAATCCCCAAAAGGAAAATACTTTCATCATCATTCAACACTTTCACCACACTCACACATTATCACTGCTTTTGCAGAGGTGCTCAGAATACAACAGTTCAGAAGCATATACATATAAAGATACACAACATATCCCTCCAAACTGCCAATATCCCAAACCCCTCCAGGACTCAAGTCCGACTATATGAAAATAACCGGTTTCCCTGAATCCCTTCACTAAATATTACCCTGCTCACACTCCAACAGATCATCAGGTCCCAAGTATCATTCGCCTCCATTCACTCCTATCTAACACGCTCATGCGCGCTTGCTGGAAGTCCAAGCCCCTAGCCCACAAAACTATAATTTCCTCTATAATTTTTACAATCTCTTTTGTCCCCTTTCCCTTTATATAAAGGGACTATACATGCTCTCCGCCAATCCCTAGGTACCTTTCCCTCTTTCATACATTTGTTAAACAAAAGTACCAACCACTCCAACACTATATCCCCCCCTCCTTTTAACATTTCTGTCATGATCCCATCAGTTCCAGCTGCTTTCACCCCTTTCATTCTAAGTAATGCCTCACGTACCTCCCACCCCCACTTACATTCTGCCTTCTTCACTCCTAAAAGATGGTATACCTCCCTGGCCAGTGCATGAAATTACCGCCTCCCTTTCTTCCTTAACATTTAAAAGTTCCTCAAAATATTCTCGCCATCTACCTAATACCTTCCCTCTCCCCATTACTAACTCCCCTACTCTGTTTTTAACTGACAAACCCATACTTTCCCTAGGCTTTCTTAACTTGTTTAACTCACTCCAAAATTTTTTCTTATTTTCATTAAAATTTCTTGACAGTGGCCCTCCCACTCTTTCATCTGCTCTCCTTTTTTCACTCTCTTTACCACTCTCTTCACCTTTCTTTTACTCTCCATTATAAATCCCCTCTTCTTATAACACTTCTGCTTTGTAAAAAACCTCTCGTAAGCTACCTTTTTTCTCTTTTATCACACCCTTTACTTCATCATTCCACCAATCACTCCTCTTTCCCTCCTGCCCCCCCCCCTATAACCACAAACTTCTGCCCCACATTCTAATACTGCATTTTTAAAACAATTCCAACCCTCTTCAACCCCCCCACCCCATCATCTTTGCACTAGCCCACCTTCTGCCAAAAGTCGCTTATATCTCGCCCGGAACTTCCCCCCCCTTAGTTTATACACTTTCACCTCCCTCTTACTTGTTGTTTTCCACCTTCCTCTTTTCCCATCTACCCCCTTACTCTAACTGTAGCTACAACAAATAATGATCTGAATATCCCGTTGCCCCTCTATAAAAATGTACATCCTGGAGCCTACCCATCAACCTTTTATCCACCAATACATAATCTAACAAACTACTTTCATTAAAGTGCTACATCATAAATTGTATATTTATTTACTTCTTTTTTTATAAAATATGTATTACTTATTTTTTTTTATTATCCACACGGCCGATTCCCACCAAGGCAGGGTGGCCCGGAAAAGAAAAACTTTCACCATCTTTCACTCCATCATTTGTCTTGCCAGAAGGGTGCTTTACACTACAGTTTTTAAACTGCAACTTTAACACCCCTCTTCAGAGTGCGGGCACTGTACTTCCATTCCGGGACTCAAGCTGGCTGCCGGTTTCCTGAAATCCTTCATAATGTTACTTTGTCACACTCCAACAGCACTTAAAGTATTAAAAACCTTTTTTCCCCATTCCTCCTATCAAACACGCTCACGCATGCTCCCTGGAAGTCCAAGCCCCTCGCACACAAAACCTCCTTTACCCCCTCCCCCTCCAAACCCTTCTAGGCCGACCCTACCCGCTTCCTTTTCCACTAAAGATGATACACTCTTGAAGTCATTGTTGCTCCATTCTTCTCATGCCCCGAACACCTCAACAACCTTCCTCAGCCTCTGGACAACAGTTTTGGTAATCCGACCTCCTCCTAATTCCAAACTCCCGAATTTCTGCATTAATTCACACCCACATTGCCCTCAGACATGACATTCCACTGCCTCCAGCCTTTCCCGCAAAACATTTTCATCACCCACGCTTCACACCCATATAGAGCTTTGGGTTTTAAAACTATACCTCATACATTCCCCTCTTTGCTCAAGACAAAGGTTCTTTGTTCCCACAGACTCCTAAGTGCACCACTCACTCTTTTTCCCTCATCAATTCTATGATTCACCTCATCTTTCATAGACCCATCCCTGACACGTCCACTCCTAAATATCTGAATACGTTCACCTCCTCCATACTCTCTCCCTCCAATCTGATATTCAATCTTTCATCACCTAATCTTTTTGTTTCTCATAACCTTACTCTTTCCTGTATTCCACTTTAAGTTTTCTCTTTTGCACACCTCAAATTCTCCACCAATCTCTGCAACTTTCAGAATCTCCCAAGGGGCATGTCTGCAGCTAAAAGCGTGTCACTCCCAATTTGTGTGTGTTCTTTATCTTTAACTCACGCCTCTTCCAGACCCGCAATACTTTCTTCAACCCATTATAAAATTTTTAAATACACGTGATCACAATCTTGCTTAAGGCCTACTTTTACGGGAAAAATTATTTTTTCCTAATCTCTAACTTGAGCCTCACTATCCTCGTAAAAATCACATGCTTTCAGTAACCTACCTCCTACACCATACACTTGCAACATCTCCCAATGCCCCCCTTCCACCCTGTCTACGCCTTTCCAAATCCAAAAGCACAAAGCCTTTTAGCTAATCTAATACTGCTTCATTATATTCACAAATCACTGGTCCATACACCCCTACCTTCTAAATCCTTGTCATCTTGCTACCTATCTCGTCTACTCTTATTTTTCAATATAACTTAAACCTTACCTGGTAATCTCAACAGACTTATCCCCAAATTTTGACTCTATTTTAATCCCTTTTGCCCTTTATACAAAGGAACTATGCATGTACTGCCAATCCATGGTATCTTAACCCTACTTCCATTACATTTAGTTAAATAATGGCACTAACACTTCCAAACTATATCCCACCGCTTTTAACATTGTCTATCTGTGATCCCATCAATCGGCTGCCTTACCCCTTTCATTTTACCTGAGCCTCACGAACTTCCCCCACACTCACACTGGCTGTTTCACTCCTACAAGATGTTATTCCTCCTTGCCACTATAACGAAATACAGCATCCTATCTTCATAACATTTAACAATTCCTCAAATATTCTCCGTCTCGAATATTTTCTCTGAAACTCCATTTATTAACTCTACTCTCCTAATTTTTAAATGACAAATCCATTTGTTCTCTAGGCTTTCTTAACTTGTTAATCTCACTCCAAAAAACTTTTTCTTATTTTCAACGAAATTTTTCGATAACCATCTCACCCACCTCTCTCATTTGCTCTCTTTTTACATTGCTTCACCACTCCTTAAATTCTCCTTTTTCTCCATATACTCTTCCCTCCTTGCTATCACTTCTAACTTTGTAAAAACTTCTCTATGCTAACTTTTTCTCCCTTCTTAAATACTCTTTTACTCATCATTCCACCAATCGCTCCTCTTCCCTCCTGCACCCACATTTCATGTAACCACAAACTTCTGCTGAACACTCTAACACTACATTTTTAAACCTACCCCATACCTTATTACCAAATTTCTTTCTACACATAGCTCAATTAAAGGCTCCCCATTTACATTTACCCCTGGCACCCCAAATTTACCTACTACTCCCTCTATAACATTTTTACCCACTTTAGCATTGAAATCCCCAACCACCATTACTCTCACACTTGATTCAAAACTCCCCACGCATTCACTCAACATTTCCCAGAATCTCTCTCTCTCCTCTACACTTCTCTCTTCTCCAGGTGCATACACGCTTACTATAACCCACTTTTCACATCCAATCTTTATTTTACTCCACATAATCCTTGAATTTATACATTTGTAGTCCCTCTTTTCCTGCTGATGCTGATGATAAATAATAAGTAGAGGTAAAATATAGTTTTGTAGTATGGACAACCTTTTTTTTTTTTTTTTTTAACAAGTCGGCCGTCTCCCACCGAGGCAGGGTGACCCACCGAGGCAGGGTGACCCACCGAGGCAGGGTGACCCACCGAGGCAGGGTGACCCACCGAGGCAGGGTGACCCACCGAGGCAGGGTGACCCACCGAGGCAGGGTGACCCACCGAGGCAGAGTGACCCATCGAGGCAGGGTGACCCACCGAGGCAGGGTGACCCACCGAGGCAGGGTGACCCACCGAGGCAGGGTGACCCACCGAGGCAGGGTGACCACACCGAGGCAGGGTGACCCACCGAGGCAGGGTGACCCACCGAGGCAGGGTGACCCACCGAGGCAGGGTGACCCACCGAGGCAGGGTGACCCACCGAGGCAGGGTGACCCACCGAAGCAGGGTGACCCACAGAGGCAGGGTGACCCACCGAGGCAGGATGACCCACCGAGGCAGGATGACCCACCGAAGCAGGGTGACCCACCGAGGCAGGGTGACCCACCGAGGCAGGGTGACCCACTGAGGCAGGGTGACCCACCGAGGCAGGGTGACCCACCGAGGCAGGGTGACCCAAAAAGAAAATACTTTCATCATCATTCAACACTTTCACCTCACTCACACATAATCACTGTTTTCACAGAGGTGCTCAGAATACAACAGTTTAGAAGCATATACGTATGAAGATACACAACATATCCCTCCAAACTACTAATATCCCGAAACCTTTTTGTGATAAAGTTCCATGATTCACTAATATCAATAGCTGCCTGCAGGAACAATCTCTGTAACACTATACCAGTAGTAAACTGTATGAACAGTTTTCATCCAGCAAGTGTTCTCCCATTGCTGAATCTAATGATGTTAGATAAATGGACACAAGTGTAGTGTGACATTTTATTGTGGCAATGCTTCTATCTCCAGGAGTTTTGTCAAGCCGCTAAAATGTCACATTAGTTGCATCTGTGTCTTTTTACCTAACATTTTGTTGGCAATTCTACCAATATTATTAATCTAACAACCATGGAGGACACAAGAACCAGGGAAGACATCATAACATAAAATACTCAGAGGAACTGACAGTAACAACCTGTTTGAGAGGTGGGAAATGAGTACTTGGAGGATATAGCTGAAGTTGAAGAAACGAGGATATAGCTGAAGTTGAAGAAACGAGGATATAGCTGAAGTTGAAGAAACGAGGATATAGCTGAAGTTGAAGAAACGAGGATATAGCTGAAGTTGAAGAAACGAGGATATAGCTGAAGTTGAAGAAACGAGGATATAGCTGAAGTTGAAGAAACGAGGATACCACAAAGTGTCTCTTCAGTCTCAGAATGGTTGGGAAGTGGAATGTTCTTGAAGAAGTGTGGAGACAGGCTCCATACACAGTTTTAAAAGCAGGTATGACGGGACCCATGAGGCTAGATGCGAGTGAATCTAGTAAGTTACAAGTTGAGAGGCAGGACAGGAGCTAAGACTTGACCCCTGTGACCACATGTATAGGTGAGTACTGCACAAGTCTCCTGCTCCTTTCAGAACAGATAGCAAGGCACAGCTGATAAGGAGAGATGACAGCATAGCAAGACACAGCTAATAAGGGGGGTGGAAGATGAAAGCAAAGTAAGACAGTTGATAAGGGGAGAGATGACAGCATAGCAAAACACAGATAAGGAGAGATGACAACATAGCAAGACACAGCTGATAAGGGGGAGAGATGAAAGCACAGCAAGACACAGCTAATAAAGAGAGATGACAGATGTGGTTCATCGAACACCCCACGGAAATTAACTGTTAATATAATAAAACTTATCATAACCATTTCTGTTTTAACTGAAAACCTACTGTCCATTTTACCTAATTTTGAGAAACTTCTGGAAACCAGGCAAGTTGTGGGGAGTTAGTAGTGCTCCGGGAAGGAGACCAGGAAATTAGACAAATGGGAAAAAAGAAGGCAGGGTAGGAGAGATGCCTGGAATCATTGGGGTTGGGGGCAAGTGACCTGTTGAGTGACTGTCAACTGAATGCCTTAAGGTTCCATGAACTATTACAGCAATCTTACCACTAGCATGCCTAACATATTTGAGGAAACACCTAAAAACCTTAAATTAGATGTAGCCTGCACAACATGCCACCAATGGGAAGGCAGGTCAGCAGGAGACTAAATGTAAGGCTAACTGCTCAACAATTACCCACATGGAGACGGAAACACAGGAGGCTGATTGATCTGTATATTCCGACCACCAAGATCTCTTCAGCAGAAGAGATCCCGGAAGGGGGTCAAAATACAGTACGCACATGAATTAACCTGTGTTTTTGTCTCCAAGTATAATATTGTTGAGCACTGATAAGTGTTCAGTACACTTAAGTTATTCATGTGTCTCACTGCATAAAAACTTATCTAACAATCTATTACTGATGCTATAGTGGTTACATTGACAAACTGTTATTCATATTACTGAATCATGGAGCCTGAACACAAAGATATATTCTTTTAGGTTAAAACATTTAAATTTATACCTGAAGGCAAGCTTGTGATTTGTTGTGTGCTCAGTAATGACTCTGGTGATATTGTAGGTCCAGACACAGGTGACTGTAGTACTGACTGTTGTAAACTTACGCCTTTAATGGCTGTGTTCCCAGCTTTACCCAGAGCCTGAGTCGGTACTCTGTTGATAGTTGGACTTCCAACCTGAGATCAAGAAGGAATAATACAAGGCCTATAATTAAAAAAATAATATAGAGAAGACTATTTCATAACTTATTGTGAAAAATGGTCTGGTGATACCAATAAGATGTGGAGAAAGACATGTATGTATAGTTTTTGTTTTAACACACCAGCCGTATCCCACCGAGGCAGGGTGACCTAAAAAGAAAAACTAAAGTTTTTATTTTAAATTTATTAATTTATACAGGAGAAGGGTTTAGTAGCACCTTGCTCCCGGCATTTTAATCACTTCTTATGACACGCATATTTGACTGAAGAAACTTGCAACAGGCATGTGTAACACTGATGCCTAGTGTTGAACATGTGTCTTACTTATCAAAAAGCAGTAAATTCAAATGTATCTCAAGGTGCAATAATACCTTGGCAATAGTAGATGTTGGCACCTTTGTTAGAGCCTGAGGTGTAACCTTGGTAATTGTCTGGGCTCCTGGTGGAAGAGCTACCTTGATGGTCTGTACACCTCCTGCAGTAGAAACCTGAATTGTCTGCACACTGCTTGCGCCTACTGAACCTCTCACTCCGCCAACCTAAGGGTGAAAACAAGACATGTTATTACCTGACGTGCTGTTGGAGTGTGAGCAAGGTAACACTTACGAAGGGATTCTGAGAAACCAGCTAGCTAGATCTGAGTCCTGGAGGTGGAAAGTACAGTGCTGGCATTCTAGAGGGGTGAGGATGTTCCAGCTTGGAGGGTCATCCTGGAAGATGATTCCACACATTGACAACTCTGAAAATCAGTACTGACCTACGTCCTTTTCAAATCTATTTTTTTTTTTTCAACATGTCAGCTGTCTCGCACTGAGGCAGGGCAACCCAAAAAGAAAGAAAATTCCCCCCCAAAAAAATTTTCATCATCATTCAACACTTTCACCTCACTCATACACAATCACTGTAAATCTAAATTTATCTAATTTAAATCCGTTATTCCTCACCTACACAATAAGAAAATGGTTTCAAGAAAAAAAATCACATTATATTTAATTTGTCTCTTTTTTTAAACATTCCTAAGCCAGGAAGCCCACATACATGTGTTCCTCGGCTTACAATGGGGTTATGTTCTGACAAACCCATTGTAAGTTAAAAATATTCTAAGCTGCATATGAATATACAATAAATAAATAACTACGGGGAGCAAGGAGCTATTAACTCCTTCTCCTGTATATATTACTGAAGTTAAAAAGAGAAACTTTTGTTTTTCTTTTTGGGCCACCCTGCCTTGGTGGGATACAGCTGGTTTGTTGGAAAAAGGAAATAACTACTGCTACCGATTAAGTAAATAAACAAATAATTACCGTAACTAAATACCAGCATTGAAAAGTAAAAAAAATGAAGTTATATACTTGGTGCCTTCATGCTGGGTAATTATCTTAAGTCTGCACCATCGCAAAGTCGAGGAGCACCCATCCAAGGCATCTGTAATTCACGAAATCGTTATGACACAAACCACGGTACAGGCTGGAATTGAACGCGTCAGTCTGGCGTTTCATGACTCACAATGAGTTCAGTCCCCACCCGTACCGCAGTAAGTCATTTGTAAGCTAGAAAGCTCACATACTGGGATAATGAGAAGCTAAGTAAATAAGGGTAGTAAAGATAAGGAAGTAACTCACTCTCACAGACGTAACCGCCTTCCCGACACTTGCAGAATTTATTGCTTCCAACTTCACCGGGCTCTCGGGCTTTAATTTTGTTAAAGCTGCAACTTCTTCAGGCTTAAGTTTCACTTGAGCACTTTCAACCTGAAAGAATCACACATTATTATTATTATAATCGGGGAAGAGCTAAACCCATAGGATTATACAGCACCAGTGGGGGGGGGGATGTGCAAGGTACTCGGTGTAATTCAGGGAACTGGAGCAAGATCCAATTCCCTAGATCAAAAGCCCCTCACCAGCGTCAAGGTACCTTCCGTGGGGGTAAAGAATTGCACAAAATATATGAAAATTATAATATTCTAACATCATCCTCTGGCAACTCTGATAAATTCTTTAATTCATACAATGTTTTATAACTTTTATTTTACATAGTTTTTTTTTTTTTTTTGAGTCCTGGAGGTGGGATATTTGCTCTTTAGAATGACATCTAAACTGTTGTATTTGTGCACCTCTGTAAAGAGTGATAGTGTGTGAATGATAGTGAAAGGGATTTTTCTTTTTTGGGACACCCTGCCTTGCTGGGAGACAGCCAGTGCGCTAAAAATAAATAAATAAATTTTAAAACACCAGCCATTTCCCACCGAGGCAATGCGACCCCAAAAAAAAAGGAAAAACTTTCATCATCACTCACTCCATCATTGTTATAAATTAGACACATGTGCAACTCTTGGGTATCTTTATTAAGGAAACGTTTCGCCACACAGTGGCTTCATCAGTCCAAACATAGGAAAAACTTGAAGAATAGGAGGAGAATGAGGTAATCAGTCCCTCAACCTTGAGTCGATGTGGTCAGTCCATAAATCTTGAACAGAATACGGCATGTGTGTCTAATTTATCAACGTGTCGGATCTCTGAACCATTCATCTACACTCCATCACTGTCTTGCCAGAAGCTTGCTGATACTACAGTTCAAAACCTGCAACACATCTCCATCCCTCCTTCAAAAATTAGTGCTTAAATTTTTTCATCTGTTCACTTCTAAGAATTTTAACAACAATACCTTAGTGGGAGAAGATGTGGGTTCCAGAGCAACATTGGGAGGACCCTTCATATTGAGAGGATCCTTAGCCTTTGCTCTACTCTGTCTCCTAGGAGCCGGTTTCTTTATTTTATTACCACCAGGTCCATTCAAGTGATGCATTCGTTCTGAAAATAAAATTAGTATAGAAATACACTGAGCTCAGCCTTATTCTATCCTTTCCGATATTTAATTTTCATTACCAATATACCAAGTTCAGACTAACATTCTATCCTTTCCGATATTTAATTTTCATTGCCAATATACCAAGTTCAGATTTACATTCTATCCTTTCCGATATTTAATTTTCATTACCAATACACCAAGTTCAGATTTACATTCTATCCTTCCTGATACTTAATTTTCATTATACTAATAATTAAAAACTAAACATCTGAACTTTTCTCCAAGATTAAAAATTTATAAAACAAAAAATTATGTCCTTACCGAATTCCTCCTCATTTCGGTTGCGATGCAGATAAATCCAGAGCTTACGTGGGGTGTCATATTTGACGCACGGATCATTTTCATAGTGGAGTCTGTCCAGTGCCCCAGACACAACGCTATTGAGATTATTTTCTGCCGTTGAATTGATTAAAGGAGCCAAATACTGAGATTCTTTCAACAGCTCACAGATATCTGACCGTGTGCCTTCCCCATTAGGTAACCTAGCAACAGCATCACGAACTGCAAAATGCACGAAAGAAGTGGTTAAAAGCAACATCTGCACATGCAACATTTCGCTCTACTAGGATACGTAAAGCATTAACATATGAAATATGGAAAACTTTTATTTTTTCACCTTGGCTGTCATTTCCTGCCGATAAGGAATAAAAAGGCACAATACTGCGCCTGCAACAATAAACAAACAACTCGCATGTAGGAGAAAGAATCTTATAATGATATTTCGGTTTGACTTGGAGCACTGCGTGATGGTGTTTCGGTCCAAGTCAAACCATAACATCGTCATACGTTTCTTTTTCCTATGTGCTGGTTATTTGTGTAATCTACCAAGACAGGAGGCCTGGTCGTGGACCGGGCCGCGGGGGCGTTGATCCCCGGAATAACCTCCAGGGTGACCCAAAGAAAAACATACATTCACCATCATTCATTCAATCGCTGTCTTTCCAAAAGTGTGCTGACATCACAATTTAGATCATCCTTCCTATGCAACATCACCATCCATTCTTAATAGTGAAGGTACAGTGAAACCTTGGTTTTTTTTTTTTTTTTTTTAACAAGTCGGCCGTCTCCCACCGAGGCAGGGTGACCCAAAAAAGAAAGAAAATCCCCAAAAAGAAAATACTTTCATCATCATTCAACACTTTCACCACACTCACACATTATCACTGTTTTTGCAGAGGTGCTCAGAATACAACAGTTTAGAAGCATATACGTATAAAGATACACAACATATCCCTCCAAACTGCCAATATCCCAAACCCCTCCTTTAAAGTGCAGGCATTGTACTTCCCATTTCCAGGACTCAAGTCCGACTATATGAAAATAACCGTTTCCCTGAATCCCTTCACTAAATATTACCCTGCTCACACTCCAACAGATCGTCAGGTCCCAAGTACCATTCGTCTCCATTCACTCCTATCTAACACGCTCACGCACGCTTGGTACTTGAATGTAATTCATTCCAGAAGGCTGTTCGAGTGCCAATCCGTCTGAGTATCGAACAAATTCTTTGCAACTAATTTTCTTTTTGGATGGTTGTTACCTCTAATCTTTGTAGGCCCCATGGTGACTTCTTTATACAATATAAAAAACACCAAAAAATGATAAGAAACACAAAATAGTTCACAGTGAAGTTCTGACAGGTCATGTTTGTTCGGTCAAGTGCTGAGCTTTGTTTGAGTAGGGAGCTGTTCGCCTACCGAGGTTCTACTGTACTGCCTTTTCCACCTCCAGAAGACTCGCTCTTGCAGCCCTGACACAGCCAGCTTAGTATAGTATCTCAACTAAACTACAGAAGGTTATAAGGTAACTCCAAACACGAAACCTGGACAAATTAACGATAGCCTCAACTGCATCTTAATCACAAGATCGTATAGGGAACCCAGTAGCCTGTGCAAGCTCTAGTTCTTATCCTTTCCATGTTACTGTCAATGTACCAAGAAATTTACCAGAAATGAATGTAAATAAATATGAAGAATATATATACACCATGCCCCAGACTAACAATCATCCAACTTTAAATAAGTATTCTGGAACCAATTACTTACCAATGCAGACTCACCCTTTCAAAGTGGGATTATTTACAACTGTGAAAACATCAGTTCCAGTAAACAGCATTCATGGTAAATACTTCACTCAATATTATACTTTGTCTCTTGGAGGGGTTTGGAATATTTTCTGTTTAAAGTGACATCTTAACTGCTGTATGTGTGTGCCTCTGGCAAGAGAGTGATAGTGTGAATGATGGTGAAAGTGTTTCTTTTTTGGGTCACCCTACCTCAGTGGGAGACAGCCAGTGTGTTAAATAAGTATGATACTGAATGGAAGATATTGGGAAAATATTTTTAATTTATTAAAACAAAATGAAAATACAATTTTTTAAACATGCCAGCAATCTTCCATCAATGTAGAATGATTCACCAACATTCATTCAGCAGCTGTCTTGCAAGAAGTAGCTGTCTTGCAAGAAATTCACATCACAAAATCCAAGTAGGTTTATGACTCACGAAATCGTAATGACACAATTGCAAACAAACCATACCACGGACATGGTATGGTTTTGTAGGTTTATGACTGTTGGCCAAAAATAATACTGGATAGCACAAAGGGCTGGAACAACCCAGAAGACAATCAAGAGGACTAGCCAAACAGAGCAATGGCACAAGCATCAGAGACTGAGGTAAAGGACATTACCACATATAACAAAAGACAGATGAGAACTGGTGTGGTGGGGGGTTGCATGGGCCCCAGCTGCTACCTGCATGCAACACTTGCAATGGCTGTCAGACTGTGGCAAAGAAGAGCTTACTAGAACATAACAATGCGCTTTCTACATGCATTCAAATGTCACCAATTTCTGTATAAACAATGTATCATGTGGAAATAAACTTTGAATTTGAATTAGAGGCGAGTAGTGGAGACAGGAGTGACAAATTAAAATGAAAAAAAAAAAAAGCTTTACAAGGTCCCATAACTGAGAAGGTGTTTTGTACATCACTAACTTCATCACATCAATACACAAGAATACATCAGAAATATGCCTCATGCCTAAAAAACATTTCTTAACAGACATGCAAGGGCTGAAACTCAATATTGTGGCCATTCATGTCTCAAACATGAAGACAATTCAGTGAGGTGTTAGAAGATATCAGGAACCAAATTAGCAGAACATATTAGCAGAACATATAGTAGGTTGGTAGACAGCAACCACCCAGGGAGGTACTACCGTCCTGCCAAGTGAGTGTAAAACGAAGCCTGTGATTGTTTTACATGATGGTAGGATTGCTGATGTCTTTTGTCTGTCTCATAAATATGCAAGATTACAGGCATGTCTTGCTACTTCTACTTACACTTAGGTCACACTACACATACATGTACACATTTATTTATACACACTCATCTGAGTTTTCTTTGATTTTATCTTAATAGTTCTTGGTCTTATTAATTTTCCTTTTATATCCATGGGGAAGTGGAATAAGAATCTTTCCTCCGTAAGCCATGCGTGTTGTAAAAGTCAACTAAAATGCCGGGAACAATGGGCTAGTAACCCCTTTTCCTGTAAAGATTACTAAAAAGAATAAGAAGAAGAAAATTGTCAAAGTGGGAAGTCTGAATGTGCGTGGATGTTGTGCAGATGATAAGAAAGAGATGATTGTGGATGTTATGAATGAGAAGAAGCTGGATGTCCTGGCTTTAAGTGAAACAAAGCTGAAGGGGGTGGGAGAGTTTCAGTGGAGAGGAATAAATGGGATTAGGTCAGGGTTTCAAAAAAGAGTTAGAGCTAAAGAAGGAGTAGCAATAATGTTGAAGGATAAGCTATGGCAGGAAAAGAGGGACTATAAATGTATTAATTCAAGGATTATGTGGAGTAAAATAAGATTGGATGTGAAAAGTGGGTTATAATAAGCGTTTTATGCACCTGGAGAAGAGAGAAGTGTAGAGGAGAGAGAGAGATTTTGGAAATGTTGAGTGAATGCGTGGGGAGTTTTGAATCAAGTGTGAGAGTAATGGTGGTTGGGGATTTTAATGCTAAAGTGGGTAAAAATGTTATGGAGGGAGTAGTAGGTAAATTTGGGGTGCCAGGGGTAAATGTAAATGGGGAGCCTTTAATTGAGCTATGTGTAGAAAGAAATTTGGTAATAAGTAATACATATTTTATGAAAAAGAGGATAAATAAATATACAAGGTATGATGTAGCACGTAATGAAAGTAGTTTATTAGATTATGTATTGGTGGATAAAAGGTTGATGGGTAGGCTCCAGGATGTACATGTTTATAGAGGGGCAACTGATATATCGGATCATTTTTTTAGTTGTAGCTACAGTTAGAGTAAGAGGTAGATGGGAAAAGAGGAAGGTGGCAACAACAAGTAAGAGGGAAGTGAAAGTGTATAAACTAAGGGAGGAGGAAGTTCGGGTGAGAAAATAAGCGACTATTGGCAGAAAGGTGGGCTAGTGCAAAGATGAGTAGTGGGGGGGTTGAAGAGGGTTGGAATAGTTTTTAAAAAATGCAGTATTAGAATGTGGGGCAGAAGTTTGTGGTTATAGGAGGGTGGGGGCAGGAGGAAAGGGGAGTGTTTGGTGGAATGATGAAGTAAAGGGTGTGATAAAAGAGAAAAAGGTAGCTTATGAGAGGTTTTTACAAAGCAGAAGTGTTATAAGAAGAGCAGAGTATATGGAGAGTAAAAGAAAGGTAAAGAGAGTGGTGAGAGAGTGCAAAAGGAGAGCAGATGATAGAGTGGGAGAGGCACTGTCAAGAAATTTTAATGAAAATAAGAAAAAATTTGGAGTGAGTTAAACAAGTTAAGAAAGCCTAGGGAAAATATGGATTTGTCAGTTAAAAACAGAGTAGGGGGGTTAGTAGATGGGGAGATGGAGGTATTGGGTAGATGGCGAGAATATTTTGAGGAACTTTTAAATGTTAAGGAAGAAACAGAGGCAGTAATTTCATGCACTGGTCAGGGAGGTATACCATCTTTTAGGAGTGAAGAAGAGCAGAATGTAAGTGTGGGGGAGGTACGTGAGGCATTACGTAAAATGAAAGGGGTAAAGCAGCTGGAACTGTGGGATCATGACAGAAATGTTAAAAGCAGGGGGGGATATAGTGTTGGAGTGGTTGGTACTTTTGTTTAATAAATGTATGAAAGAGGGGAAGGTACCTAGGGGTTGGCAGAGAGCATGTATAGTCCCTTTATATAAAGGGAAAGGGGACAAAAGAGACTGTAAAAATTATAGAGGAATAAGCTTACTGAGTATACCAGGAAAAGTGTACGGTAGGGTTATAATTGAAAGAATTAGAGGTAAGACAGAATGTAGGATTGCGGATGAGCAAGGAGGTTTTTTGAGTGGGTAGGGGATGTGTAGATCAGGTGTTTACATTGAAGCATATATGTGAACAGTATTTAGATAAAGATAGGGAAGTTTTTATTGCATTTATGGATTTAGAAAAGGCATATGATAGAGTGGATAGAGGAGCAATGTGGCAGATGTTGCAAGTATAGGGAAAGGTGTAAGTTATTAAATGCTGTAAAGAGTTTTTATGAGGATAGTGAGGCTCAGGTTAGGGTGTTAAAAAGGAGGAGACTACTTCCCCGGTAAAAGTAGGTCTTAAGACAGGATGTGTAATGTCCCATGGTTGTTTAATATATTTATAGATGGGGTTGTAAAGGAAGAAAAATGCTAGGGTGTTTGGGAGAGGGTGGGATTAAATTATGGGGATCAAATTCAAAAATGGAATTGACACAGTTACTTTTTGCTGATGATACTGTGCTTATGGGAGATTCTAAAGAAAAATTGCAAAGGGTTAGTGGATGAGTTTTTGGGGAAAGTGTGAAAGGTAGAAAAATTGAAAGTGAACATAGAAAAGAGTAAGGTGATGAGGGTGTCAAATGATTTAGATAAAAAAAAAATTGGATATCAAAAATTTGGGGGGGAGGAGTATGGAAGAAGTGAATGTTTTCAGATACTTGGGAGTTGACGTGTCGCGGATGGATTTATGAAGGATGAGGGGTTTAAACATAAATTGATGAGGGAAAAAAGGTGAGTGGTGCGTTGAGGTATATGTGGAGTCAAAAACGTTATCTATGGAGGCAAAGAAGGGAATGTATGAAAGTATAGTAGTACCAACACTCTTATAGGGTGTGAAGCTTGGGTGGTAAATGCAGCAGCGAGAGACGGGGTTGGGGGCAGCGGGGATGTCCTGTTTAAGGGCAATGTGTGGTGTAAAATTATCAGAAAATTCGGAGTGTGGAAATTAGGAGAAGGTGGAGTTAATAAAAGTATTAGTCAGAGGGCAGAAGAGGGTTGTTGAGGTGGTTTGGTCATTTAAGAGAATGGATCACAGTAGAATGACATGGAAAGCATAAAATCTATAAGGGGAAGGAAAGGCGGGGTAGGGGTCGTCCTCGAAAGGGTTGGAGAAGGGGTAAAGAAGGTTTTGTGGGTAAGGGGCTTGGACTTCCACAAGCGTGCGTGAGCGTGTAGATAGGAGTGAATGGAACGAATGGTACTTGGGGCCTGACGATCTGTTGGAGTGTGAGCAGGGGAATATTTAGTGAAGGATTCAGGGGAAAACCCGGTTATTTTCATATAGTCGACTTGAGTCCTGGAAATGGGAAGTACAATGCCTGCACTTTAAAGGAGGGGTTTGGGATATTGGCAGTTTGGAGGGATATGTTGTGTATCTTTATATGTTTATGCTTCTAGACTGTTGTATTCTGAGCACCTCTGCAAAAACAGTGATAATGTGCGAGTGTGGTGAAAGTGTTGAATGATGATGAAAGTATTTTCTTTTTGGGGATTTTCTTTCTTTTTTGGGTCACCCTGCCTCGGTGGGAGACGGCCGACTTGTTGAAAAAAAAAAAAAAAAAAATATAATATTTTCAAATGAGGCCACCAATCAATGATGTTACATCTTGATTTATCAAGCCATTTATCTAAAATACAGCACTGAATTAAGCAATATCAAATGTACTCAAAGGTCAAGCATATACTTACCAAGAGAGAGGATTGTAACATACGCAGGTCTGTCAGGAACTAACAAGGAATGACCTCTAGCTTTGTTCAGTCCTGTCTGCTGGGTATAAATACCCTTGACCGGACCAACCACACTTTCATACCCATGCATCCTGAAGAGAAAAACATCTCAATATGAGTATACAGGTGTGTCACCCATCTTTGATATTGTTTTAATGTCACCTTTGCACCATTCATAACATTTCTGGTATATTTTTAAATGTTTATATAGTAGTGTATTGTATATTATAATAAACAGAATAAGAGGAAATCAGCTCTAATATACATTATTTAGGTATGCATACTGGTTGGAGAGCCCGTTGTAAGTCCGAGATGTCGGTAAATGAGTACATTGCTAAGCGAGGAGAGGCTGTATATGCAAAATAAGTAAGTAAATAACTACTATCACCAAATGAGTAAATAAACAAATAATCCTTGTAACTAAATACCAGTATTGAAAAGTAAAAAATGTATAAAGGTTATGGACTTGCTTACCTCTACTGGGTAATTATCTTAGGCTTTGTCTTTAAAGTAACTGCCTTTTGCACCACAGTAAAGCTGAAAAATCCTAAGTCGAACCACTTTAAGTCGAGGAACATCTGCGCTTGTTATATTGTTTACCAAAAAAACATTCTTCATAAAATCAGGAATTGGTGAATCTTATTTCTTTTAACACATAAGCTATCTCTCCTGAAGAAAGGTGACCCACTAAAAAATAAAACACACTCATCATCACTCATTCAATCACAATCTTGCCAGAAGGGCAAGATAATGATTAAATGATAAGTGAATACTTCAAATCAACCACAACAAATAGTCAAGAAGACTGGAGAAGGGGCAAAGAAGACCAGATACAGAGTACAGAGTTGCACGACAGAGACTGCAAACCTCTCTCATAGTTCAGATAGCCCTCAAAACTGCGTCATCCTCAGAGTGCAGGCGCTGTACTTCCCTCCTGTAAACTACAGTACAACTTGCACTGGTCTTACCTGAATGTATATGCTTTGTGTGGCTTTTCATATCTGAGTTTCTCTTGTGCTCGGTACATGTCCTTCTCAGAGTCCGTGGCAGGCTGCACTGTCCATGAAGTATAGCATCTTGGAGGTGGAATGATGTCGCTCTCCTCATTTTCTAACCTAGATCCTAAAATGTCATCTTCTATCCACTCACTACTCATAGATGATCTGCAAGAGCAAAAAGTGCCATTGAATTGCCCATTTGTTATAATTAAAAAAGCACTACAATAATAGTGATATCCTTACTGGGAATACTTAAACTACAGGTGGGCCCCACTTATACAGCAGGTTAGGTTCTGGGCTACTGTAGGGCCCCACTTATACAGCAGGTTAGGTTCTGGGCTACTGTAGGGCCCCACTTATACAGCAGGTTAGGTTCTGGGCTACTGTAGGGCCCCACTTATACAGCAGGTTAGGTTCTGGGCTACTATAGGGCCCCACTTATACAGCAGGTTAGGTTCTGGGCTACTGTAGGGCCCCACTTATACAGCAGGTTAGGTTCTGGGCTACTGTAGGGCCCCACTTATACAGCAGGTTAGGTTCTGGGCTACTATAGGGCCCCACTTATACAGCAGGTTAGGTTCTGGGCTACTATAAGGCCCCACTTATACAGCAGGTTAGGTTCTGGGCTACTGTAGGGCCCCACTTATACAGCAGGTTAGGTTCTAGGCTACTGTAGGGCCCCACTTATACAGCAGGTTAGGTTCTAGGCTACTGTAGGGCCCCACTTATACAGCAGGTTAGGTTCTAGGCTACTATAGGGCCCCACTTATACAGCAGGTTAGGTTCTGGGCTACTATAGGGCCCCACTTATACAGCAGGTTAGGTTCTGGGCTACTGTAGGGCCCCACTTATACAGCAGGTTAGGTTCTAGGCTACTGTAGGGTCCCACTTATGCTGCAGGTTAGGTTCTGGGCTACTGTAGGGCCCCACTTATACAGCAGGTTAGGTTCTGGGCTACTGTAGGGCCCCACTTATACAGCAGGTTAGGTTCCGGGCTACTGTAGGGCCCCACTTATACAGCAGGTTAGGTTCTAGGCTACTGTAGGGTCCCACTTATGCTGCAGGTTAGGTTCTGGGCTACTGTAGGGCCCCACTTATACAGCAGGTTAGGTTCTGGGCTACTGTAGGGCCCCACTTATACAGCAGGTTAGGTTCCGGGCTACGTATTTCTTAACACTGCTACTACGAGAATCAAAACCAACATCTATTCACCTCACAATATATCACAAAGTCATCCACATGCAAAAATCTCAAACAATTATGCATAAATTTTGTTTGTAATACAGACAACTAGCCTGAAATATCAGACAATCTGCTCTAAAAAAAAAAAAATGAGGGGGGGGACTCCACTTTCAAACAGGTAGAAAAGAATAAAAAGACACAATACCATGACTGGAACAATACACAAATAACCCACATGTAGGAGGAGAAACTTATAAAAACTTGGACCAATGACTAGACACTAGTCAGTGGTCCGACTTGAACCACCGACTAGAGTGACTAGTTAGTGGTCCGTCAGGCCAAAATGCTGTCGTAAGCTTCTTTCTCCTGTGTGCGGGTTGTGTATCAAGTAATTACATTATGAAGTTAGATAATACAGTGGACCCCCGCATAACGATCACCTCCGAATGCGACCAATTATGTAAGTGTATTTATGTAAGTGCGTTTGTACATGTATGTTTGGGGGTCTGAAATGGACTAATCTACTTCACAATATTCCTTATGGGAATAAATTCGGTCAGTACTGGCACCTGAACATACTTATGGAGTGAAAAAATATCGTTAACCGGGGGTTCACTGTATACCTATTTGTAACAACAAAAGGAAAGCTTTGCTTGTGGTCTCCCTTCATCAGTAATTACATTATGCTGGTTCTGTATTTATTAAAACTAAAAATAAATCAAATATATTTAATACTCACTTATTAGCCAGCCAAAATTGAGCAAGAGGCTCTAAGTGTCCATCACTGTCTCGTCCGGCACCAATCCACTGGTATACTCGGAGCATACTCTTGTATTCTATGTAAGGTACAAAGTCGGCAGGTTGTACATCTGTAATAATAAATAATTTCTTCTCTTCATTCTATGTACTTTATCTACATGTTAGTCTTCCAGTACAACCGGCCTTATCTAGATTTTATGTATTAACTGCAAACTGTAAAGAGAACCTTTATGTGCAAAAGGCCTTTGTATATATCAGTCACTCTAAATAACAAAAAAAGGTACAATACCGTGACTGGAACAATACACAAATAGCTCGCACCTAGAAGAGGAGCTTACGACGACGTTTTGGTCTGACTTGAACCATTTACGAAGTCACGCTAATGAAAAGGAGAGCAGGAAGGTGGGAGACGGCCGACTTGTTAAAAAAAAAAAAAAAAAAAAAAAAAAATTTATTATTATTTATTATCACACTGGCCGATTCCCACCAAGGCAGCCAAAGCTACCCAAGGTCCTAGCCTCTATCACCCCACTGGGAAGACTGTTCCACGCATCTACAACTCTGTTAGAAGAAGCAGAAGCAGAAGCAGAAGCAGAAGCAGAAGCAGCAGCAGCAGCAGCAGCAGCAGCAGCAGCGGCGGCGGCGGCGGCGGCGGCGGCGGCGGCGGCGGCGGCGGCGGCAGGAAGTAGAAATGGGGAGGTAGTAAGAGGAGGAAACGTCGTCATAAGCTCCTCTCTTCTAGGTGCGGGTTATTTGTGTATCAGTCACTCTACCAGGCCTTCCTAAGATGTGGATTACTGAACTTTATTCAAGGACATGAAATCTCCCTTGCACTCAGTGGTATCACTGCAGTCTTGCATACCTCCCTTGCACTCACTGTTATCCTTGCAGTGTCTTGCACATCTCCCCTGCACTTGCTTGTCTGGCAAATATAAGAGTGGTCTTCAGGAATCTTAACAAAAGAATCATTCTGAGCCTTTCAAAAAACATATGTCAGGCCCATCTTGGAGTCTGCAGCAGCATCATGGAACCAACACCTGAAAAATCATGTTAAGAAACTGAAGAAAGTGCAGAAGTATGCTATGAAGCTTGTTCCAGAGCTAAGGGGTATAAGCTACAAGGAGTGGCTAAAGGAACTGGATCTAACGACACTGGAAGACAGAAGAACCAGGGAAGATATAACAGAATAGAAAACACACAAGAGGAGCTGATATGCTGTTTGAGAGGTGAGAAACAAGTACCTGGGGACAAAGCTGGAAGATGAAGACACAGATGAGCCACAAGGATGTCAGGAAATATTTCTCCAGCCTCAGCATGGTCAGGAAGAGTGATGAAGGCAGGCTCCATATATTGTTTAAAGAGCAAGCACAATAAGCTCCATCGAGTTTCAATAGGATTCGGGCAGAGTGAAGACGAAGGAGAGTTCATCTATCAGCCTCACAGGATAAGGAAGGGTTTAAAGGAGGTTCAGCTGGTATGGCAAGTTGCTCTCAGGGAGGCAATGTGAAGTTTCCAGAACACCCAGCAATCAAACAAAGCCAAGAAACCTAACCATAGGAGAAGTGAATCTGGCATGTGGAAAGTTAGGGAGACCGGATTAAGAACAAAGACTCTATATGGGTAAGTATACACATGCACATTCCTACACTTACAATACTTGCCTGTAAAATGTCCACAAAGAAAATTAATTGCAGAGGGGAGAATATTAACCCAAGATGGCACAAGAGAGTACCACTCATTGAGCGGAGAGATAGCAGACTCCTGCCACACTCTGATACTAGACTCTAGCTGGGCTCGAGTCATCCTCTGCTCCCCGGTAGAACATATAATATCTCTGATGAGGCTGAAGAAGCAGATGTGGGTCTCTTGAGTCAGCTCAGGAGCAATACAAGCACTGCAGAGGAATACAATGTCTTTATTCTTACTGCCAGTAACATGCATGCAAAATGTAAATCCTGCAAAGAATTTTAACTATTTTCCAGGAGTTTTTAAATCTATCCATTTTCTATTGATGTATAAGCTGTACAATATTTGCATTATTCTATTATGTAAAATTATAATCAGTAATAATGTTGGTAGAATTACAACAATATTTTAGGTAAAATGACACAAGTGCAACTAATGTGACATTTTACTGTGGCAACATTTCACTCTCCAGGAACTTTGTCAAGTCATTGTGGTTGACAAAGTTACTGGAGAGCAAAGTGTAAATCAATCCCACCTTTTTTTTATTTTATTAGATATGGAGTAGTCTGTGTGAAGGTAAAAGTAGATGGCATAATGGAAAGAAGCAGAGTAGGGGGAAAGTAAAAATTTAGATAATTATGAATATGTAGGTGAATTAGCGGATAGTTCTTGTGTATTCAGGCTAAGGTAATTCACAGAATGAAAGAGGAAAGATACATCCAAGAAAAGTGGTGGTTATATTTTTATACAGTAATGAGGAATGAAATGTGTTGCAAGAATGAGTGAAAGACAAGACTACAAGTGTAAATAAGACACAGTGAAAAGCAGGGAAAGCTATGGACACAATAATAGAACATTGTGTCAACATCCATGGTCCAAGACAATTCACCCTGCTACCAGCAGATATCAGGAATATTGCTGACACAATGTGTGCAAGTCCTAGGTAGTAGGTTTGTTGACAGCAACTGCCCAGGAAGGTACTACCGTCCTGTCAAGCGAGTGTAAAATGGAAGCCTGTAATTGTTTTACATGATGGCAGGATTGCTGGCGTCTTTTTTTCTGTCTCATAAACATGCAAGATTTCAGGTACGTCTTGTTACCTCTACTTATACTCTGGTTACACTACACTTGCATATTTTTTTTTTTTTTTTAAACACGTCAGCCGTTTCCCACCGAGTCAGGTGGGAAAGAAAAACCCAAACACAAAGAAAAAACTTTCATCATTCAACACTTTCACCATCACTCATACATAATCACTGTCTTTGCAGAGGTGCTCAGATATGACAGTTTAGACATCCCTCCAAACTGCCAATGTCCCAAACCCCTCCTTTAAAGTGCAGGCATTGTACTTCTCATTTCCAGGACTAAAGTCCAGCTAATCGGTTTCCCTGAATCCCTTCACAAAATATTGCCCTGCTCACACTCCAACAGCTTGTTAGGTCCTAAAAACCATTTGTCTCTGTTCACTCCTGACACACTCACACACACACTTGCTGGAAGTCAAAGCAAAGCCCCTCACCCACAAAACCTCCTTTACCCCCTCCCTCCAACCTTTCCTAGGATGACCCCTACCCTGCCATCCTTCCCCTACTGATTTATACGCTCTCCACGTCATTCTACTTTGTTCCATTCTCTCTAAATGGCCAAACCACCTCAACAACCCCTCTTCAGCCCTCTGATGAATACTTTCAGTAACTCCACACCACCTCCTAATTTCCACACTACAAATTCTCTGCATAATATTTACAGCACACACTGCCCTCAGACATTATTATTATTATTATTATTATTAATAATAATATTATTATTATTATTGAAGACTGCCAAATACTGTTCAAGTGTTTAATTCTTCAAAAGTTCACTTACCCGATACTCTCAAGTGCTGCTGTTAACTCGGATGACGTTTCTATTGCAGCAGTTACTTGATCCTCCATTGGTTCCTCCTTGATCTCCAGTTTAAGCTGTTGCTGCTGCTGTTGTTGCTGTTGCTGATGATGCTGCTGCTGGTGCTGCTGCTGCTGTTGATGCTGATCCTCCTCTTCCTTCACCAAAGGCTCCACTCCAAGTCCTCCAATATCAATATCTTCGCTCGGAGTTGAAGATTCCAAAGGTTCTAACTTGATCTTAACACCTTTAGCACCAATCCTATATAGTAACCAACATGCAAGGAACACTATAACACAGCACATCACTACACAATATACAGTCTTAAACAAATTTAATAAAATCCAGCCAATAACAAATCAATCTTAGTTTGAAAACAATAGACAAAAATATTGTATGCAATAAGGTCACAGAAAAAAAAGTGGCATTACATTATGAAAAAGAACCAGAGTGAAAATTTTTTTGTTCCAAGTGCTTTTATTTTTTTTAACACGCTGGCTGTCTCCCACTGAGGCAGAGTGACCCCAAAAAAAGAATGCCTTTCACCATTATTCATACAATCACAATACTCATGAAATGCATCTGGTCAAACAATTCTATATCTCCATGGGGAAGTGGAACAGAATTCTTCCTCCATAAGCCATGCATGTCATAAGAGTCGACTAAAATGCCGGGAGCAAGGGGCAAGTAACCCCCTTCTGTAAACATTACTAAATTTAAAAAGAAAAACTTTCGTTTTTCTTTTTAAATTTAGTAATTTATACTGGTGACCCGAAAAGAAAAACTTTTTTTTTTTCAGGTCACCCTGCCTCCGTATGATATGGCCAGTTTGTTGAAACAATAAAATCTATAAAATCCTCAAGAAACTAGTACTGTACTTTACTATACCTCTTTTTAATGGATGGAGAGACAACTGGCGCTTCCTTCTTTATTTCAATTTCTTCAGAGTCACTGACCGACGAGGACGAAGACGAAGAGGACGAAGATTCTGAATCGCTCGCAAGCTCAGTTTTTATGGTCATGGGAAGATCCAAGTGATTGGAAGAGACCAGTATGGATGAAGATTCTTTTTTTACTTTAATTTTTTTCTTGGGTTTTTCAAGTGTCAGAGGAGACATAATAGCTCTTTGTGGAGGCCGTTTCATCTGGATTTGCGCTCGAGATATAATATCTTGAAGTGTTATGCCCCGAGTGTCCAGGTCAACCGAAGCCTAAAACATTACAAAGAATAGTTAAAAAAAATCAATCACAAAAAATACTATACATTACCTTCAATACAATATACAGTGGACCCCCGGTATTCGATAGTAATCCGTTCTTGAGAGCTCATCGAATACCGAAACTATTGAAAAGCGAATCAATTTTCCCCATAAGAAATAATGGAAATCAAATTAATCCGTGCAAGACACCTAAAAGTATGAAAAACAATATTTTACCACATGAAATATTAAGTTTAATGCAATAGAACAATTACAATAACAATAACAATAGAATAATTGACACTTACCTTTAATGAAGATCTGGTGATGATTGATGGGATGGGAGGACGGAGAGTATGGATGGTGTTAGTGTTTAGAAGGGGAATCCCCTTCCATTAGGACTTGAGGTAGCAAGTCCTTTTCCGGGGTTACTTCCCTTGTTCTTTTAATGCCACTAGGACCAGCTTGAGTCACGGACCTCTGTCGCACAACATATCTGTCCATAGAGCTCTGTACCTCCCGTTCCTTTATGACATTCCTAAATTGTTTCACAACATTGTCAGTGTAATAGTCACCAGCACGGCTTGCAATAGCTGTGTTAGGGTGATTGTCATCAAAAAAGGTTTGCACTTTAAGCCACACTGCACACATTTCCTTAATCTTTGAAGTAGGCAACTTCTTCAATTTCTCTCTCCCCTCCTCCGGAGCAGTTTCCTCAGGTCTGGCCTCTTGCTGTTGAAGATGATCTAGCAGCTCATCAGTGGTTAGTTCGTCATTGTCCTCCTCCACCAACTCTTTCATAGGCCTATGTCCTGGGAGTGCCTTTTCCTCCTGAGTAATGTAGGTCCTGCTTGGCATTTTTTTTCCAAAACAGGCCTGTTTCATCGCAATTAAACACTTGTTCAGGTTTAAATTCTTCACTGTCTATGTAATCCATGAATTCCTTCACATATTTCAGCTGCTTTTTGGTCCGAACTGGCAGCCTCACCGTGCCTAATCACACTATGTATGCCACTACAATTCTTAAATCTTTCAAACCAACCTTTGCTGGCCTTAAATCACTCACATCAGCATTAGTTGCAGGCAATTTCTTTACCAAATCGTCGTGCAACTGCCTAGCTTTTTCACAAATGATCGCTTGAGAGATGCTATCTCCTGCTATCTGTTTTTCCTTTATCCACACCAATAACAGTCTCTCAACGTTTTCTAACACTTGCGGTCGCTGTTTCATAATCACAGTTGCACCTTTTGCAAGAACAGCTTCCTTGATTGCCGTCTTCCTGGTCACTATAGTAGAGATGGTTGATTGGGGTTTACTATACAACCTGACCAGCTCCGACACACGCACTCCACTTTCGTACTTTGCAATTATCTCTTTCTTCATTTCAATAGTCATTAGCACCTTTTTTCTCGAAGGGTTGGCACTAGAAGCTTTCTTGAGGCCCATGGTGACTTATTTTGCAGAAACAAGCACCAAAAACAGTGATAATGTGGAATGTACCGAATGTATCCTTAGATGCGCGCACACTGGCTGGCTTGTAAACACTGGCACACATGGGGCAGTTCAGGCCACACGTGGACACGTCTCGTACGAATCGCATCGAATACCAGGTTTCTGATCGGATACCGAGGCGAAATTTTTGCGTTAAAATGCATCGAATACAAGATTTATCGAATACTGATGCCATCGAATACCGGGGGTCACTGTATAAGATGATCTTTTAAAAAAATAAGCACAAATGTTTCTGTAAAAAAAGGTCGAAATACGTCGGCAGTTTCCCACCGAGGCAGGGTGACCCAAAAAGAAAGAAAAAAAAAAACTTTCATCATTCAACCCTTTCACCATCACTCATACATAATCATTGTCTTTGCAGATGAGAGTGTTTAGATGTCCCTCCAAACTGCCAGTATCCCAAACCCCTCCTTTAAGGTGCAGGCATTGTGACATACGAGAATATAAGTAGTACCGAGTAATTAAAGTCACAGTACCATGTCTGGAACAATTCACAAAAATCCAAACTTAGGAGAGGAAACCTACAACATTTTGGTCCATCCTGGTAAATAAGGATGGGTTCAACTTGTGTAGCCAAGGCACAAATGAACCTCAGTAGAGAATATAAACAAGAGAAGCAGTGAAGAGGATCTTAATGGTAGACTACAATATTCAGTACAGTTGGTCCCCCTCTGAAGATGTTCTACACTTTGGAACCAACTACAGCTTCTCCTCACTTAGTGACATACTCGCTTACCAACAACTCGGACTTACGGCAGGCTCTCTGACCAGTATGCATACCTAAATAATGTATATTAGAGCTGATTTCCTTTATTCTGTTATTACAATATACAATACAATATTGTACAAAAATTTAAAAATATACCAGAAATGTTATAAATGGTGAAAAGATGACATTAAAACAATATCAAAGATGGAGGAAACAAACCCACTACCATTATAGTATGCTCCTCACTTAGCAACAAGTTCATTTACCGACGTGGTCTTAGGAAAGGAACTCCGTCGTTAAGTGAGGAGAGGCCGTACTTAAAAATGTTGGTCTGCAGCTGTGATCATTATGGAGCAAGTGGAGACAAGTGGATTTTGTGACCTGGCAGATCATCAAGTCTTAAAAATCACTTGCATCATTAACTCTGATCTAATACTCACACACAAGCCTGGTGGATGTTCAAGCCAGTAGCACAGAAAGATACATAGAAATAATTAAGCAACACACCTCTCTTTTACTTCTTCGAAGTCTGTGAGCAGCAAGCATTGCTCTAAAATGATCATCTGTCAGATCCAATGGGTTACTTGTGGGTGTTATTTTGAGCTCTAGGTCCAATGCAAGAGAGCCGCTGCTATGTGTTGCCCTCACTGGTAACAAATCTGACGGAAGTGATCCTTCCAGCCCACCCAACTGTCGACGCTGTTTTTTATTGAGCGAAGCTCCTGGTCCCTCTGCAAAGTTAAAAGTCATGTTAAACAAAACCGAAACTCTCCTTAGTATGGTTGTATAGTTTATTTTGTTTTTATTAACACATTAGCCAATTCCTACCGAGGAAGGGTGACCCAATGTACGTATTATATTTTGACTTAGTAGGGTAATGCATAATAGAAGACTGTTAGCAGATTACCCTGAGTACTGTACTGCAAGAATTGGGATATTGTAGTCTGCAGGATCATTTGAATTATCATGTCTGTGCACTTCTGGCAAAGACAGGTACTGAATGAATTATGGTGAGCGTATCCCAAACCCCTCCTTTAAAGTGCAGGAATTGTACTTCCCATTTCCAGGACTCAAGTCCGGCTAACTGGTTTCCCCTGAATCCCTTCACAAACTATTACTCTGTTCATACTCCAACAGCCCATCAGGTCCCAAAAACCACTCATCTCCATTCACTCTTACCGAACATGCTCATGCATACTTGCTAGAAGTCCAAGCCCTTCGCCCACAAAACCTCCTTTATCCCCTCTCTCCAACCTTTTCGAGTATGACCCCTACCCCGCCTTCCTTTCCCTACAGATTTATGCACTCTCCAAGTCATTCTACTTTGTTCCATTCTCTCTAAATGACCAAGCCACCTCAACAACCCCTCTTCAGCCCTTTGATTAATACTTTTAGTAACTCCACATCATCTAATTTCTACACTCTGAATTCTCTGCATAATATTTACACCACACACTGCCCTAAGATAGAACATCTCCATTGCCTCCAGCCTCCTCCTCGCTGCAACATTTACAACCCAAGCTTCACACCCATAAAAGTGTGTTGGTATTACTATACTCTTGTACATTCCCTTCTTTGCCTCCATGGATAACGTTGTCCCCACATATACCCCAATGCACCACTCACCTTTTTTCCTTCATCAATTCTATGGTTAACCTCATCCTTCATAAACCCATTCACTTCTACTTATCAGAAAATAAGAACCAACAATCCTGCCAAAGTGCTAAACATTGAATAAGCTTTTATTTCATACTCATATCACAATAGTAGTAGCTCTTAGATAGTTTCAACCATCTTGTTAATACACTGCTTTGTAATTAAGATACTTGCAGCTAGCCATCTTTCCAAATACAGTGGACCCTCGAATTTATTCCTGCCTTTTCTGTATGCAAAACTATTTTTATTATCTATAAAATGTATGTTTTGTTAATATTTCCCATAGGAAATAATGTAAATCCAATTAAACCATTCCAGACACTCAAAAATATTAATAAAAAATACATTTTATAGATAATAAAATAGTTTTGCATACAGAAAAGGCAGGACTAAATTCGAGGGTCCACTGTATTTGAAATATACAAAAATCAGCCTATCTGGGAGCTTGTACAGAAGTGAGGTCGCGGCAAATAGTGATATCAAAAAGGTTATCAAATCTGAATATTCAAACCACGGGGAGTGATGTGTTGGTTTTTGAGATAGTAGTATCGGCATGCCTCTGGCAAGACAGTGATTGTGTGAATGATGGTAAAAGTCTCTCTTTTTCGGGTTACTCTGCCTCGGTGGGAGATGGGCGGCATGTTGAAAAAAATATATTTTTACCTGGATATATTTCATCTTCAGACATGTCGCTGGTATCTCCCACTTCTGCTCGGATCGCTGCCAGTTCACGGAAGTAGCGCTTTTTGGAACAATATTCAATTGATGTACGAGAACTCTTCTTTTTATTGTGCTGCAAATGCAAGGCACTTAATACTAAATGTATAAATAGATTAACTTTATTATTATTATCATCATGAGGGAGCACTAAACCTGCAGGAATTATACAGCACCTGTAGGGGAAGGATGAACGGCATTCAGACGAATTCAGGGAATTGGAGAACAGATCCAATTCCCTAGATCAAGAGCCCCTCACCAGCATCAAGGAACCTCCCTTGAGGGGAATCCATTAACTAAGGTACCACAATCATAGTCTTCATTGTGATTAAGGTTCTCATGTCATGCACAAGTAAAAAAATAATGAATCTGTTATTGTATTGCTTTTTACATTTAATAAATCTTTAAACAAATTAAATACTGTTAGGATAAGATTTTATTCGGATTTTTAACCCCAGAGGGTTAGCCACCCAGAATAACCCAAGAAAGTCTGTGTGTCATCGAGGACTGTCTAACTTATTTCCACTAAGGTCCTTAATCTTGTCCCCCAGGATGCGACCCACACCAGTCGACTAACACCCAGGTACAGTGGAACCTCAAATATCGAAACTTTCTTCAGTCCAGAAGGCTGTTCGAGTGCCTTTACCGAATGAATTTATTCCCATCAGGAATAATGTAAATTAGATTAGTCCACTTCAGACCCTCAAAAATACGCTTATAAAAGCACTTACAAAAATACACTTACATAGTTGGTTGTGTTAGGAGCAGTTCGATTTTTGAGGTTCCACTGTACCTATTTGCTGCTAGGTGAACAGGACAACAGGTGTAAGGAAACGCGTCAAAATGTTTCCACCCACTGGGAATCGAACCCGCGCCCTCCGTGTGTGAAGCGGAAGCTTTAGCCACCAGGCCACTTCGTTATTAGCTTTTATGTAAATTTTCCACACTGAAAAAAATCTTCCACACAATTTACAAACACTGAATAAAACCACAAAACAACTTCCACTTGTTTGCAAGACCTAAACAAGTCAACACATCCATAAATCCGATACAGTACAGAGAAGTGAGGATATTTGCAATGGTCAATATTATTTGGAAATTGTATATTACATTACTGACAAATTCAAGTTTGGAGAAAAAAAATAACCAAAAACTATAAATGGAGATGATTTAATATAAAACGTGTAAATAAACAGGACGAGAAGAGATTTTACGAGAAGAGATATAAAAGTAGCTGTGATAAGAGTATATTAGTTGGTTAATAGGTGGATATATTCCTGGAATAGTGGGACAAAAGGCAAAAATCTGGGTTCCTAAATGAAAGAATCACTAATAATGCTGGTAGAATTTACTGATACGTTAGGTAAAAGGACAAGTGCAACTAATGCGACATTTTATTGTGGAAACGTCTCTTCAGGAGCTTTGTCAGGCCAATACAAAGAATACAAGGACATAAATATATATATTTTCCATGGGGAAGTGGAACAGAATTCTTCCTCCCTAAGTCATGTGTGTCGTAAGAGGCGACTTAAATGCCGGGAGCAAGAGGCTAGTAACCCCTTCTCCTGTATACATTACTAAAGTTAAAAAGAGAAACTTTTGTTTTTCTTTTTGGGCCACCCTGCCTTGGTGGGATATGGCCAGTTTGTTGAAAGAAGGAGATGTATATATATCCACTGCCTCCCTATAGTGTTCATAACAGCTTGACACAGCTGCTAAAGCAAAACATTGCCACAATAAAATGTTATATTAGTTCCACAGGTCCTTTTTGATGTTGAATAAAAGTAAAAAAAAATATACCTGGGATTTTAAAAATCAACTGGGACTTTAATAAATACAAATTTTAAAAGATGAATGAATTTCAAAGTATTTCATGACTTATTTTTAAATTTGAGCTTATATTCATAAGCAAAATATAATAATTTCCTTCCCAAATTAGAATGCCTGGTCTAAGACTGGGCAGAATAGATACAAGCTCAAATCATTAATAAATAACAGAATTATAGCAATGATAGCACAAATGGACAATATCGAAAGATATCCAACATTGTTTTCCATTACAAGTTACTGATTGTACTATATGGTAAGCCCTCGACTTACAAACACGGTGACAATCTTGTGTATCGTGTATAATAATGATGTTGAGAAATGGTATTACCGGCTAAGTTTAAATATAGGGAAAACTTAACTTAGAAAGACAACTCATCGCCTGCACAGCCGCCCCTGCAGACGAGGTCTTGAGAAGCTGTCGAAGTCATTCCTCAACGGGCTGAAATGAGTTATAATTTGTAAGATTATAAATTACCCCTAGGGGGTGTTATGTCAGCATATTTCATTCACTGATGGCTGACAAACTTACTTGTGTGGACTCAAAAGTCCGCCCCTTACTGCCGATTATAGGTTGATTACAAACTCCTTGCGGCTCAAGAACTGCGCAGTCCCCCGTACTACAAGAAATTCGTAACCTACCTTGCTCTTGTAGCGCGAGCTATGGTGTTCTTCACACCTTCGACAGGTATCGGTGACTTGATAGAAGCTGAAGTGTCCTTGGATGTCCACGTCTTCCATAGTCTAGGAATACGCACACTGGTACACTATGTTCCACAAGATTTGTCTTTATTGTTCACAATCTTATCACTAAAGAAGCTGATCACACTTCTCTTAAGTGTTTATTGTGTTTTATGAGACACTTTGTTCACACTAACGCACAGATCGTTCTTTGTTGGTTATCCTGGCGTCAGTGTCACTCTCAGTAGAGTCAAAACTAGTCTGAAGATGCCACAGCACCCCACGCCGTTACTCCCCTAGCACAAAGGAAAAGCTGACCTAGTACTTTTGCTTCCTTGCCACTTCCTCCATGAAGCAAAGCAGAATGTTTGATTCTTGCTGTCTTAAGCATAGACAACAATATACACTATCTCTACCATGGTAATAAAGTGGGAGCAGGATTTTCCTTAATTGTCCTGCTAAGGTAAGAGATGTACCGTCTCTTATTAAAATACACTCTGCAACACTGGACTGCAAGGAGCAGCGGTCACTTGACCACGTCGCATACTCGTACTGCATCTGCGATCAATTACTCGCTGTAGCAGTAAACAAGATACTTGCCCCTTCTGAGAGGGCTGGGCCCCTCAGGGCTGAAAGGGCTGAAGGGGGCTGATACCCCCCTCCTGGAGAAAATTTCTCCACAAATGATATTATACACAATACAGAAGATTCTCAAAATCTTTAAGTCAAGGACTTACTGTAATATAAACATATCAAATACCTCTAAGTGAAAAATAAAAAATATATTTCTCTTAAAATCTAACAATTTTGTGCACTAAGGCATAAGGGACGCAAGACACAAGCATAGAAGACAGGAGTGAAACATGTTTACCAATGGAGGAAGTCGTGGTATCTTGGGAATATCATCAGGAGGCATGCTGCTCACTATGTCCAATACACGTTTTCTCCGAACTAAGACCTCCTCAAGTGTGTGATGGAGATACTGCTTTTGTCGGTACCTAAAAATAATGGTCATATTAATTTTTGGATTTGAACAGCACTAATTACTGATAAGCAAAATATAATTTTCCTAGGAAGAACTACAGGATCACAACTCGAGAAACTGTAATAAAGCGACTGCAAACAATCCATGGAATGAGTAGGGTTTGAACCCATGGCTAGTAAGTTCAAACCCCACCTGTTCCGTGGTTTATAGCAACTGATGGTGAAGGTGATGGTGAAGGTGATGGCGAATGTGTTTCCTTCTTTGTGTCATCCTGTCGGGACAAAATAAATGCTTATAAAACCAAGTTATCAAATATTTCCTATTTAGCTGGTTTAATATCTTAATTACGCACCCCATATCCAATCAATGGGTGGTAGTCAAAATATTATAAAGGCACATAATGGGTCCAGGGATTGCACCTCAACATTACAGAGCCACTAGGACACATGTGCAACATCTGGGTATCTTTATTGTAGACGTTTCGCCATCCAGTGGCTTTATCAATACAAATTCTAGGACATAGCTTGAAGACAGTAGGACTATATACAGAAGATGAGGTAATCAGTCCCTCAACCTAGGAGTAGGTGAGAAGAGCACCATAGTCGTGGAGATTCTGAAGCAGAAGCAAGGAGCCTGGCGCTTATATAGTAACGTCAGGTGTAGCAGACGAGGGCATAGTCACTGGTAGGCGGGATTCCCCAGTGGAAGTAGGTCCTTCCCAAAGAGATGGGTTAGTTGTAGTAGTAGTTGTCGTAGTCGTGAAGGTCATGTACATGTCCTACAATGTTGCACCTGTGTCTTAATTTCATCTTGTCGGTATTATATACCATTCTTGCACATTACAGAGCCATGTAATGGGTCCAGGGACTGGGCCCTGAAGTTCCAATAGCTAAGCAAATTACAGTGGTAATGAACTAGGAAGAAGCTTATATCTGGTTACAATCATTGAGTTATTTATGAAGTCATTAATTCAATCACAAAAATGTTATAGTGTAGCTTATATGTGGTTTTGAATTATAATATTAATTTTTCTTTCTTTCTTTCAACACACCGGCCGTATCCCACCGAGGCGGGGTGGCCCAAAAGGAAAAACGAAAGTTTCTCCTTTTACATTTAGTAATATATACAGGAGAAGAGATTACTAGACCCTTGCTCCTGGCATTTTAGTCGCCTCTTACAACACGCATGGCTTACGGAGGAAGAATTGTGTTCCACTTCCCCATGGAGATAAGAGGAAATAAACAAGAATAAGAACTAGAAAGAAAATAGAAGAAAACCCAGAGGGGTGTGTATATATGTGCTTGTACATGTATGTGTAGTGTGACCTAAGTGTAAGTAGAAGTAGCAAGACCTACCTGAAATCTTGCATGTTCACGAGACAGAAAAAAGGACACCAGCAATCCTACCATCATGTAAAACAATTACAGGCTTTCGTTTTACACTCACTTGGCAGGACGGTAGTATAATATTAATATTATCTTATATTTTAGCAAGGTATGGTTGAAGATACACAAATTTAAGAGAGCATGAGTTATTTATAACAGGCAAAGTGAGGGTAGTTTCCAAAATGGTTGCTAATATGCCATGGTGGATTAACACAAATTCTTGAACATCTGTAAAATTGGTTGCCACTGAATTCATTAATTTTAGCACAGTCCAGCATAATAACTCAGGGTGCGACAATAACCTATCTGGCAAAAATCACACTTAACTGTTTACATTATATATTGATGCAACCTCCTAGAAATATATGTAACTATTTGTGACTATTTATTTATAACTAAAGGATCAGAGTTACGGTTGTAGTGTCCGAGTAATTAATATCCGTGGCCTTCTGTTAATCCTGTTGAGGATACTAAAAAAAGCTCAACTTATTCTTTCATAATCTTGTCTGCTGTTATCATCTCTGTTTTCTCTCCTATCAGAAGGGATGGGCACTGTTAGTACAATTTATGGTAGTTATTGTCACAGGAAAGTCCCACATGTATATAATACCCTCTTTTCATGGTTCCATATTTTCGTTGGCTTTCAACTAAACCATTGTTCATTATGTTTGGGGCTTTTACTGCTTTTTTGACATTTTCGTACAGCAGTTGTGTAAGGGAAGGGCGACTAGCGCCATATTTAAAGGCAAGTATTCTATGAAATGTGTATTTATTTGGCTTTTAATCCGTTTTTTATATCTGGCTGCATTGAGCACTTAATATATGATGGTATAAACTGTCATTAGGCACTCTAGATGTATTGATAATAAAAAAACACTTTTCCATCCTTAGGCAAGTTTCGCTTACCACACGGGGCTGGAAATCCAAGAGCTGTACAGACAGGGTCGTCCTATAGCACAAAACTATGTATTACACAGTAAAGGTCATCACATATATTAATATAAAAAAAAAGCAAAAATTACCTGTATTCTTTGTACATAATCTTCTTGTGAATGGCTCTCATCTTAGAAATTTCAGGATTGAAGAAACCTTTGCAGAGCTGTTCGTGAAATAATCTAAGTGGTGTTCCAAACCTGAAGTTTTCATCCATGAAGAACATCTCTAAGGTACGTGTTTTCTCTTCTAGGTCATTATGAGAAAACTCTGGTAGAAAACCCTGAGACGATGAGAAATAAGTTAAACATTTATATATATCTTTATATATGCTTCTAAACTGTCGTATCTGAGCACCTCTGCAAAGACAGTGATTATGTATGAGTGAGGTGAAAGTGCTGAATGATGATGAAAGTATTTTCTTTTCGGGGATTTTCTTTCTTTCTTTTTGGGTCACCCTGCCAAGGTGGGAGATGACTGACTTATTGAAAAAAAAAAATTATAACAAAGTGACCATAGACTCAGAACACCAGTGAGATTAAAAAAAAAGTATTATGAAATATTTTTGTTTCAGGGACTAGTAACCCCTTCTCCAAAAAGAGAAGCATTCAATTTTCTTTTTGGGCCGCCCTGCCTCTGTGGGATATGGCCAGTTTGTTCAAAGATTTTTGTTTCGATATATTTCCTGAACCAAAAATCTGCTTTACTCTGGTCATTACTTGTGTCAATACTAATCAGACTAGAATGATATATTATAAAGATATGGTCTCACAAACACTAAATGAACCCAAATCTGATATACAGACTGTATCATTCGTAAAGTCTGTATCTGTTACACAGACTGCATCATTCGTAATGTCTGTAGCTGTTACATAGACTGTGTCATTAGTAATCTCTCCTTTTTGGGACCTCTGTGGACATAACTTCTATGCAAACTTGGAAAGTTGACTGTACCATTTATTATCTTATTTAATAAATTATAACATTACAAAAGTGTGCCAATTTTAGATAAAAGGTGTACAGTAATTTAATTTATAATAAACAAGGGAAGGAGCCAGAGATTTTTCCATTAGACATTTTCAGTTAAATTTTTGGATAAGAGATACTGCAATATATCAAAATTTTTGGATAAGATACTGCAATATTTCAGTGTGAATAAATAACTATCACAATGTATAAAGAATACTTATCAATGGTCAATAACAGCCAACATGGAGATAGAAACAAATTTGATACAGTATTATTTATAATGGAAAAACAGAGTACGAAAAATGGGAAAAAACACAAACCATTAGCATTTCACGGTGATCATCGGTGAGGTGATTGTTCCAGGTGTCTGGAGAAAGAATTTCAAATAACAATGATATGTCTTCGCATATTTCCGATGGAAGTTCAAGACTCACCCCGGAATATAGAACTGTCTCCATCACTTCTGAAATCTGAAAAATAAAAAAAATAAATAATATCCCAGTTACAATGATATACGTTACTGCATGATGTACAGTACTGCATGCTAATTAACCCTTAAACTGTCCAAACGTAGATCAACATTCAATTTTACATGCTTTATGTAAAAAAAATGTAGATCTACGTTTGGAGCACTACGCGAGCGAACGTAGATCTATATTTGGAGTGCTATGCGAGCGAACGTAGATCTACGTTTGGAGCGCTATGTGAGCGAACGTAGATCTACGTTTGGAGCGCTATGCGAGCGAACGTAGATCTACGTTTGGAGCGCTACACGAGCGAACGTAGATCTACGTTTGGAGCACTGCGCGAGCAAACGTAGATCTACATTTGGAGCGCTGCGCGAGCGAACGTAGATCTACGTTTGGAGCGCTACACGAGCGAACGTAGATCTACGTTTGGACAGTTTAAGGGTTAAGACATGATTAAAGCACCGTATTTACATGTACATTTTGTAATTACAGTGTTTGCATGTACAATACAGAAATTTTATTTTACATTCATATAACATGACAGAAGCATTGTGCCTTAAGGCTGCGTTTCTGGCAAATTAGGTCAATTTTGTCCCCAGGATATGACCCACACCAGTCACCTAACACCCAGGTACCTTCTTACTGCTAGGTGAACACTGACAGCAGGTGTAAGGTAACTAACACCCAGGTACCTAATTACTGCTAGGTGAACACTGACAGCAGGTGTAAGGTGACTAACACCCAGGTACCTACTTACTGCTAGGTGAACACTGACAGCAGGTGTAAGGTAACTAACACCCAGGTACTTACTTACTGCTAGGTGAACACTGACAGCAAGTGTAAGGTAACTAACACCCAGGTACCTACTTACTGCTAGGTGAACACTGACAGCAGGTGTAAGGTAACTAACACCCAGGTACCTACTTACTGCTAGGTGAACACTGACAGCAGGTGTAAGGTAACTAACACCCAGGTACCTACTTACTGCTAGGTGAACACTGAGAGCAGGTGTAAGGTAACTAACACCCAGGTACTTACTTACTGCTAGGTGAACACTGACAGCAAGTGTAAGGTAACTAACACCCAGGTACCTATTTACTGCTAGGTGAACACTGACAGCAAGTGTCTTAAGGAAACAGGTTTTAATGTTACCACCCGTACCGGGAATCGAAACAAGGACCTCAATGTGTGAGCTGAGTGCGCTACCAACCCAGCTATAACGGTATATTTTCACAGAAAGTTTCCTTATTATCCACGTCCTTCAAAGGGGTGGGTGCCTTAAGGGCTCTTGATCTAAGGAATCAGAGTTACAGTACTCCCTTAAGTCAATGTGACCTGACCTGACTAGGTTGGGTGCATTGGCTTAAGCCGGTAGGAGACTTGGACCTGCCTCGCATGGTCCAGTAGGCCTTCTGCAGTGTTCCTTCGTTCTTATGTTCTTATGTTCTTATTAAACCTGACTGGCTCTCAGTTCCCAGGTACTGCGTGATCCATCTGGGTTTAACGCCACCCGGCTGAATATAACAGAAAGTACGATAATTATGCACCATATTGCAGTCTTTTTTATGCATTTTTTTTTTGGGGGGGGGGGAAATCGCTGTATTGCTAGGAATAATTAGTTTCCGCAGCAAACATTGGAACCAAAGCTCAATAAATACTAGAGCTGAAAAATCCCCCCTTCATGCCAATTATATTATTATTTTTTATTACTGCATTATTATTATTATTATTATTATTATTATTAATGAATTAAAATTATTATATATTATTTTGTATTAAAATTATTATAGTATCATTAATAATATTATTGTATTATTACAGTATTTTACTACTGTTTTTAATTACCATTATTATTATTATTATTATATGTATTAAAAACGTGTCACCTTGACTACAGATATATTATGCCAAGGAACTCGTGCGAAATTTTAGCTCAAAATCTTACATAACAGCGGTGACCCTAGAGGAAATAAGTCACTTCGACTGACTTTTTTGTATTATCTAGCCGGGTAATTAACGCACGTTGCTATGTACAATAATTGTACTTATGTGTACCTGAACCTTAATAAACTTAACCCCATTATTATTATAATCAAGGGGGAAGCGCTAAACCCGGAGGATTATACAGCGCCTGGGGGAGGATGTGAAAGGCATTCAGGCTTAATTTGGGGAACTGGAGCACAGATCCAATTCCCTAAATCAAGAGCCCCTCACCAACATCAAGGAACCTTCCTTGAGGGGAAACTTAACCCCAATAAATTATTTTAGTTCAGAAAACAGTTGTCAAGCGAGTTTCATATATTTATCCCTCGTACGAGGAGGCCTGGTCACAGACCGGGCCGCGGGGGCGTTGACCCCCGGAACTCTCTCCAGGTAAACTCCAGGTACATAATTTTCAACTTTTACAATGGATTTATATAGAAAATTATGAACAATTTAACCCAGTAAATTGAAGAATAATTTCCCTATGACTAGTTATAAAATTATTATATTAAATTAAATTATATTATTAAATTACATTATATTATTATTAGTTATTATTATATATTATTATGAAGCAAAGTTGGGCATCATTATTTTTCATGGGGAGCACTAAACCCCTAAGGGTCAGGTAGTGTCCAAGGTAAGGGAGGTTATAAGGTCTGATCCAGGGAAAGGGAATGATAGCTCCAGTTCCTTGGATCAAGAGCCTCCTGCGCCATTAAGAGACATGGGAGGCATAAACCAGCCTCAAAAAACATCCCAAAAATAGAAAAAAATTAATAATACAATTATTAAAAAAATGAAAAAAAAAAATATTACGAGTAAAACAGAATTTTGGGGAAAATTTAAAAAAAAAAACTGATTCATAATATTAAACCCCCATGCCATCCCATGACATAAAACGCTATAAAACCCTCAATTAAACCCTCTAATATACAATATATCTTTAATTATGGTTTAACAAGTGAAAGTTTTTATAATAGTCTGGCACGACAGGTCGTTTTCTCTAATAAAATTATCGCAAATACTTAAAAAAAACATATATTAAACATATAAACCAGACATAAACCCATCTATTAGTAGACAGAAATAGATAACCAGGTCAATAGTAAACCACAAACAAAAATATCAGTAAAAAATTGCTACAAGATCCAAGCTTCATATATTTCAAGATGGCAGACATGTCAGGTTATTCTTCAGTACTTTAAGTACTCACAGCGCGGGCGTGATGGGTGCAAGTGGGCGGGAGTGTGGGCGGGTGGGTGTTTTAGAGTAGCAGGTAGTGGGTGGTGATGATAGATAGTTCCGGCATCATACTTCACCTCCAGCTACAACTATTGTCACGAAAATCCAGCCAATGAGCGACCAGCACTGGCGGCCATCTTGACCACACACACAACACATCCACTGTAATATTTGTAACTTGTAAACATTGATGATTTCTACATTTACTGCGGAAATTAACTTAATTACAAGATTTATAATAATTATTATATTTTAAAATGATTACAAAACTAACAAATGGTTTAATAAAACATCAAAATGCTTGTAAAACAGGTTTAATACCACACACAACACATCCACTGTAATATTTGTAACTTGTAAACATTGATGATTTCTACATTTATTGATAAAACTAACTTAACTACAAGATTTATAATAATTATTATATTTTAAAATGATTACAAAACTAACAAATGGTTTAATAAAACATCAAAAGGCTTATAAAGTAGGTTTAATACCACACACACAACACATCCACTGTAATATTTGTAACTTGTAAACATTGATGATTTCTACATTTATTGATAAAATTAACTTAACTACAAGATTTATAATAATTATTATATTTTAAAATGATTACAAAACTAACAAATGGTTTAATAAAACATCAAAATGCTTATAAAGTAGGTTTAATAACACACACACAACACATCCACTGTAATATTTGTAACTTGTAAACATTGATCATTTCTAGATTTATTGATAAAATTAACTTAACTTAAGAAATCCATAATAATTATTGTATTTTAAAATGTTTACAAAACTAACAAATGGTTTAATAAAACATCAAAATGCTTATAAATCAGGTTTAATACCACACACAACACATCCACTGTAATATTTGAAACTTGTAAACATTGATGATTTCTAAATTTATTGATAAAACTAACTTAACTACAAGATTTATAATAATTATTATATTTTAAAATGATTACAAAACTAACAAATGGTTTAATAAAACATCAAAATGCTTATAAAGTAGGTTTAATACCACACACACAACACATCCACTGCAATATTTGTAACTTGTAAACATTGATGATTTCTACATTTATTGATAAAACTAACTTAACTGCAAGATTTATAATAATTATTATATTTTAAAATGATTACAAAACTAACAAATGGTTTAATAAAACATCAAAATGCTAGGTTTAATACCACACACACAACACATCCACTGTAATATTTGTAACTTTTAAACATTGATGATTTCTAGATTCACTGATAAAATTAATTTAACTTAAGAAATCCATAATAATTATTGTATTTTAAAATGATTACAAAACTACCTTAAATGGTTTAATACCACATCCACACTCATATTTACCAAATATAAACAGTGATAATTTTTACATTTATTGCTAAAGGTAACCTAAAAATTAATTTCTATAAGTATTACAGTATTTCAAAATAACAAAACTACCTTAAATGGCTTAACAGTACATCCATAATTACATTTATCACATGTAAACATTGATAATTTCCAGATTTTTAAAATGTAACACCTAATCCACACTTTACATTTACTCTATGTAAACAATAACGATTTTTATATTTATGCTAAAAATAAACCAAACAGTTAAATTGTACAATTATTATGCAATTACAAATTTATTTTAAAACTGCTTTAAAAGATATATTAACAAATCCAAAATTTATATTTACAGTATAAACGATTTATATATTAATATTTAATATGGCTCTCAGAGAGAAATTTTATGAATATTATTATATCTAATAATTATTTCTAAATAATTATCAACAAATACTTGCTGGGTTTAATATAGGTATACTTAGAGTATACTTGGAGGGGTCTTTTGAGGGGTCAGCGCCCCCGTGGCACGGTCCATGACCAGGCCTGGTGGTGGATGAGGGACTGATCAACCAGGTTGTTACTGCTGGCATCACGTCAACCAACGTTGGAACCACAGCCTGGCTGGTCAGGTACTGATTTTGTGTCTGTTCAGCTCCCTCTTGAAGACAACCAGGGGTCTTGAAGACAACCAGGGGTCTTGAAGACAACCAGGGGTCTTGAAGACAACCAGGGGTCTTGAAGACAACCAGGGGTCTTGAAGACAACCAGGGGTCTTGAAGACAACCAGGGGTCTTGAAGACAACCAGGGTCTTGAAGACAACCAGGGGTCTTGAAGACAACCAGGGGTCTTGAAGACAACCAGGGGTCTTGAAGACAGCCAGGGGTCTTGAAGACAACCAGGGGTCTTGAAGACAACCAAGGGTCTTGAAGACAATCAGGGGTCTTGAAGACAACCAGGGGTCTTGAAGACAACCAGGGGTCTTGAAGACAACCAGGGGTCTTGAAGACAACCAGGGGTCTTGAAGACAGCCAGGGGTCTTGAAGACAACCAAGGGTCTTGAAGACAACCAGGGGTCTTGAAGACAACCAGGGGTCTTGAAGACAACCAAGGGTCTTGAAGACAATCAGGGGTCTTGAAGACAACCAGGGTCTTGAAGACAACCAGGGGTCTTGAAGACAACCAGGGGTCTTGAAGACAACCAAGGGTCTTGAAGACAATCAGGGGTCTTGAAGACAATCAGGGGTCTTGAAGACAACCAAGGGTCTTGAAGACAATCAGGGGTCTTGAAGACAACCAGGGGTCTTGAAGACAACCAAGGGTCTTGAAGATAATCAGGGGTCTTGAAGACAACCAGGGGTCTTGAAGACAACCAGGGGTCTTGAAGACAACCAAGGGTCTTGAAGACAATCAGGGGTCTTGAAGACAACCAGGGGTCTTGAAGACAATCAGGGGTCTTGAAGACAACCAAGGGTCTTGAAGACAATCAGGGGTCTTGAAGACAACCAGGGGTCTTGAAGACAACCAGGGGTCTTGAAGACAACCAGGGGTCTTGAAGACAACCAGGGGTCTTCAAGACAACCAGGGGTCTTGAAGACAGCCAGGGGCCTTGAAGACAACCAGGGGTCTTGAAGACAACCAGGGGTCTTGAAGACAACCAGGGTCTTGAAGACAACCAGGGATCTTGAAGACAACCAGGGGTCTTGAAGACAGCCAGGGGTCTTGAAGACAACCAGGGGTCTTGAAGACAACCAGGGGTCTTGAAGACAACCAGGGGTCTTGAAGACAACCAGGGGTCTTGAAGACAACCAGGAGTCTTGAAGACAAACCAGGGGTCTTGAAGACAACCAGGGGTCTTGAAGACAACCAGGGATCTTGAAGACAACCAGGGGTCTTGAAGACAACCAGGGGTCTTGAAGACAACCAGGGGTCTTGAAGACAACCAGGGATCTTGAAGACAACCAGGGGTCTTGAAGACAACCAGGGGTCTTGAAAGACAACCAGGGATCTTGAAGACAACCAGGGGTCTTGAAGACAGCCAGGGGTCTTGAAGACAACCAGGGGTCTTGAAGACAACCAGGGGTCTTGAAGACAACCAGGGGTCTTGAAGACAACCAGGAGTCTTGAAGACAACCAGGGGTCTTGAAGACAACCAGGGGTCTTGAAGACAACCAGGGGTCTTGAAGACAACCAGAGGTCTTGAAGACAACCAGGGATCTTGAAGACAACCAGGGGTCTTGAAGACAACTAGGGGTCTTGAAGACAACCAGGGGTCTTGAAGACAACCAGGGGTCTTGAAGACAACCAGGGGTCTTGAAGACAACCAGGGATCTTGAAGACAACCAGGGGTCTTGAACACAACCAGGGGTCTTGAACACTACCAGGGGTCTTGAACACAACCAGGGGTCTTGAAGACAACCAGGGGCCTTGAAGACAACCAGGGGTCTTGAAGACAACCAGGGATCTTGAACACAACCAGGGGTCTTGAAGACAACCAGGGTCTTGAAGACAACCAGGGGTCTTGAAGACAACCAGGGATCTTGAAGACAACCAGGGGTCTTGAAGACAACCAGGGGTCTTGAAGACAACCAGGGGTCTTGAAGACAACCAGGGATCTTGAAGACAACCAGGGGTCTTGAAGACAACCAGGGGTCTTGAAGACAACCAGAGGTCTTGAAGACAACCAGGGGTCTTGAAGACAACCAGGGATCTTGAACACAACCAGGGGTCTTGAACACAACCAGGGGTCTTGAACACAACCAGGGGTCTTGAAGACAACCAGGGGTCTTGAAGACAACCAGGGGTCTTGAAGACAACCAGGGGTCTTGAAGACAACCAGGGGTCTTGAAGATAACCAGGGGTCTTGAAGACAACCAGGGGTCTTGAAGATAACCAGAGGTCTTGAAGACAACCAGGGGTCTTGAAGACAACCAGGGATCTTGAAGACAACCAAGGGTCTTGAAGACAATCAGGGGTCTTGAAGACAACCAGGGGTCTTGAAGATAACCAGGGGTCTTGAAGACAGCCAGGGGTCTTGAAGACAATCAGGGGTCTTGAAGACAACCAGGGGTCTTGAAGACAACCAGGGGTCTTGAAGACAATCAGGGGTCTTGAAGACAACCAGGGGTCTTGAAGACAATCAGGGGTCTTGAAGACAACCAGGGGTCTTGAAGACAACCAGGGGTCTTGAAGACAACCAGGGGTCTTGAAGACAACCAGGGATCTTGAAGACAACCAGGGGTCTTGAAGACAACCAGGGGTCTTGAAGACAACCAGGGATCTTGAAGACAACCAGGGGTCTTGAAGACAACCAGGGGTCTTGAAGACAACCAGGGGTCTTGAAGACAACCAGGGGTCTTGAAGACAACCAGAGGTCTTGAAGACAACCAGGGGTCTTGAAGACAACCAGGGGTCTTGAAGACAACCAGGGAGCTTGAAGACAACCAGGGGTCTTGAAGACAACCAGGGGTCTTGAAGACAACCAGGGGTCTTGAAGACAACCAGGGATCTTGAAGACAACCAGGGGTCTTGATGACAACCAGGGGTCTTGAAGACAACCAGGGATCTTGAAGACAACCAGGGATCTTGAAGACAACCTGGGATCTTGAAGACAAGCAGGGGTCTTGAAGACAACCAGGGGTCTTGAAGACAACCAGGGATCTTGAAGACAACCAGGGGTCTTGAAGACAACCAGGGGTCTTGAAGACAACCAGGGATCTTGAAGACAACCAGGGGTCTTGATGACAACCAGGGGTCTTGAAGACAACCGGTGATCTTGAAGACAACCAGGGATCTTGAAGACAACCTGGGATCTTGAAGACAAGCAGGGGTCTTGAAGACAACCAGGGGTCTTGAAGACAACCAGGGGTCCTGAAGACAACCAGGGGTACATAATGGGTCCAGGGACTGTACCTCAACATTACAGAGGTACATAATTCAAATTCAAAGTTTATTCTCTATAAGGATTACAATACTGAGTTTACAGAATTTGGTTATTGTGTGGTTTACATGTAGTAAAATAATTACAGAGTGTTCCACTAGAACACCTAGCATGGCTAGGTATTACAGAGTCTACCACTAGAACACCTAGCATGGCTAGGTATTACAGAGTGTACCACTAGAACACCTAGCATAGCTAGGTATTACAGAGTGTACCACTAGAACACCTAGCATGGCTAGGTATTACAGAGTGTTCCACTAGAACACCTAGCATGGCTAGGTATTACAGAGTGTACCACTAGAACACCTAGCATGGCTAGGTATTACAGAGTGTACCACTAGAACACCTAGCATGGCTAGGTATTACAGAGTGTACCACTAGAACACCTAGCATAGCTAGGTATTACAGTGTACCACTAGAACACCTAGCATGGCTAGGTATTACAGAGTGTACCACTAGAACACCTAGCATGGCTAGGTATTACAGAGTGTACCACTAGAACACCTAGCATAGCTAGGTATTACAGAGTGTACCACTAGAACACCTAGCATGGCTAGGTATTACAGAGTGTACCACTAGAACACCTAGCATGGCTAGGAATTACAGAGTGTACCACTAGAACACCTAGCATAGCTAGGTATTACAGAGGGCGCCACTAGAACACCTAGCATGGCTAGGTATTACAGAGGGTGCCACTAGAACACCTAGCATAGCTAGGTATTACAGAGTGTACCACTAGAACACCTAGCATGGCTAGGTATTACAGAGTGTACCACTAGAACACCTAGCATGGCTAGGTATTACAGAGGGCGCCACTAGAACACCTAGCATGGCTAGGTATTACAGAGTGTACCACTAGAACACCTAGCATGGCTAGGGATTACAGAGTGTACCACTAGAACACCTAGCATAGCTAGGTATTACAGAGGGCGCCACTAGAACACCTAGCATGGCTAGGTATTACAGAGGGTGCCACTAGAATACCTACCATAGCTAGGTATTACAGAGTGTACCACTAGAACACCTAGCATAGCTAGGTATTACAGAGTGTACCACTAGAACACCTAGCATAGCTAGGTATTACAGAGTGTACCACTAGAACACCTAGCATGGCTAGGTATTACAGAGTGTACCACTAGAACACCTAGCATGGCTAGGTATTACAGAGGGCGCCACTAGAACACCTAGCATGGCTAGGTATTACAGAGTGTACCACTAGAACACCTAGCATGGCTAGGTATTACAGAGTGTACCACTAGAACACCTAGCATGGCTAGGTATTACAGAGTGTACCACTAGAACACCTAGCATAGCTAGGTATTACAGAGGGCGCCACTAGAACACCTAGCATGGCTAGGCATTTCGGGCAGACTTAGTTTAATTCTTTATTTTAAAATATTACAAATTATGAGGTAAGTTGGTATTATGGCTAAGTGACTAAATACTAGTTTGTGAGTTTAGCAATGTGAATGCTTTTGTTTTGGCACAGTACATAGTTTCAGTATTGGAGTATCACAGGATTCATTATTTTAAGACTGAGATTAATATTTCTGTTTATGGTCAAATGAGTGAGTGAGTGTAAGTGTGAACCACCAGGTGGTATTCGTGTAGTTAGTTGACGGGGTGTATCAGGGAGATAAGATGTTTTCTAATGGTAGTTTTGAAGGTGATGAATGTGTCTGCAGTTCTAGAGTTCTCAGGTAGGGTATTCCAGATTTTAGGGCCTTTGACATACATTGAATTTTTGTAAAGGTTTAGTCGGACACGGGGAATGTCGTAGAGATGTTTGTGTCTGGTGTTATGCCTGTGGGTTCTGTCACAACTATCAAGAAAGTGTTTTAGGTCAAGGTTGATATTAGAGTTTAAGGTCCTGTAGATGTAGATTGCACAGTAGTAAGTGTGGATGTACTGAACTGGGAGTAAGTTTAGATCTATGAAGAGTGGGGGGGTGTGTTGCCAGGGATGGGATTTAGTGATTATTCTTACTGCAGCTTTTTGTTGGGTTATTATTGGCTTTAGGTGTGTTGCTGCAGTTGATCCCCAAGCACAAATAGCAAGTAAGTTTATTCAGGTATACACAAATACAGTTACATAGAATTATCATACATAGCATCATATGTGTAGAGAACCTAGGATAACCCAAAAAAGTCAGACAGAGTGAGGTATGGATAAATAAGTGAGTGGTATAGTGTGAGAAGGGCAGTTTGCGGCACGTAGTATCGTATCTTGGAGAGGATCCCAACCGTTTTGGATACTTTTTTGGTTATATGCTGGATATGGGTGCTGAAATTCAGGTTGTTGTCAAGGTATAAGCCTAGGAATTTGCCCCCATTATTTCTGGTAATTAGAGTGTTGTCAATCTTAACGTTAATTTGTGCATCTCCTGCTCTGCTACCAAACATAATATAGTAGGTTTTGTCAGTGTTAAGCGTAAGTTTATTGGCTGTCATCCAAGTCGATATTTTAATCAGCTCCTCGTTAACAATGGTGTTGAGGGTGGCAAGATTAGGGTGAGAGATGACATAAGTCGTGTCGTCAGCAAAGAGAATGGGTTTCAGGTGTTGGGATATGTTTGGAAGATCATTGATGTATATGAGGATGGGTTTCAGGTGTTGGGATATGTTTGGAAGGTCATTGATGTATATGAGGATGGGTTTCAGGTGTTGGGATATGTTTGGAAGGTCATTGATGTATATGAGGATGGGTTTCAGGTGTTGGGATATGTTTGGAAGGTCATTGATGTATATGAGGATGGGTTTCAGGTGTTGGATATGTTTGGAAGGTCATTGATGTATATGAGGATGGGTTTCAGGTGTTGGGATATGTTTGGAGGTCATTGATGTATATGAGGATGGGTTTTCAGGTTGTTGGGATACGTTTGGAAGGTCATTGATGTATATGAGGATGGGTTTCAGGTGTTGGGATATGTTTGGAAGGTCATTGATGTATATGAGGATGGTTTCAGGTGTTGGGATATGTTTGGAAGGTCATTGATGTATATGAGGATGGGTTTCAGGTGTTGGGATATGTTTGGAAGGTCATTGATGTATATGAGGAGGGTTTCAGGTGTTGGGATATGTTTGGAAGGTCATTGATGTATATGGGATGGGTTTCAGGTGTTGGGATATGTTTGGAAGGTCATTGATTTTATGAGGATGGGTTTCAGGTGTTGGGATATGTTTGGAAGGTCATTGATGTATATGAGTGAGGGTTTCAGGTGTTGTGATACGTTTGGAAGATCATTGATGTATATGAGGATGGGTTTCAGGTGTTGGGATACGTTTGGGAGATCATTGATGTATATGAGGATGGGTTTCAGGTGTTGGGATACGTTTGGGAGATCATTGATGTATATGAGGATGGGTTTCAGGTGTTGGGATACGTTTGGAAGATCATTGATGTATATGAGGATGGGTTTCAGGTGTTGGGATACGTTTGGAAGGTCATTGATGTATATGAGGATGGGTTTCAGGTGTTGGGATATGTTTGGAAGGTCATTGATGTATATGAGGATGGGTTTCAGGTGTTGGGATATGTTTGGAAGGTCATTGATGTATATGAGGATGGGTTTCAGGTGTTGGGATATGTTTGGAAGGTCATTGATGTATATGAGGATGGGTTTCAGGTGTTGTGATACGTTTGGAAGATCATTGATGTATATGAGGATGGGTTTCAGGTGTTGGGATACGTTTGGGAGATCATTGATGTATATGAGGATGGGTTTCAGGTGTTGGGATACGTTTGGGAGATCATTGATGTATATGAGGATGGGTTTCAGGTGTTGGGATACGTTTGGAAGATCATTGATGTATATGAGGATGGGTTTCAGGTGTTGGGATACGTTTGGAAGGTCATTGATGTATATGAGGATGGGTTTCAGGTGTTGGGATATGTTTGGAAGGTCATTGATGTATATGAGGATGGGTTTCAGGTGTTAGTATATGTTTGGAAGATCATTGATGTATATGAGGATGGGTTTCAGGTGTTGGGATATGTTTGGAAGGTCATTGATGTATATGAGGATGGGTTTCAGGTGTTGGGATATGTTTGGAAGGTCATTGATGTATATGAGGATGGGTTTCAGGTGTTGGGATACGTTTGGAAGGTCATTGATGTATATGAGGATGGGTTTCAGGTGTTGTGATACGTTTGGAAGATCATTGATGTATATGAGGATGGGTTTCAGGTGTTGGGATACGTTTGGAAGATCATTGATGTATATGAGGATGGGTTTCAGGTGTTGGGATATGTTTGGAAGATCATTGATGTATATGAGGATGGGTTTCAGGTGTTGGGATACGTTTGGGAGATCATTGATGTATATGAGGATGGGTTTCAGGTGTTGGGATACGTTTGGGAGATCATTGATGTATATGAGGATGGGTTTCAGGTGTTGGGATACGTTTGGAAGATCATTGATGTTATATGAGGATGGGTTTCAGGTGTTGGGATACGTTTGGAAGGTCATTGATGTATATGAGGATGGGTTTCAGGTGTTGGGATATGTTTGGAAGGTCATTGATGTATATGAGGATGGGTTTCAGGTGTTAGTATATGTTTGGAAGATCATTGATGTATATGAGGATGGGTTTCAGGTGTTGGGATATGTTTGGAAGGTCATTGATGTATATGAGGATGGGTTTCAGGTGTTAGGATATGTTTGGAAGATCATTGATGTATATGAGGATGGGTTTCAGGTGTTGGGTTATGTTTGGAAGATCATTGATGTATATGAGGATGGGTTTCAGGTGTTGGGATATGTTTGGGAGATCATTGATGTATATGAGGATGGGTTTCAGGTGTTGGGATATGTTTGGAAGATCATTGATGTATATGAGGATGGGTTTCAGGTGTTGGGATATGTTTGGAAGATCATTGATGTATATGAGGATGGGTTTCAGGTGTTGGGATATGTTTGGGAGATCATTGATGTATATGAGGATGGGTTTCAGGTGTTGGGATATGTTTGGAAGATCATTGATGTATATGAGGATGGGTTTCAGGTGTTGGGATATGTTTGGAAGATCATTGATGTATATGAGGATGGGTTTCAGGTGTTGGGATATGTTTGGAAGATCATTGATGTATATGAGGATGGGTTTCAGGTGTTGAGATACGTTTGGGAGATCATTGATGTATATGAGGATGGGTTTCAGGTGTTGGGATATGTTTGGGAGATCATTGATGTATATGAGGATGGGTTTCAGGTGTTGGGATATGTTTGGAAGATCATTGATGTATATGAGGATGGGTTTCATGTGTTGGGATATGTTTGGGAGATCATTGATGTATATGAGGATGGGTTTCAGGTGTTGAGATACGTTTGGGAGTCATTGATGTATATGAGGAAGAGCAGGGGACCAAGGACACTTCCCTGCGGAACTCCTGTATCAAGTGGCCGTGTTGCTGATGCTGTCTTTAATGGTGACATACTGATACCTATTAGTAATGTAAGATTTGAAATAAGCAAGCGCATGGCCTCTTATACCGTAATGATCAAGTTTGTGGACTAGGATGTCGTGGTCTACTGTGTCAAAAGCTTTTCTTAGGTCAATAAAAATTCCTAGTGGATATTCCTTATTTTCCAATGCTGTGTAAAGCAGATCTAGCATTTTTATGATTGCATCATTAGAATCCAAATTGGCAGGGGTTGAGTATGTTTTGTGCTGTTATAAATGAATATAGTCTCCTGTGCACGAGTTTCTCAAAGATTTTGGATAGCAATGGTAAGTTTGATATTGGCCTATACAGTGGACCCCCGCATACCGTTGGCGTCCCATAACGTTTAATCCGCATACCGCTCACTTTAATCGCAAAAATTTTGCCTCGCATACCGCTCAAAAACCCGCTCACCGCTGTTCGTCCGAGACGCGTCCAATGTGCGGCCTCAGCCAGCCTCACGTGTGCCGCCGATGGCATTGTTTACCAGCCAGCCTCCGCGGTAACATCCAAGCATACAATCGGAACATTTCGTATTATTACATTGTTTTCGGTGCTTTATCTGGAAAATAAGTGACCATGGGCCCCAAGAAAGCTTCTAGTGCCAACCCTACACCAATAAGGGTGAGAATTACTATAGAGATGAAGAAAGAGATCATTGATAAGTATGAAAGTGGAGTGCGTATCACTGACCTGGCCAGGTTGTATAATAAACCCCAATCAACCATCGCTACTATTGTGGGCACCAGAAAGGCAATCAAGGAAGCTGTTCTTGCCAAAGGTTTAACTGTGTTTTCGAAACAAAGATCGCAAGTGATGGAAGATGTTGAGAGACTGTTATTGGTGTGGATAAATGAAAAACAGCTAGCAGGAGATAGCATCTCTCAAGTGATCATATGTGAAAAGGCTAGGAAGTTGCATGAGGATTTAATTAAAAAAATGCCTGCAACTAGTGATGATGTGAGTGAATTTA